CATGTCTTTGTAAAAGAGCCAAAAAGTGTTTTTACGAAACAACAAAACATTCTTAGAAACTTCAGTCAGCCAACTTACTCAAGTAACACGAGTATAAATAATAATCATTGAAAGACCAATTAATTATCATTGAAAAATCATTTAAATATTAGTTATTGTTGATGCTTTAAAAGCATTTCACTCTTCACAGTCAGTCTGAACATTAGTTACAGTGGTTAAATCTTCGCCAACTAACTCAAATGGAACGAACATCTTTGACAAAATGAGAGTCGCATCATATTGTATGTAAGCTGCACATGCATTTGACTATCATCAAAATCCATAGTTATTGAGCAAACATCAGCAGATAAGAATAAGTCGAACTAAACATGCTTTCTCTTAATACCAAAACATGTACATAATCATAATCGAATTCCGAAATGCCATGTTTATAAGGCCAAAAATGAAATTATGCTGTAAAATTAGGGTTGGGTAGGTAGGAAATTTACGTGTGTGTGTGCGTGTGCGTGTGCATAATGGTGGTGGTAGTTATCACTCCGGATTACGACAGTTAGCCACATATTGAATTCACCAGAGCACAGTTCAACCACCACATCGTTCATGGGCTGTCTGTGCAGCAGTTTACTAGTACTACTTGCCTTCACTTTCGCAAGGAACTGAACTTCTGTACATGCCAGAGCAGAGTTACAGTGCGAATGACCGTTTAAAGGATTGCATGATCAATCACAACGAAAGTGACCTGCGCCGTCCGGGAATTGAACCAGGGTCGCCCGATTCACAGTTTAACGGCTAACCGGATAGCTATATGTGCACTACATGTATACTCTTAATATTCAATACTGTTTAATATCTTTTTTTATCAAATTTATGTCTTATTATATCTTCTTTTGTGAAAGATGATAAATCAGAATTTGAACATTTTTGAGAACGGATACATGTAGTCGAATTAGAAAGCTACTAATCATGTATGTTTGAACAGTGACTTGCCCGCTAACCTGATAAGTTGTTTTTCTTTTACAATTCTGTAGTTGATGTAGAAAAGCAAATTGTTCATCATACTTCTACAAAAACCAACACATGTTCATTAATATAATATTGTATATAATATAATAATGTTAAATAAAATTATTTCTTAAAAGATTAATAATATCTGTCATATGGTGCGGTTCGGACCGGAATATCCGTCCCGAGGGGACCCGCCCATTAGGCGGTAACGAGGCTTGCCGAGTTACCGCCCATAGGCGGGTTCCCGAGGGACGGATATTCCGATCCGAACCGCAATCATATGCCAGATATTTTTTCTTGCATATTCTGCCATATTAATTCATATTTAAAATGGTTTACCTCAATATGATATATGTTCATGGAAATTAAAGTCATTTCATCCATAACTATTTTCTTACAATAGCGTATGAACTTATAACTTTAATAACAACGGCGAAATGACGCGAAATGATGCACATAATTCCCTTCTAAAACGACGACATTTTAACGCGGTTCATTCATAAAGCGCGGTAAAATGACGTTGTGTTTGGCACGCGACTCATCTGGCACCCCCATGCCAGATGAAATACCGGCATGGGTAAAACTCACGGAAACGCCATTCTGCTATGCAAGAAAAAAGTTTCTCTTCCATCCTTAAAATCTTGCCAATTATTTACCACGTGCAGAGGTACGAAAACCACAATATATCCTGTACAGTACAATGCGAAGTCTTCGAGTGGCGTATCTATCCGCCTGTCAATTACATACACACACTGCACGAAATAATCGTGCTAAACTATGAAACAACTAATTTAACTGTACATCTATAACTCTTAAACTGCAACAAGTTTGCTTCTTTAAAAAGAAGCATGCGAGAGGTCTTTTTGCTGCTGTGGTTCGAAAATATTTGGGGATATTTTTTTTATAAATAACAACTATTTAACAAAATAGAATTTATTAAATATATTGAATATAGTATCATAATCGAAGTTTGTTTTACACTTCATTTTTTTTTAATGTTTTGATAGATTATGTGCCGGAGAAATGGACTTTTTTCTTGGCGCATAAAAGGATACCTGTTCTACAAAGGGAACTTGTATCATAGTTTGGGGACCTTTCTGTTGAAAATGTGTCAGAGTTAAATCATATACATGTACATATACATGCACAGGGAGTTTACTGGAGTGCAGGTATCAGTTACCGACACTCCAGAGCATACCCATTGATTGGCTCATTTTTGCTGGGATTTACTTATTGTTACGGCAGAGAAAGGGAAAGCGACAGAGATATCATATTCTTATGCTCGTTCATTGGTTTCTTTTTTCTGGGGTATATTGTGACAACAGGGAACGTGTTTTATGTTTAAATATGATACAAAAGAGAAAGAGCATCAAAACACTCGGCAATCTGATTAATACTGGGGGGCTACGCCCCTCATACAAATCAGATAGCCTCATGTTTCGATGCTCTTTCTATTACAATAATTTAAAACAAATTATACATTAATATATATGTTAAAAGTATTATCAAAATAAAAGTTTCTTGTAAAATTCAATAAGCAACTTTTCGGTTGATGTTTCGGTAATTTCTTCTACATTTTCCAAAAACGGGCAGAAAGTATTTAATCAAACAATTTTAAGTCCAGGATTTACATAGAATATGTTTATGTCATTTGACTGAAATGAATAGTATATAAAGCTGCATGCCTCCAATCACAATATTCGATGAAAATCAAACTTGAGTAAAATTTGTGACATTTGCGCAAAAATCTCCGTTGCGTTATTTAGTCATACCAGTTCAAAAGTTTCGGTACACGGTTCACTGGGTCATATAATAATGGATGGTGATTCTGTAGCTATAATGTTCACTGTTACTATGTATTGGAACACGAAATAGTAAAACACTTTTCAGAAAACAATACGGTAATCGACCTATACTGCAGTACAGTTTAAAATATTAATACGGTATGAAACATCCGTTTAGCGACATGCTGGCGGCATCCATTTTTGCGTATCTGATTGTAGATCTAGTGAACCAATTTCATTTAAAGCGTAAAATCATGAGAAGTAGTCTACAAAACTTGTTTTGCGCATGCTCCGCCTCAAAATACGACTTAACTTAAACGAAAATTAACATCGAAGTGAATAAATCGGTACAAGGAAAAATCGAAAAATATCATTTACGTTACTTAACACTACGAGCAATGGTTCATTCCGTTTTTAATCATTTATGAAATCGATAGTTGTTTTCTGAATAGCGTTTTACTATTGTATGTTCCGAAAATTAGTAACAGTGAACATTATAACACTATCACCATGCACTATTATATGACCGAGTGAACGGTGTACCGAAAATTGCTGCTACTTTCACTTTTGAACTGGTATGACTAAATTACGCAACGTAGATTTTGTGGCTTTGTTTGTTTGTTTGTTTGTTTGTTTGTTTTGGGTTTTACGTCACATCGACACAGTATAGGTCATATCGCGACGTTCCAGCTTTACTGGTGGAGGAAGACTTCAGGTGCCCTTCCGTGCATTATTTCAGGCACAAACAGACACCTGAGTAGAACCACCGACGTTCCGTAAGCTAGCAGGATAGCTTCCTCACATGAAAGAATCTAAAGTCCCTGTCGTGATTCGAACCCACAGCGGTGAGGGGCAAGTGGTTTGAAGTCAACGCCCTTAACCACTCGGCCACGGACGCCCAAGATTTTGTGGCGAAAATGGCACAACTTTTTCTCAAGTTTGATTTTCTTGGGGTTGGAGGCATGCAGCAGTATTTATTGTTTATTACAATCAAATGATATATAACATTAGTATTGTAAATCTGGGACTTAAAATTGTTTGATTAACATACTTTATGCCCGTTTTGGAAAATCTCTGGTGCCTTTTATATCTCACAATATTTTCGGGAAAAAAACAGATCTTAAACAGCTGCAAAAAAGACCCCTCGCATGCTTCTTTATAAAGAAGCTAACTGGTCATTTTTATTTCTGTTTTTAATTGTCTTTAAAACATAGACCTGGAAGAGTACTTTAAAATGGCTCATCACTTTACATTGTGAACTTTGTTGTTATATGAATTTTGGCCTACTTTCACTTATTTGGACAGACTTGGTGAAAACAAACATGGCTGACAAAACAGAATCACCTTAACACTTATAGCCTGTTCGATTGATCCTTTAGAAGAGCTTCCGTTATAGGTAGAGGTCTGTTCGATTGCGCGATGGCAAGAAGTGTTGGGTAAAGATATGTCATAAAACACAATAATATATATATATATATTTTCTAGATGTTTCTACAGCTTTTCAATAAACATACGAAATTAAATATGACAGATCGCCTTTGTTCGATTGGGTCCTCTTCTAAGCTGTTCTAGTTATTAAATTCTCTTCTCGAATCTGACATTTAAAATTAAGACGATTGAAACGAACTTCCGACTAATTTAAAGTTGCAACATTCTCCGTGGAATTAGTGTACAGTATCTACTAAATCTTTGTTTTATTCAAATAAAATTCCATTTTGATTAAAATCAAATAATGTAAGTAATATTGTTTAAATATAAGATGACAATTAATGGGGGGAAAACATTGCGGGAATAAAACTATTTAGGACGAATAAAATTTTCTGTTTGTGGTGAGCATGGTTATATAGAGTAGCTTATCCTATGAATGTTAACAAGTTTGACTTCGGCCGAGTATCTTTTTAAAGATACTTCTTGTTTTTAATTTAACTTGTATGTTATTCTTTTTGAAAGCCACAATTCAATTTGGATTGGTTTTGAGGCCAATAAAGTTAGGAATCTAAGTGAGATTTTTAAAAGATTTAATTTGATAAATAGAAAGCGTCTTGGGATTGCTTTAGGGTTCCTTTAGGTTTCATGTTTTTATCATTTACACTGTACAAAGTTACATTGTAGGTTGCATTTAACAACAAAACTTTTCTACAATGGTGATAATTGAAAACCTGGTTTCGTGGCATTGTTTCTTGTTACTCATTTTATCTTTATCTTTTTCAGTGTACTGTAAAAACAGTGAAGGAAACATCAACATGCCCGTATCAAGGATGCGGTCAAAAAGTACAATTAACCGACAAAAAGATAAGATGGTTTCAGGCAATATTAGATGACATGTTCAAGGAGTATGATGCTGGTGATCATGAAGATTTTGATAGCCAGAGTGTTCCGAACTCATTACTTGCTGGAGGTATTATAACAATCAGTGTTCTGACCGGAGAAAGTATGGCTGTACCTTATGATCCGAACCTACAGGTTCTGCAACTGAAAATGCAGATAAGCGAGACAATGGACCACCCTGTCGATAAGCAAAAACTTCTATACATGGATAAAGAATTAGCAGTAAGATTTCTTTAATTGAAATATTAAATATTCTTACATATTATGGTTGATGGAGCTAGTTTCTGATAAAACATATAGATTTTAGTGCAGTTTGGACTTAAAAAGATCCATTTTAGTATTAAGTTTAAAAATTATGCCGAAATTTTTCAGGTTTAACAAGGATAAACACAAAACGCTCGCGTGTATGATTTTTGACAGGAAATAGAACCTCAATCGCAACTTTTCGGCCCTTTCCGTCAGTCTTCGGATAAGGACTATTATAGATAATAGGCGAGGATGTTCCGATTGAATAGAACCTTCCTTCAGTAAACATGCATTCTTCAAAATTTTATGTTTACACACATTTTAATGGTTATGTAGTGTCCATACTTAATTTTTATATGCCCGAAAGAATTTCGGACATATTATGTTATACCCCCTGGCGTCCGTCCGTCTGTCCGTCCGTCTGTCCGTCCGTCCGTCCGTCTGTCCGTCCGTCCGTTAGCAATTTGGTTTCCGGAGAATAACTGAAGTTCCATTTGGCCCACAATATTCAAACTTCGTAGGATGATTGTCCATATTGGGTAGAAGAGCCCTATTGATTTTGGGGTCATAAGGTCAAAGGTCAAGGTCACTATGACCTTAAAACTGAAAACGTTAGCAATTTGGTTTCCGGAGCATAACTTAAGTTCCATTTGGCCCACAATATTCAAACTTCATAGGATGATTGTCCATATTGGGTAGAAGACCCCTATTGATTTTGGGGTCATAAGGTCAAAGGTCAAGGTCACTATGACCTTAAAACTGAAAACAGTTTTTGGAGCATAACTTAAGTTCCATTTGGCCCACAGTGTTCAAACTTCATAGGATGATTGTCCATATTTGGTAGAAGACCCCTATTGATTTTGGGGTCACAAGGTCAAAGGTCAAGGTCACTATGACCTTAAAACTGAAAACAGTTTCCGGAGCATAACTTAAGTTCCATTTGTCCTACAGTGTTCAAACTTCATAGGATGATTGTCCATATTTGGTAGAAGACCCCTTTAGATTTTGGGGTCACAGGTCAAAGGTCAAGGTCACTATGACCTTAAAACTGAAAACAGTTTCCGGAGCATAACTTAAGTTCCAATTGGCCCACAGTGTTCAAACTTCATAGGATGATTGACGATATTGGGTAGAAGACCCCTATTGATTTTGGGGTCACAAGGTCAAAGGTCACTATTACCTTAGAACTGAAAACAGTTTCCGGAGCATAACTTAAGTTCTATTTGGCCCACAGTGTTCAAACTTCATAGGATGATTGTCCATATTGGGTAGAAGACCCCTATTGATTTTGGGGTCACAAGGTCAAAGGTCAAGGTCACTATTACTATGAAATTGATAACAGTTTCTTGAGCATAACTTTGATCCATTTAGCCCACAATATTCAAAAACATCATAGTACGATGATTGTCCATATTGGATAAAAGACCCCTAAGATGATTTTGGGGTCACAAGGTCAAAGGTCAAGGTCACTTTTACCTTAGAATTGAAAACAGTTTCTGGGACATAACTTAAAGTTCCATTTGGACCACAATATTGAAACTTCAAAGGAGGATTGTTATTTGAAGGAGGTAATACTTTATTTTAGTCCCATGTCTTACAAATGCTTCATCTTTACTAAAAAAAAAACACTTTCGGGCATATAATGCTCCGCCTAGCGGTGCTCTTGTTTATATTTCACACCGAGTTCTGGAGAGGGCAATAATTCGTTTATTTGTTTATTTTTTTTATTAATCTATTAATTTTGTACCGGTATTTCAGAGTTACAAGAAGGACGGAATGCCAGCAAGATTACTAGATTATAGTGTGAAGCCGAATGCCACACTTTGTTTAGTTATCGTACTATTTTCTGTCCCAGATAACTTTGACAATGTCGTGTTTGATTTGTTTTGGGGCTACCCGTTAGGTAGGCGGGATTATTTAGATGCGTCATGTCTCATGTTCAAGGGGACCCACTGCCAGTCAATTTGTGACTACTCGAAAAGTAATCCAGTAAAAGCAATAAGGCACTCTGGAGATGTAATGGATGATGTAAAAGAAATTGGACATCATACGATTAATGTCAGTTTAAAAAGTCTACCAACTGATATAACACATTTGTTTTTCACTCTTAGTGCTTGGAGTTCGCCAAATATATCGCGATATCCAAACCCAAGCTTGAAGTTCCATGAGATGTCTAATCCTACGAAAGATTTATGTAAAACCACATTCCATCATGCAGGAGCGTCTCAAGCCGTTGTCATGTGTTCTGTGTCACGTGGTTCTCATGGCCGATGGGAAATATTTGAATCCGGAAAACTATCGGCTGGTAATGCAAGAGACTATAAACCTTTACAGACAACCATTCAGTCATTGATTACACAAGGATTTTGAAAGGAATATATGTTCATCTGATTTTCAAAAATCAGACCGGGTGTGAGAAGTAAACCATTGAGTACTTGACATTTATAGATATATATGTAGATGGCTGTCTTCTGTTGTACATGAATATATTTATAATGTGATGTTTTGAATATATAAACCATATGCAATAATTAAGTTACGTGTAACAATAATAAATGTGTGAAAAGATATAATAACCCTACAGACTCCAGTCATTGGGAGCGGATAGTAAAATAACAACAATATTAACATGTTCCATAGCGGAAAATAATGCTTGTAAGGACAGAATTGTAAAGGAGTCAATTAAATTTAATATTTATTCATATCAAACTATCAGTATGGTGGCCGGTAGCGTCCATTTTAAAGCGGAGTAAAATTTGACCGTTAGTTTATAAAATGTCGCCCCGCGAGATTTTATGTCGCAATTGTACGAAATGTCGCGGCTCATACATGTAGAAACTCTTGAGTTTATCTGTCATGTTTCTGTGTAAAAAGCCGAGTTTTACGATGGAAACCGCTCATTTTTTGTCTACATAGTAGACTAAGTCACGCAAACATATGCTTACTTTAGGTAGCCGGTTACGGCCATTACAATCCCCTATTTTGTTTGGATGCATACCTTGTAAAAAGTTGAGTTTGATTATCAAGCATCGGCTTTTTATGCCGGGTAATGTCTCTGCGCAAATAGTCGCGGCTGAAAATTGCTATTACTCGCTGCGATATTTTATGAGACCGTTGTTGAGGATACAAGAAGCCGCGGCCTACAATTTTTCCTCTCAACTTTATGGATAATTTCAAATTTTTAACACTTGCAAAAAATGTCGCGGATTTCTTTCTGTTCCTCTACTTTTTAACAAACGAGGGATAAAATGTAGTCAAACCATGGACGCCACTGGCCACTGGAGTCAAAATGTTCATAGCTGTTTCCAACAAATGTTATAAAGAAATATCGAGGTGAATACGTCCCCGGCGACATTTTGTACTACTAAGTATTTCCGCAGAAAATCTTGCGGGTTTGTAAGTTACCCTCGACATTTTACGATAAAACTATAATAAAATTCCTCGCGGGTTTGAAATGGGTGTAACCGCGGGTCCACCATATATATGTGAAACTGTGAACAGCGTCTTAACCCTGATTAAGGTTGGGAGAAGCTTCTAAAAAAAATAGCTCATTTTCTCACAATGGGAAATACTGTTTAATTTTTAAACTATGGGTCAAACACTTTTCACTTATAAATGCAGGAACTGTTTAAATTTAAGAATACTGCTTGATTTTCCGCTAAATAGAATCCTCCACATCGGCTAGGTCTACATGTATTGCACGCAGTGACTTTTCTCCTTATATAACGGTATTTTCCCAGTCGATTTTTTTCTTTAAAATCGTGCAGTTTTCCCAAAGTCCTGAACTTACACCAGCTATTTTATATCCCAAACTAGCTATTTTAATGATAATTTCCCCCAAAATAAGTAAGAAAATCCACTGGCACGTTTCGGTTCTTCCGAGAGGGCCATTTGCCTCCGATTTAAAGATTATATTTTTAAACAATAGTATTAAAATAAGGAAAGAAATAAAATTGACTGTTAAAGAAGTCTCAACTACATGTACATACCTTGCTCGCTACTTCACTAAAATTACTAGCAATCTTTCGGATGACTATTCAAAACAGTTTCGGTCACAACAACACAGCAGAGGTCATATGGCGACATTCCGGCTTTACTGGTGGGGAAAACCTTTTAGTAAACTACTTTTTACAAAAAGACATTTCGGGCGCGAATGGGCACCTGAGTAGAACCACCAACGTTCAGTAAACTAGCTGGTTAACTTCCTCACTTGAAAGAATCTAAACTCCATAGGGGTCGACGGCAAATGTTTCATTCAAAACATAAATCCCGTGTAATCACTGTATAGAAACACACATACTCTCTGTGTTCACAATGAATGATACAAACTTGCAAATAACTGATATATGAATATATGATCGGAAGTTAAAAGTGACTGTTGTGCTTGTGTTCTGGCAATAAACGATACAAATTAAATTGTGTAGACTTACACCCTGCTCTTGTGCATTCATAAAATACAGGGTATTAATCGTAAAGTGCTCTTTGGTTAAAATATTATGAATTGAAATGATAGAAAACTATAGCTTTAAGAGTCTTTCCAACGGGTGGGGTTAATCTTAAATTACGCAAAAAGGAATTATAGTTCTTGAACTATGAAGTTTTCTTTAATGAGATCAATCAATATATGAAGTTTTAAATTTATATCTCTAAATACGTTTTCAGTTTGACTCCAGGAAAAATTAAGATTTGAAAAAAAATACAAAGAGCAACAACCCCTAAGTTATATAAAAGAGAGTTATGGTTCTAAAACAGTATGCTTCTGATTAATAAATGAATATATTATTTCTAAAGTGTTTTTTATATGTAGTGTCATTCAGCACTAACATAAAAGAAAATGATAATCATCGACTGGGCCGCATCAGTATCAAACCTAACTATTTTAACTGTACTTGTACGAGTACTGTAAAATAAGTACTCCCACGCGCTTTCCTTGAAAGTGTCGGACATACGGCAAATTTATGTCAATGTCATAACATAGGCAGATATTGAAGTCATCAACCACTTACCCTTATTTGGTTTCTAAAATGACGATTTTGAGTGTAGGCCGAATACTTCATGTATTTATTAATGCTTTAAAAGGCTGTGTTTTAATATTTTCTTGAAAAAAAATCCCTTTTTCATTTCTAATTGATGGAGATACTCTTGTGCAAAATTGTTTTAGGCGCGAGCTAGGCACGAGCATTAAATTTTGTCCACGACTTTGTGTGATAGACCAAGTACAGTTATGACCATTCAAATTGTTAGCAGCAATACTTTATGTTAACACTCTGGACAAAATTAAATATGAAAAAATAGAATGGACAAAAGCTCCAAAATTATGCAAAAGACAGTTTATTATTCTAATACACTGTCGTTTGACTATATGTGGCCTATCAATCTATAAATTTTGAATAAAAAAACTCCTACACTTTCAGTTATACCAAAAATACAACATAATCTATAGTTATTATACATAAAACTGCAAAGAGCAATAACTCCAAATTTAAATTTCAAATGGCAATAACTTCAAATTTTTGCAAAAGAGAAGCATGATTCTTAAGCACAGCACTTCTTCTCACTGAAATATAACCACATGTGACGTTTTAGGTTCCAAACTGAATTAAATAGTTTAAGATGTATGCTACATTCGATTTAGTGACGGAAGACGGACATACGAACTTCATCTGCGGCGGGGGATAATATGTGAAGAGATAGATCATACTAATCATAAATAACCCCCGTAAAAATGAGCCAATCAACGAGCATGCTCTGGAGTACAGATAACAAATACCTGCACTCCAGTTAACGCACTGTGCATGTGTGGGTACACGATTTAACTTATAGAAAAGTCTCAAAACTATGATACAATTACAAATAGAACACGCGACAGGAAAGAAGGTGAAAAACCACTCTTTCTTTACATGTCCACTAAAATTTTATTATTGTACATGTACATTTTTCTCAAGGTTGATTTTCTTGAAATATTTTGGTTCATACCTAGAGGTTTAACGAAGAATAAATACTTCGAAACACTAGTCTTTAATTCAATTCCACCTTCACTTAACTTTACTTTGCTTTACTTTACTATAGTACTTTACTTTACGTTACTTTACGTTACTTTACTTTACTTTACTTTACTTTACTTTACTTTACTTCACTTCACTTCACTTCACTTCACTTCACTTCACTTCACTTCACTTCACTTCACTTCACTTCACCTCACGTACCATACGGTTACCACACCTCACCACACCAAACCATACCACACAACTATGTGGTCCTAGAGCTGGATCAAATTTCACCCCATCGCCCCATTGCTAAATATATAACAACTTAAAAAGTTTTTATGCAGGGAAAAAATCTAAAACGTTAAGGATAATTGACCCTTATTTGCAATCGGCTTTTCGATCGTCACTTTTATTGTTTTCTTGAAATTAAAAAGAAATCATTATATAGACACAAAAAATATATATGCCCGTAAAATAGCCTTCCCTTTCCGCAGAAATAAAAACGGCACATCTGTTTAACCAACTAAAACCAGTGCCCTTATGTGAGGCATCTTAAATTAAAAACTTTCTTCAAAGAGATGTAAATAGATCTAAACAAGTTGTAAAGATGTGAAAAATGCCTTAAAACAGTTTGATTTCGATACATATGTTTTTGTTTGACCGGAGTTTCTAATTGGTCTTCTTCCTTATAAGATTTATTTTCCAATACCATTTTATTTATACCCTTTATAAAGGTGTTATACTTTATACGATCCCATCACAAGTGAAATTATATACTCAAAACTCTTAAAAACACGCCTTATTGTGCATCAATCAAATATGTGTCACTCGTTATAAAAGGCACATCCTTTGCTCCTAAATTACGCTACGCATTAAAATAAGTAGATCGGAACTTTAGTCAGTTTGCTAGCAGATGCTATAGTTGCTTTATTAGTCGCCGGTAGAAACCGGCGACTATATTTGTAACTGTTTAATTATACCTATGGTAGGAGAAGCCCTTAAAATCTGAAAATAAAAGCATATCAATCATTGAACAATTAAAGACAACAATTATTTTTCAGGAATCTCAAAAATTCAAACATATGATAACTTTACTCAGTGAAATGAAATATGCACATATTAACATCTTAAAAAGCAACATTACAATTTTCATAAAATGAATCAATAACGTATCCCCAAGGATCAGTCATTGAATATTAGAGATACTTTTACTTTTTTCTATGTGTCAAGCATGGCTATTTTATAATATATAAATCATGAATTATATTTAAAATGACACTTTAAAATTATTTGGTTGTTTATATTTTATGAGACCTATTATATTACATTATTTTATCTAATTATAAACAAATTCTCCCTGGTGTTTCGTAAGAATCACGTGACTACATGTATATCGGTATAAAATCTATTAATAGTAACATATTGCTGATAAGACATGCAGGTTATTGTTAATGGTTGGCAAAAGGTGTGGTATAGCTGATAAGATGCAAATCATTGTAATTTTGTACAGATAATTACATAAGTAATTTTTCATTAATCAGTTGCATACTTTATATCATTAGAAAAAACCTGTTTACTCATATTTAACACATTAAAAATAAATTTTCAAAACCTTTTCCTTTCTTCTTGGTAAATAGTTAAACTTGGCCCTTTCTGTCAAACTTTCGACAAGAAAGTTCAATAGTTTAGTTTAGGTTGAACCAGAGACATAGATAACAGAGATAGGCTACTTCCTAGCCAGTTAAAATATCACGCGTGCCTACTAAACTTAAAACTTGTAGCAAGTAAAACTTATTAACCAGATATCAAAATCAGTAAAGTAATACATTTTCTGAAAGCTTATGCATTTGTCTATGGCTGCAGGTAAAAATATTTACAGTTCCCATTTAAATCAATGTTGTATCATATTTTTAAAGAGAACTACTTAATATTTTTTGTTAAAAAACTATTCATATGACAAAAAACTGGCTCAGTGGGTATGTTCTGCCATGTTTTTTTAAGTGAAAGGCATGGAAAGTTACCAATATTTTAACATGCAGCCATAGATGAAAGATTTACCTTTCAAATGGTATATAATATTAAAGGATCATATGTACATCCATTAAGTTTTATTTGCTACAAAATTCCTAATTTTCCACTTTTTTATAGGCATGAGTGATATTTCAATGGAGTATATAGGAGCTGCTTATCTCTGTTATCTATGTCTCTGGTTGAACTTTATGCCTAAGAGGCACATTATTGAAATATATAATGGTAATTGTTGATTTCGGTATATTCCGTCGGTTTCCGTCACGCAGGTTTCCAAAACGGTATGACGTTAGGGGCCCTGAATCGTATTAGATACATAGAAAAAAATAATATACTATCTTTGTGTTGATAGTTTATCGCACTGAAAGGCAATTAAACGTTAATTTTATATATCGTATGCAACGATTGGAATACATGTATTGATTTCAACTAAATTTATATATTTTTTCTATAGCACATATTAATAATGATGTACAACACTTTTACAGTACACTTGTATTGTTTCATGAAATCATTAAACGTACATATTTTCATAGTCACTTTGCAAATATTCGATGATCGGTAATTATTTGTCGGTATTTTTCTGAATCTGAACTAGTAACCTATACGGATTTCAATGTATGGTACAACAGTATATATGTATAAAGTACAATTACAAGAAGAATTACCAGCATAGCACTTGCCTTACAAGCCTCAGTGGCAAACATTACTCAGCTCATTGTTCCTCTTATTTTTATTCTTGAACCATTAAACTTATGTTTTCTTATATTAATGATAATACAATCATTTTCTATCCGGCGACTTGATGCTTTAGCATCAAAATCTCTACTTGTATATCGTGTGTTAGAAATTAGAATGAGCCTTCCAAATGCAAAGTATCCTCTTAAACTTCATAATCAGATATGTAGATAACAGCTAGAGATCGATAAGCAGACCTGTCCTTCGTTGTAATATCACACATGTATGCCTATCAAAAAGTGAAAAATTGGGCATGTTGTAGCAATTAAGACTTAATTGATGTAGAATTGATTCTTTTATAGTTCACGCCATTTGAGAGTTAAAATATTTATCTACTGCGGAAACTTTCTATGCCTTTCACTTAAAATAACGTAGCAGAACATTGAGCCACTGAGCGAGTTTTTCAGTAGTTAATAATTAGTTTTCTTCAGAAAATGATCTATAATTTATTTCAATGGAAACTGTAAGTATTTTTATCTGTATATATAGCGAGGGACAGTGGAGAGGGGCAATTAACATTTCAACGGCTTTGACTCTATATAAAGAAATCAAACAAACTTTTGTAATGTCTGAATACTTGACAATACTTAACAATAACAAATTCAGAAATGTCTTGGCTAATCGCACTGTTTAGGCATAGAGCAGGGTCGCCATAGAAACCAGATAAGAAGTGAACGAAAGTGTGTTATATGTACCAAAGACGATATTGAAGACGAATTTCATTTTGTGTGTATATGTGAGAAGTATAAGGACTTGAGAAAATTATATATTCCTTACTACTTCAGAAATCGTCCTAACATGTTTAAGTTTATTGAACTGTTAGATTGTAATAATCTCAAAATATTGTGTATGTGTAGACTGTCAATATTTATTTCAAGAGCTCTGAAAGTAAGAAACAATCACATTAATCTTGAAGTTTAATTATATCAAATGTTGGCCTGTGTGTAATATATATTTGCCAATTTGATTTTATGCTTACTGATTACGTTGAATATTATTTTCCTTCTATGCAACTGACAACTTGTTTAGCCATTTTCATTTGCATGCGATTGAATGTACATGTATCATATTTTCATGATTGATGATAACCTGTATATGCTTAAGTCAAAATAAATATTCAGTTCTGTTCTGTTCTGCCATAGACAAATGTATAAGCTTTCGGAAAATATAATATTTCACTGCATTTTATATCTGGTTAATAAGTTTTACTTGCTACAAGAGGTCTAAGTTTAACAAGCACGCGTGATAAATAATTAAGTTATAACTGGCTAGCTAGGAAGTTGCATATAAACTATGTCAGATTGTCTGTGTTATAATCTTATGGATCTAGAGCAAAACTATTTCAAATACAGATTGTACAGTCAGAAAAAGAGCAAAACTTATGATATATTTTTTTGGCTAACATAGCCTATTCATGAAACAGTGTCTAGCTGTCTCCAATCGCAAGCTCTTTTTATAAATAGAATATGATGATACTTGAAGTTGGCAAAAATTCAGGAAATGGAAAAGTAGATTTACAGTAGAACGTAATTAGATATGTATTATTATTATTATTATTATTATTATTATTATTATTATTATTATTATTATTATTATTATTATTATTTTATTATATTATCACGGACTGTGACAAATATTGACATATTGACAAAACATGTTCTAAGCTTGCTTCTAAAATATCTCTGCTGAAAAGAATTCAAATATTTCTTACACCTGAAATGAAACAATTATTTATAACGCTTACATTGCCCCTACTTTTGATTATGGATGTAATTATTTGGTCCCAATGTAACAAATCAGATCTAAATAGAAATAACAAAATTACAAAAAAAGAACCGCCAGAATTATTTTAAATAAACCGTAAAAAACAAATTCTCTAAATATGTTTCAAATATGAAATGGTTATCTTTTCCATCTAGATGTAAATACTTTTCTGGAATCATGGTATATAAAGCGATGAATGAATTAACGCAGCATATATTTCTAATCTAATTCCGTTATCTCAAAATAAAACTTACTTATTAAGATCAACACATAAAAAAGATATCATGCATAAACGACCTAAAAACAAATTATTTGAAACGTTACTTTTTTATTATTCTAGTATGGAGTTATGGAACACTATTCCTTTAAAAATAAGAAATCTTTCAAGTCTTAAATTGTTTAAATCACATTTCAAAACATTTATTATTATCTAGAGATGAATTATAGAAAATTTACCTATACTATAATATAATATTATGTCTGTCTTCTTGTTTATTAAGATTTACTGAAATGTTTGTAAATCTTACAATTGCTTGAATATGTCCGTTGTTATGTTTATGTTTTATTGAAGGCCTTGTTGAAAATAAGATTTTGCATTATATGTGTTGTATCTAATGCTTTGATGTATTGTCTTAATAAGTTACCTTCGTTAAATAAAGAGTTTATTATTATTATTATTACTGTATCCGTGTTATCGGCTCTTAATAAGAGATAAATGTTCGATTAAAAAAAATCAAGTCCAAAATTCTGAACATGTTCTCTGTAATATGTTTCTGTCGTATGAAGAAATAATCAATACAACCAAGGACGCCATATTTTACGGAATTCCAAGAAAACGTGCATTAATTTTCCTAGAAAAACAATTAAATAGTACATAAACCAATTAACATGACTAGTTTTGTACGCGTAACAGATGATGAAAATGACGAAGCAATAGAAATTCCAGCTGAAGATGATGGTGGGGACCACGATGGAACTTTATTGTTGTCATCGTTGATAGCTCAGTTTCCGGGTGCTTGCGGCTTAAAATATCGCTCTGAGACAGGTGGTTTAAGGGGAGTACGACTAGCAAATGGATCCCTTCATCCGCCAAATGGAGGATTCTGGGGCAAAACAACATATATTGTTAACTTTCCGAAGGGTAGGTAGTTTTGTTAACACTGGTTAATATAGGACTTTTCTAGACCCGGTACGGTAGTCAGACTATTCTCTCCCTGACCAGTTCCTCCCCTGACGTTTCCTCCCTGACGGTTCTCTCCCTATTTTGGGGGAGAACCGTCTGTATATTTGCAAATAATGAGACAGTTCCTCCCCATCTTTATTTTTATTAATACATTATTATTGAAGTATTTAGATGTTTAATAAATGGATACGTTTATTATTAAATTATAATATTAATTGATATAAATTAGAGAAAAAATATTTTATTGGAGTATTTAGATGTTTAATACATGGGTATGTTTATGATTAATTGATATAGATTATAAATTTTAATTGCTAATATTCATACTTTTGTATAATGAAGAAAGGAGTTCAATACACATGTGCGTTAAGTTTACTGTCAGAGTAGCCTAATTAATTTGGCGTGAACGGTTTGACCTATTTTACAGACTTTTTTTTTCTTACTGTCAAACCGTTAGACAGCGCCTGTCCAAAATTATCTTGGTGTCTCTTTGACAAGTCTAATTAGTCAGAGATAATTAAGGTGTTTATTAATTCTTTATTCAAGAATCAAGGTGTAATCTAATGATTAAAATAACTGTGAAAAGGTGTTGATAAACAAATATTTTATTATTTATTTGGTAATATCACGGATTTATGTAATATAAATCCGTGGTAATATATATTGTTTCATGTTAATGACTACATGTTCTTTAATCAATTTTGTATAAAAGTAAATGTGAAATGTGATTGCATACCAGTTGTTGCTTATTTATTTATTTTCTATAACATACTTGTTACCACCTTATTCCCTATTTAACAAATGAATGAATATCACTAGACCTTCACACAATTACAGGTGTATGTATATCAATCACTGTCCAATAATCTTAACCTCTCACAATGAAGGTGTTAATAGGATTAAAATATCTGAAAAAGGTGTTAAATTTACAAACACTTTTCAGAATCAAATAAACATAAAATGCACTTTACTTAATATCAAATACATTCTTTTAAAAATCTTCAAGAAATATTATTAGATTAAGTTGAAACTAAAATGGTAACAAACAAATAAAAATTGGGGGAGAACTGTCTGCATATTTCAAATTTGGGAGAGAACCGTCAGGGGAGGAAACGGTTTGGGAGAGAACCGTCAGGGAGAGGAAATGGTAAGGGAGAGAATAGTCTGTCATTCACCCGGTACCACTAAAATACGCAACGGAGATTTTTTGGCGCAACGGGCGCAACGGAGATATTTTTTTTAGAAAAAACGGCACAACTCCTTTTTTTAAAGTCATTGTGCTATATTTAAGCATTTAAAATGATTGTTTAGCACTATTAAGTAAGTATGTTTTAAAATGTTTCATAAATTGTATATGTTTAATTGCACTGAAGGGTTATATGCCTGGCGAAATGGAAATTTCATGGCGCAACGGAGATAATTTGGAAAATCGGCACAACGTATGTACTAATATATGAAATTAATTAACACCAATGTTATTTGAATCAATAAATAAAAAAAAAAATTAAAAAAAACCGTTATCGTATAAGCTGCAATGTTGATGTTGTAAAGGATTGTGTGGCCGGCGAAATGGACATTTTGTCTGCGCAACGGAGATTTTTTTTTTTTTTTTTTTTTTTTTTTTTTTTTTGGCGCAGTAAGAATTTAAAATGGCCTAATTAAGTAGTAATATGACGAAGTAAATCATTAAAGATATTAACTGAATTACTGAAGTGGTGTAATAAAAGTCTGTTTTATTAATTTAAAAATGGAATTAAATACGTTTTTATCGTTATGGCTGACACTGGAAGACAAATATGGATTTTACAATCTGTTTCATTTTTTCCCGTTCAATTCGTTATTTTTACAAAAAGTACTGTAATAGCTTTTCTATACATAATTTTTAATTGAATTTGCATTAGTATATACTAAATAAACTCATATGTTGATATTACAGAATCAATGTTCAGTATTTTTTTATTATAAACATTTATTGTATTGTTGTTATACCTTTCATAAACTCCGTTGCGCCGATTGATTATTGAGAAACGGAGATTTTATTTTCAAAACTGTGTACTGTTTTTTTTATGTCTAAAACATAAAATAATCATATAAGTTGGTATTGTTGATATTTCATACATATTTTTTACATATACTGTATAAGTTTGATTTTATTAGGTAGAATACTGAATATATCAGATTCTAAATGGACGGCGAAATGGACATAATTTCGGCGCAACGGAAAATGAAGATTTTCATAACGGGTAGATCTTATGTTTGAACATAACTTAAGAATTTGAGAATAATAAGTGACACTCTTTTAAAAATGATCTACTTTCCTTTATTTTAGAAAATGTTGAAAATAGGATATTGTAAAAGATATTTAAATTACGGCAAAATGGAATATTTCGGCGCAACGGGGATTATCATAACAGTTTTATCATATCATATTATTTTATTAATTTATTATCTTTCATTAATCATTGTGTACTTTTTCAATAATTGTTTGTTGCGTATACATTGTATATTTCATCAAAAGCAATCCAAATATTTCATTATTATGATATTGACAATTTTAAATTTTTAAGGTAATCAATTATGCGAGAATTGTTAGCAATTAGCAACATATCGTGCACGTGTATGGCACGGGTGTTGTTAATAATGTTTTTAACACTTGTAATAGAAAACTTGACCGTCATCAGTGGCGGATTCAGACTCCAAAATGTTTTATTACGTCTCACATTATATATACACATTGTTTTCTCATAGTTTGGTTATAAGCTTCAAAAGCAATATTTTCGACAATAACAAGTTATAAAAAATATTTAATACCTTAAAGTCAATACACGTTCCTCTTACATTATTTAAATGGTGTGAAAACGCGTGTCCAATAAACATCAACCACGTGTCATTGGTAATTTAATTATCGGTACTTAACACCCGTGATAAACATTCTTCAAATCACCAAATTGCTGTTGTATCGCTAAATAAACAGTAGCTGCATTTGATTTTAACGGGGTTTTCTGATTGGTAAGTAACGTTCAATTTAATTATTTTATGTGTTTTCACTGTTTTAAAATGGAAATAGAAAGAACATCAAATTCTACATGCATGACATTTTACTATTTTAATAATTTCATCAAACAATTAATATTTTGTATAGTTACTATTTTTAATTTTAAAAATGCATAAAATATATCAATCATTATTAGCAAATTGCTTGCTACTGGTCATGCTTTTAACAAATAAAGTGCAGCAGTAAAGCCATTAAGCAGCTTTTTGTTGAAATTTGGTAATTTATTGTTAAGATTACATTAAAAAGTCCACAGCGTATGCATTACGGACTTTTCGTATTTTTCAAGTAAAATTCTGAAAATTATGTATAGAAAAGCTATTACAGTACTTTTCGTAAACATAACTGTTTGAACGGGAAAAAATGAAACAGATTGTAAATATCCATACTTGTCTTTCAGTGTCAGCCATAACGATAAAAACGTATTTAATTCCATTTTTAAATTAATATTACACCACTTTAGTAATTCAGTTAATATCTTTAATGATTTACTTCTTCATATTACTACTTAATTAGGACAAACATTGTTTTCTTTTTAAATTCCGTTGCGCCAAAAAAAAATCTCCGTTGCGCAGACAAAATGACCATTTCACCGGCATACAATCCTTTACAACATCATCATTGCAGCTATTTGATTATTTGATATACGATTAAGGTTTTTTAACTTTTTTTTTTAAATTTATTTATTCAAATAACATTGACCAGTGTTAATTAATTTCATATATATGTACATACGTTGTGCCGATTTTCCAAAATTATCTCCGTTGCGCCATGAAATTTCCATTTCGCCAGGCATATAACCCTTCAGTGCAATTAAACATATACAATTTATGAAACATTTTAAAACATACTTACTTAATAGTGCTAAACAATCATTTTGGATGCTCAAATACAGCATATTGACTTTAAAAAAGGCGTTGTGTCGTTTTTTTTTCTAAAAGAATATCTCCGTTGCGCCATGAAATTTCCATTTCGCCAGGCATATAACCCTTCAGTGCAATTAAACATATACAATTTATGAAACATTTTAAAACATACTTACTTCATAGTGCTAAACAATCATTTTAGATGCTTAAATATAGCACATTGACTTTAAAAAAGGCGTTGTGCCGGTTTTTCTAAAAAAAATATCTCCGTTGCGTCCGTTGCGCCAAAAAATCTCCGTTGCGTATTTTAGTGGTACCCATGTAGACCTAATTAACAGTTAACTTGTCGATTTGAACAGTTTGACGTTCCAGCTTTACAGGTAGAGGAATACCTCAGGTGCCCTTCTGTGCATTATTTCAGGCTAGAACGGGCACCTGACCTGAGTAGAACCATCGACATTCCGTAAGCTAGCCTGATAGCTTCCTCACATGAAAGAATTCAAATTCCCTTTCGGGATTCGAACCCACAGCGGTGAGGGCAGTGATTTTTCTCACTTAATTGGGAAGAGGCATGAGCCTCTTGATTTTGGGAAAAATTATCGCTAAAATTGCTAATTTGGGAAGTAAAAAAGCTGGTTTAAGTTCAGATTTTTGGGAAAATTGCATGATTTTAAAGAAAATTTCAAATGGGAAGAGGCCTCCTTTCGGAGTCTGTTATATAAGTAGGAAAATCACTGGAGGGGCAAGTGGTTTATAGTCAATGACCTGAACCACTCGGCCACGGACGCCCCCCCTTAAAATATGAAATAGACATTGCACCTGTTTTTAAGTTTTAATATGAAAATAGTCTATAAACAGGGAAGTCAAATTTATATAAAGATAGAATTCCCTTTTTTTCGATTAAAATGTGTAATATGATATTTTATGCATTGCTTCGGTTTGAATCAGAACACCTCTACAAATATTCTTAAGCAGAAAAGTTGATTTACATTAAAAAGTGGTGGTGCCAATCTAGAAATGACACTGAAATTTCAATGATAGGTATAGAAATCTATATATTTTTAATTGTTTTGTTTTTTATGTGTAGTCTGTAGCCAGGTAAGCCAAAGCCTGGGCCTGCTTTGTGGACCTGACCGTTGACTTTCCCATATTATATATAGAAAATTTATCAGTTGATTATAAATGGCCTATTATCTTTTTTTTGGCATTGCTGTACGGGCCCCTATTGCTAACCAGAAGTTAAAGTCGTTAATATGAGTTTTATTAAGTAGATTTTGTGGATTGTGCAAACTGTTTAATCATGAGCAAATGGAGGCTTTCAACAATTAGTTGTTCTTTTGGGTTTTTGTTGGGTTTTTGTTGGGTTTTACGGATTATCAACATAGTTTATGTCATATGGGCATTTTCCAGCTCAGGTTCCCATCCATGCATTACTTCAGGCAGGAAAGAACCTGATGTTTTGTAAGCTAATTGGATAGCTTCCTCACATGTAGGACTCCAAAGTTCCTACCCGGCTTTGAATTACCCACATCAGTGAGGACTGAGGGGCAAGTGGTTTAAAGACATATCTACCTTAACCACTCTGCCAATGACGCCCAACAATTAACAATTAGTGAAAGCAATTTTCTTCAATGGCCACTACTTGCTTTAAAAGTGTTTCAGATAGAATTTCCTCTCTTATGATTAATACATATTTTCCATAGAAATAATTATTTTAATATGTTAGAATTTAACACATTAGTGTTTTCATAAAAACTCTTGACGATAATGTCAATCATGGCTTTCATTGAAAATTAAAGTTTTCTTTACATTTCTATAGAGGTTCTTCTAGAAACACAAGTTTGCATGTTCATTATGTTGTTGTTGATTTTTTTGTTGTTAAATATAAAAGTGCTTTATGGCTAGCCTTAACAGTATGTATAGGCTAGCATTAAGTGACTTGCATATGGCTAGAATGTACAGCTTTTTGACATTTAATTACAGAAAGCATCAATAAAAACATTAATTTATTACTAATTTCATAAAAAAAATTTTTTGTTGAACTTCATACATCAAAATTATGATTTATTATTTTATGTACTCAGTTCACCACAAACTTGAATACTTAATGATACCATATTTATTGTAAATCTGTTTATATTTTATAGAATCCAAAAGAAAGGGTGATGAGGAAATTGAGAACCCAGTATCAACAAAAATGAAGAAAATTGAAACACAAAGGCCCAGTGACCTAATTGTACTTGGTTTGCCGTGGAAAAGCACTGAGGATGATATGCAGGAGTATTTTAAACAGTTTGGTGAACTTATTTTAGTGCAGGTACTACACTGTTTAATCTAGTATGCTTATATTAAAACATATACTGATCATTAAGACAAGTAATATGTAAGTTAAGACAGTAATATGTAAGCAGGGCCAGCAAAATCAGTTGTCCGTATTGCCCAGGTTGTCCCACAGGACAAGTGAAAAATTTTAAGAATAAACTATGTAAATATCATACAGACAAGTTAAAAAATGCTTCACGTATAAACAGACAAGTAAGTCAAAATCAGATTTTGCCGGCCCTGATGTAAGTAAATGATAGGATTTGTCTGCTTGACAAAATCAATTTATACCAGCTCAGCATCTACTTTTCTCGAGGAATTTCAACCAAATTTTTACAGAATAATTGTCAACAAATTTCTGAAGTGAATGAGAAAAGGAACTTGTAATTTGATCATTTTTTGCAAAAGATATGGACCTTTAAATCTTTTCCACATATGTAAGTTATATCGTGGAAAACTTGCCTTTCTGACAATATCCTGTCACTCATTTAATCTGTAAAATTTCTTAAAACCTCAAAGTTTTGTGTAATTCATGCCATTCAAGCTAGTCTAAAAATAATCAAATCAGTGTCATGCATGTAATTAAGATGTCCAATATGGGTGATTATTTAAAGTCGTTATAAAGATGCCGACTTCAAATTTTAAAGATGCTGACTTCAAATATATAACGCTTTGTCATTACAAGTACGAGTTTTTTAACTTTTAAAAATTCTTTTAAGGACTTATAAGCCTTGCTGGATACAAAAATCTTGGTTTATCTTCTCCAGTGCCTTAATGGTGCCAAAACCTATGAATGGTAGTAAAGACAGTAATTTAACCCTTAACCTACTGAATTTATGTAATTGAACAGTCGTGGTTTGAATTTGAAATATTCTAATCTGTTCCAAGGTTAAAGGAGTTCAATTATCAAAATACTTGATGTACAAGATTGAGTTACCAACAGACTACCACTTACTTTACAAGTGTAGATAAGCATTTCCATTATGTAAATTCAGATTCTTGACCTTGCTGCTGCATTCCAAATACATGTACTTGTATATAAAGGATAAGAAACAATGAATTTTCAAAAAAAAAAATCATCATTTGCATAAAGTATGACACAAAGCAAATAATCGTGTTTTAATATTTTAAATTTTCAGGTTAAAAGAGATCCTAGATCTGGGCAGTCTAAAGGATTTGGGTTTGTGCGATTCAAAGATTATGAATCCCAATTAAGATGTCTTGCTGCACGGCACAGGATTGACGGGCGATGGTGTGAGGTCAACTTGCCAAACTCACATGTAAGTTAATGCATCACTATATATTTGATGGTATTTAATATGATTGTATCCTGATGATCACAAAGATATCGTTGTGTAGTTTTTTAGCTCACCTGTCACAAAGTGACAGGGTGAGCTTTTGTGATCGCTTTTCGTCCGTCCGTCATCCGTCCGTCCGTAAACTTTTACTTTAAATGACATCTCCTCATAAACCACTAAGCCAATTTCATCCAAACTTCACAGGAATGTTCCTTTGGTGGTCACCTTTAAAAATTGTTCAAAGAATTTAATTCCATGCAGAACTCTGGTTGCCATGGCAACCGAAAGAAAAAACTTTAAATATCTTCTTTTAAAAAACCATAAGAGCTAGAGCTTAGATATTTGGCATGAAACATTTTCTAGTGAGTGTCTATCAAGTTTGTTTAAATAAAAAGCCCTGGGGTCAAAATTGGCCCCGCCCCAGGGGGTCATTGATTTTCCCTATATGCATATAGTAAAAACTTAAAAAATCTTCTTTTAAAGAACCAAAAGAGTTAGAGCTAAGATATTTAGCATGAAACATGTTCTTATAAGTGTCTACCAAGTTTGTTCAAATAAAAGCCCTGGGGTCAAATTGGCCCCGCCCAGGGGGGTCATTGATTTTCCCTATATGCATATAGTAAAAACTTAAAAAATCTTCTTTTAAAGAACCCAAAGAGCTAGAGCTAAGATATTTAGCATCAAACATGTTCTAATAGGTGTCTACCAAGTTTGTTCAAATAAAAGCCCTGGGGTCAAAATTGGCCCCGCCCCGGGGGGTCATTGATTTTCCCTATATGCATATAGTAAAAACTTAAAAAATCTTCTTTTAAAGAACTCAAAGAGCTATGGCTAAGATATTGAGCATCAAACATGTTCTAATGGGTCTCTACCAAGTTTGTTCAAATAAAAGCCCTGGGGTCAAAATTGGCCCCGCCCCGGGGGTCATTGATTTTCCCTATATGCATATAGTAAAAACTTAAAAAATCTTCTTTTAAAGAACCAAAAGAGTTAGAGCTAAAATATTTAGCATAAAACATGTTCTTATAAGTGTCTACCAAGTTTGTTCAAATAAAAGCCCTGGGGTCAAAATTGGCCCCGCCCCGGGGGGTCATTGATTTTCCCTATATGCATATTGTAAAAACTTAAAAAATCTTCTTTTAAAGAACTCAAATAGCTAGAGTTAAGATATTTAGCATCAAACATGTTCTAATATGTGTCTACCAAGTTTGTTCAAATAAAAGCCCTGGGGTCAAAATTTGCACCGCCCCGGGGGGTCATTGATTTTCCTTATATGTGTATAGCAAAAACTTAAAAAATCTTCTTTGAAAAAACCCAAATAGCTAGAGTTAAGATATTAAGCATGAAACATCTTTTAGTGAGTGTCTACAAAGTTTGTTCAAATAAAAGACCTTGGGTCAAAATTGGCCCCGCCCCGGGGGTCATTGATTTTCTTTATATGTGTATAGCAAAACTTAAAATCTTCTTTGAAAAAACCCAAATAGCTAGAGTTTAGATATTAAGCAAGAAACATCTTCTAGTAAGTGTCTACAAAGTTTGTTCAAATAAAAGCCCTGGGGTCAAAACTGGCCCGGCCCCAGGGGTGTCATTGTTTTTAACTATATGTGTATAGTAAAAACTTTAAAAAAATCTTCTTTTAAAAAGCCCAATGAGCTAGAGCTTAGATGTTTAGCATGAAACATCTTCTTATGGGTGTCTACCAAGTTTGTGCAAATAAAAGCCCTTGGGTTAAATTGGCCCTGAAACGTTGGGGGTTGGGGTGGTGGTTGGGGGGCCTATATACAGGTGAGCGACCTCAGGGCCATCATGGCCCTCTTGTTTTATCATCCAATACTTGTTGGATATGTTAATGTATTTATATATATGTATTTGTAATTTAAAAGTTATGCAAGATTTAATATGAGGTTGTAAAAAAAGTAGGGCTGTCATTGAAGGAAAATTTTGTATTGATATATAGAGAGACTAATATCCATGATATATCGATATTTGACTTTTACAGTAGAAACAATGAAAAACACTTAAATATGTGTTATAAATTGGGATCAAATTGGTGTAATGCATGCTTGTATTAGACATTACAAATACTACAAACCAACATAAAGTTGATTTTTTTCTGTTATCTTTGTCTCTGACATTTGAAAACATAGTTGAAAGATCAAGTTTAAACATTTAGAAAACTTGCTAAAGTGACTTCTCTTATTAGGCAAAATAGAAAGGTATATTCACAAACAGAAATAATTTTTTAGCTTGTATCAATATTTGAAAGTGTGTATCAATATTGTATTTGATGATAAATATGGATGATATAATGATATTGCAATATTCAATGACAGTCCTAAAAAAACGAATTATTATAACGATAGTTCTGAAATGTCTCTGTAGTAATAAAAAAACTTTGAATGTCTAAGGTTTGCATGTTGCTAACATACAGGTAGCTTAAACATATACTTTCAGAATGAGAATAGTAATGTGTCTACAAACAGGAAGATATTTGTTGCCAGATGCACAGAGGATATAACTAATGAAGATCTGAAAGAGTACTTTGAGGAGTTTGGGGAGGTTGTCGATACATTTATTCCAAAACCCTTCAGGGCATTTGCGTTTGTCACATTTGCTGACCCGGCTATAGCACAGAAAATGTGTGGAGAAGACCACATTATCAAAGGGGCAAGTGTCCATATAAGTAGCGCTGAGCCCAAGGGTAAAGATAGTAGTAACTTTCAAGGGGATAGGCACATGGGTGGTAGAGGGGGTAAACAGAGAATGAGGGAGGAGCCAGGTGGTAATTGGGGTCAACCAAGTCCCCGACAGCCAGAAAATATGGCTGTTGAACCAAATATTAACAACATAGGTATGAACATGTTAAGCTCTGCAATGCTGGCAGCTGCTCAAGCTGTTTTTCAAGGGGCATCTAATCCCAATGCATCTGAAAGCTACCAATTAGGGCCGGGGTTCGGGGGCACTCGGGATAGTCGCAGCAGTGGGGGATATTCATCAGGTAATTCGTGGGGCAGTGGGGATAACGCACAAGGCAGTCAGTCAAGTTACTCCTCATGGGGTAATAGGTCAGGCGGTGGTGGGGGATATTCAAGCAGTTCTCCATCACAGTGGGGGGCTCAAGGATCATCCAGGGGATCATGGAATTAAAGATTTTGGGTTGGGTTTCTATTTATATTTTACAATTTTATTTTTTTAAATGGACAGATGTAACTTTTAAGAATACCTTCTACTTAAAACAATCTTTAAAAATTCATTTGATGTATTTTTCAGACGGAATAAGATAAAAATTGAAATCTACAGGAAGGGAAAGTGATGGGTTTGGGCAAAATATTTTAAGGGGGGTTTAAATATTTGGCATACAAGATTAAATGAGAGTCACAGTAATCAATTTATTTAGAGTCTGCACAGATTTTAGATGTTTACAATTGTTAGCGATCTTTTATAAAGCCATCTTTTATAACTGATCTGTTTTGTATCAAAACACTTTATACCATTTATTTGGTGTTAGATGCCGGACAAAGTTTCTTAAATCTTTTACATGTGACTTATCTGGCATAAGATTTTTGTTGGATGAATTTCTAATTATGATTATATTATTCGTATGGTTTGATTGGACTTTTGAAAAAGACATAGGTAGTAGAAAAGAGGTAGCAAAGAATGAGACAAGGGCAAATAGGGGGGAAGATGGGTGCTAAGTAGCAGGGTGGTTGGTAGTTTGGAAACAGTAACCATAGAGAAAGGGTCTGAGAGAATATTACATAGAGGGATATGGGAGTGAATACCCAATAGGCTATGAGATGACAAAAAAAAAGAATGCAAATTAAGAGTGACTGCACTACAGATAGATGTTTGTTTATGCAAGAGAACATATCTGAGTGAGAAAGAAATACTAACTGCTCAAAAAATATCTCATAAATTGGAGGTAAACTTTTGAAAAAAACTGATGATGATATGATATAGGAAAACAATAGACAGATTGGAGTTTTGTGTGTAAATAAAGAAAATAACTGAATGTGAAGTTATCAACACGCTGTGTTTATTATATCCGAGTGTTAGAGCACGAACATGAAAGATAAATGCTGAAAACTGGTTAGAACGAATGTATAGGATGATTTAGTTGATTGGTGAATGTTGTTTAGAGAAAGTTATAGTTTGATGTTTTTACTGAGAGTTTTCTGAATGTTGAGTTGTTGACATTGTTTGAAGTTGAGAAGTTGTTTGAAAAAGAGAGTTCTTAAATTTAATTTTAGATTTTCATTGAAATAACCCTATTTTACTTGTATGTATTTTGTTAAAATTATCTGTTATGATTGGACGGTTATGTTTTAACAAAGTTGAATTTCAAAAGACACAGGGGTACATTTTTGTATATACATGTATTGGGGAATTAGGGGATTTAAAATGAAGTTTATTGAAGTAGGGTTATTTCAGGAAATCATGTTTTAATCATGACTAAGTCGAATCCACATCTTTGTCATATTGTTAAGTAACATTGTTTTGTATTTTGTTGTTAATCATGATGTAATATGTAAATGGGAGAAAATAAAAAAAAAATTAAGTGTGAAAGATCAGTGACTTTGTGATAGATGTGCAAAAATATTGAGCAATGAAAAATATTACTAGTATATAAAAATAGTGGGCCATACAGTCAAACTATTATCAGAACAAAAGAAATAATTGACCACAATCTGTCACAAAAAATATTAGGCCTAGAACCCCTGTACAATAAGCTGATGTTCGCCCATATGGTCTCCTTGTGGCGAGGGTAAACAATCTCAAACACACACAAGTACAACAAAGAAAAATGACAAAAAAAAATAGCTCTTTAGTCCATTTTAAGTGGCATGTCAGTACATTTAAGTAGCATGTCTGTACATTTAAGTGGCATGTCTGTACATTTAAGTTAAATGAGGCATGTTGGGCCCATTTAAGTGGCATGTAAGTCCATTTTAGTGGCATGCCTGTTTTAGTGTCTAGAAAAAATGATCATGATTTAACGACTGTGTTATTATACAGATTTTTTATATTTCACACTTGTATTGTTCCATGGACTCTTGAGAATATAACTTTAACACAATCTAATTGAGCAATACAACCTATCAGCATCTTTAATATATAAAAGAGAAACATGACATGCACAAAATATTAGCTACAAAATTCTTATTTGAATTAAATATTTGAAACTAAAAATCTCTAAAATGTGAAAACTTGCGATGACATGAATATGGAGAACCTTTGAACAGGAGAGAGAATTGGAAGGACTGGAGATGAGAGAGTTTGAAGGACTGGGTGATACATGTATGGTGTAGAACTAGAAGACTCGATGTGCATCAAATGTGGAGTGAGAACTTTGTCTGAAAGAATGATCTACGTTTGTACTAGTGGCTTGTGATGTCAGAGATCAGCTTGTGCTATGATGTCAGATTGCTGGGCAAGATGTTGAGGATGGTTGGACAAAAGGGAAGATACATTTTGTTACTGGAAGATTAGATAAATGTGAAGTTCTGTGCTAGATTACCGTATGAATGAAACAGATCCATTTCAGAGATGAGCACTGAAAGAGAATCGAACAGGTTGAGGTTGAATGGTGAGGAAAATGGGAGGAATGTTTACCGCTGCGAAATGTGTGGAATGTATATATGTGTGATCATTAGCACTAAACCTGCATAATTTATGTAATGAATTGGACCAGCTTTGTATTTGCGACAGTTTTTTTGAAAAATTCAGGGCTTTCAATATCGAAATACAATAATCCTAGTTCCATCAGCATAGAGCCTGGACAGACTGCAGGGATGTGCAGGTTCGTCTGGCTCTATACTGGTGGCAAAGGCATTTGGTTCCAGCAGGTAAAGGGTACATGTATGTCATGTGTGTGGAAATCTTTAAACAAAAAAAAAAAGAATTATAAAAATGATGTCTAACTTTTCAGCAGATTAACTATGATATATAAAAATCATTGCAGATTATGTAAATGGATTAAGCAGGTATGTATAGTAGAAGGTAAGTACATTATTTATTTCTTGATAAAAATAAAGTTGTATTGAAGTTAGTAATAAAAATTTTTATAATGCCAGGTTTGGCACAAGCTTATTTTTGTTGGTGGGCTTGCTGGCTGCAAAAGGCTGGCCCCCCTAGTATTGTACTTGTCTTTTCATTGATTAATCAACAAATGAGAATACAAAAGAAAAACTGGCATTTTTAAAATTGACCGATCTAAATAAAAAAACTTCATAATGAAGCCTAGATTAGCATTGAATTGCCTAATCGTCTCGGATGATAAAGGACTGAATATATTCATTTTTATGCTCCCTTAAAGAAGTGCATTGCCTGTAACTCTTCTGGACCTCTACAAAACAATTGCATAAATCATACCCCTTAGGTAAAAAATGGCTCCCCCTTTATTGTGCCCTCACTTTAGTGGAGGGCATTTAGATTTACCCTTGTCCGTCCCTCCTTCTGTCCGTTCTCTTTTGTGTCGCACGTAACTCAAAAAGTATTTGACCTAGAGTCATGAAACTTTACAGGAATGTTGATCAGCATGTGTAGTTGTGCACCTGGGTATTTTCGTCTGGATATTTTTAGAGTTATTGCCCTTGACTTAGTAAAATTTTGCAATTTTCAACTTGTGTCTCATGTAACTCAAAAAGGATTTGACATAGTCATGAAACTTTACAGGAATGTTGATCAGCATGTGCAGTTGTGCACCTGGGTATTTTCGTGTGGATTTATTTAGTATTTTTAGAGTTATTGCCCTTGACTTAAATTTTTTTTGCAATTTTCAAGTTGTGTCGCATGTAACTCAAAAAGGATTTGACATAGAGTCATTAAACCTTACGGGAAGGTTGCTCAGCATATTTAGTTTTGCACCTAGGGTTTCGCTAGTGGATTTATCTAGTATTTGTAGTTATTTCCCTTGACTTAGTAAAAACAGTTTCGTTATGTTGTTATTTGTTCCTTGAGTGCTTGAGCTAGAAATCATAAACTTTACAGGAATAATGATCAACATCACTAAATTACAGGAATAATGATTTTCATGACTGTGAAGCTATGCACCTGGGACTTTGCATGTGGATTTTTTTCAGTTTTGTTAGAGTTATTGCCTTTGACTTACAGTAGTATAAATTTGCAATTTTCAACTTTTATTAAGTTCTGGGAAACTTAATGCCCAGAATTAAGTAATTTAGTATCTCCTTCTGGTCCTCTGCAAAAGTTACAAAAAATTGTGTCCCTGTGATCAAAATTTGTCTCCTTACCTTGGTTCACTTCATTTATATTATTAGTTATAAAGGTTTTTGACAGTTTTTATGGTTCTATATAATTTATAAACCGTTGTTTGGAAATAAACAACAGTTAGGTGTTTATAATACAGCGAACTTCCTTTTATTTTAAAAAAGTGTGATTTCTTTATATATTGACACAGCTGTGTATATAAAACTTTATAATGCTGCATGATTGTAACATTGCTTTTCTTTGGATAATTGTGACATTTATATAGTTTTATATACAAGGCTGTTGTCGATTTATGAAGAAATCTCACAATATTTTCTTATGAAAAAGTTTTGCATCACATTTTTTTATTCTCTTAAAAAGGTCCACTGCCTAGCTAGTCATTTTGCCCAGTTGTTAAGTCAATAATGATATACATTGTCTTAAAATATTATTCTCTTCATAGTCAATGTAGCCTCATTGAATATTAAATGAAGATAAAAAAATATTTTTTAAACAAAATGTAATTATTGTAGGTACAAATGAGCCACATGTGTTCTGCTGTAGGCCTGCAGATAAATATGTACTATTTAAAATGCCTCCTATGTCGTGGAATAGCTTGTTTTATCATTTGATATTTTAATGAAAATTTAAGACTAATTATGCAGGCTTTTACTTGTCCAAATATCTAGATCTAGTCAACTTAAGTTTTACTGGTCCTTTAAATTAAGTTGTCTCCGACTGATGGACCAGCCTCATCAAACAGTTATAAGATGCAGCGTATTGTAGAGAACAAAGGTACTGGGTTGCGTTTCATGGAAAGTCCTTAGTCTAAATCAGTCTTAAGACCAAAAATTGAGAAAGTTTTGTGTCCTAACTTACGACTCCTTTATGAATACTTGTTCATTTTCTTAATAGCTATACATGTATAGATAAGCATGAACAGATGTCGTATCCTGGGAGAATAAAAATTAATTAGTCTTTGACTACACATAATTTTTTTTATTGAAATGATCTTAAGTTAGTCATATAGTTGGTCATTAGTCCTAGGACTTAAGATACACTTTTGACTTCCTATGAAATGCAGCCCAGGTATTTAAAAATTTTGCAGCATGAATAACTAGAAAAAAACATATGTTTTGGTCAAATCAGTGTGACAAGCACTGTTGGCTAAGAGAACAGGTATAATTTCAGCTTGCACCATTTACACTTGTACAAGGAATTTAATACAGGGATTTAATCTGTGATATTAATTTTGTTGAATATAATTATGTGTGTATTATAAATTTATGCAGTAATTTGGAATATATTATATACATGTATTCATATACTTCTTGCTTTGGTAGAAAATTATTGTTTTTTACATGAATAAATCTATGACAAAAATGTATTTTGGTTTTGTAGTTTATTGCTTGTATGAACAAGTACTGTGGCAAAGTATGAGATTATAAACAGAATATAGCAAGTACAGTGTTGGAAAATTTCAAGAAAAAAATAACAAATCTCAATACACATTCTTGCAAGTTACATTGGTGAAAATTATAAATTTTATTTTTTTCTTGCAAAAATTTGTTCAAGAAGATAAATTTTACATGTATTTAGAGGCAGATTTGAATTGCTTTGTTAGTTTTAATCAAAAACTGTACTTTTTGAACCATCTTTATATGGCATTTGGTATTTTTTATTGAAGATTTTCAAAGTCCTCCATATAATAGAGGAAAAAAGACCCCACTGGTGATGTTTTTTTTAAAAAATCAAACAGGTTTTTTTGCTCACACTAGAGAAGACAGAGGTGAGCTTTTGTGTTTGGAAGTTGTAAAATGTCCGTCTTTGTCTATCTTTTTCTAAACCACAAGGTGGATTTTGACCAAACATAACAGGAAATATCCTTTGGCAGCCCGCAAAAAAAGTTTCATAAATAGTTGTATTTTGATGCAGAAGTAGGTCACAAGAGCTAAAAAGAACCAACTGAAGCGGGGCAATGTTTGACATTTTTATATTTCCTATTAAACACCCATTGGAGGATGCAAAAGTGGAAGAAGCAAAGTGTAATGAGGGTTATGCAGGGAAATATTACTTGAAATTTTGTGGAACTTTCCTAGACATATCCTGTCATAAATGCTGTATTTTCAAAGAAAAAACAAAAACTACTGCACAAAATTTAGCGTCCTGTAGCCATAGTCTAGGTCACACAAAGAGGATTAAAATCAGATGAAAATATGTGTGCATGCCTGTAAGACATCATGAATTTACAGATATAGTCACATATGTACACCATCACAAGACTGTGACATGCTCGGCCTATGTATGTATGATAAAAATCACTATAGTAATAGGATGAAATGTCCAGATTTTATCCCGAGCATATTGTCAAAGGGATATAAATATTACTTGATAAAATGTTCACCATTATGAGACAAACTGTTACACACAGGATCCAGACATCTTTGAGTTCAGGAGAAAAGGCTTGTCCAGATCAACATTTCTAAATGCATCGAGTTTATTTTAACTATAACTTATCATAAAGATAATGTTCACCATTGTGAGATATAATGCATGTGCATCCAGGTCTCTTTATAAAGGTCAATGTCACACATAGAGGTCAAAGGCTAGATAATAAGTATGAAAATGTGTTACTGTAAGGGCCATTTCATCATCACAAATAAATTGATTATAACACAAACACCATTATAAAGACTATGCATCACAAAGGTAATCTAGATCAATATATTTATGATGAATGTTACAGATGATGATGAAATGTCTAGATTTTGTCTTGGGCATATCTACGTGCATAGCAGGATTTCAGTATTAAAATGTACTTATTGCATCATCATGAGATGTATATCATACACATATAAACTAGGTCATTATGTAAAAGGTCACACATATAGGTCAGAGGAAAGAATTGTCCATATTACATTAGTGCCATGTAGTCTGTGGAATATTCAGGACCCTGTAACTGTTGTGACAGACATTTTTTTATGACAATGGCACCTTATGTAAATCATTAAATTTCTTTTAAGCAAACAACTTTAAAATGTGAGCTTTAAATTAACTATATGGGGTGTTAACATATTTTATATAGCCAGTCTATACCAACTTGAACATTTTTTTAAACCATGCATGTCCAGACATTGAAATGTATTTGCTTTCTAAGAAAAACTTATGGACAAATAATAATATAAATTATTATATTTTTCATATTAGTACATCATACAATAAAACTGTGCTCAGAGCATGCTCTTTGCACCATGATTATTCCAGTAAGTCAAAATTATGTCTTACAAATAAAATATAATCAAATAGTGAACATGCATCATAGGACCTTTTTTGGGCCACATTTCAAATTGTGATTTTTTTTTGATAACATTATCATTGCTGCAATTCAATTTTATTTTTATTTTTTAAAAATTCAAGGCATCCTTTTCTGAAATAACCTGATATTCACTAGGTATAATCCTTTGACACACCAATTTTGTTTTCTACTATCTTGGCTTTATTTTACCGTAGATCATGCATCTTTGCATACTCTGATTTTCTTCTTTCCAGTTGAATAGACACTAAGTAAATTAAAATTGCAAAACAATTAAGAACTGGAGGACCACATCACTCCAGACAAATATGTACACAGTATCACAGGAGATTCAGTCAGATAAGTCTGTAGTCATTCAGAATGTCTTTAGCTGGTCCAGGGCCAAATCTGTTAGGTGTCTGCAAACTTTTAAAACATTCTCTGGAGTCCTAGAGTATATCTGAAAGTATAAATGAAATGTGCCGCGTCACAATAAAACCAACATAGTGCTTTTGCGACCAGCATGGATCCAGACCAGCCTGCGCAGATGCGCAGGCTGGTCTGGATCCATGCTGTTCGCTTACAGGCCCTTTAACAAGTAAAACTGACAGCGAACAGCATGGATTCTGATCAGACTGCGCGGTCTGGATCCATGCTGGTCGCAAACCCATTTTGTTGGATTTGTCATGATGCAGCTCATTTATGTGCTATTTATTTAGTAATTCCAGTAACATTACTGGCTAACCAGATGTCACACTGAATCACCAACGTTAGAAAATTAAATAATGACTTTACTATGATACAATGTAACTCTATTTAGTTGGACAAAAAGTAACATTTGCCTCGATTAAGCAATGCCGTCATAATTTTAGTATCTTTAGTATTAAAAGTTAATTGGAAAATAATCAAGTAGAGTATACCTTTAATTTTCCATCTCTTCCAACAAATGCCACTGATGTTCCAATAGTCAACAATGGCATCGCCTGCATAAAAAAAGAACAATGTAAATAAAATTAACAGATATAATAGAATTTCACAAACAATGGACTATCTTTAAAGCCAGCTTGTCAATTTTACACTTTTACAAGTCCTGAGTTTATAACCTCATTAATTTAAAATCATTAATTTCATAAATGCTAAGATCTTATTCATAGAGATGACAGATACTGTATAGTGTATTTAAAAATTGTATTGATGTAACAGATTTCAGAATCTGTAGAACAAAGAAAGTGACATTTCCAAATTTGCTGTCTATTCTTGGCTTTTATAATATTAACCGAAGTATAGTATGTAAAAACGAATAAAATTTTTTTATTTTTTTGTGGTATTTCCAAAATGATTAATAAATTAGGTTGTTTAGTAACACAAAATGCCTCCAACTTATCCTTAAATAACAGCCCTCGGGGAAATTTTCTGATATGCACAATAAGGTATGATACTGATCTCTCCTTTGAAGTTTTATTAAAATCCCACCAGCAGTTTGACCTGTGAAAGCGGGACAATATTTTTCTATTTATAGCTTTGGCAGCCATTTTGTGTAGCAAAGCAGCATGTGCTGGCAATATGCACAACAAGGTATGGTACTGATCACTCCTGTGAAGTTTCATTAAAATTTTCTGAACTTTAAAAGTCTTGACTACATGATATCAAGGTAAATTTTTTATAGGTTTTAAGACACATTTTTAGTGTAGAAGTCCTATGGCAACCATAACCAGCTTTATTGGTAAAGAAAGACTTTTGGTGTCGCTAATTGTATTATGTCAAGCTGGTATCTGAGAAGAACCATCAACATTGCAAATTTGCGAAAGGTATCTCTCTGCTACAAACAGTTGAGGGGCAAATAATTCAAGTAGGTGGCCTTACTTACATACAGGTATGTAATGCCAAAGTATGAAAGTCCTTAGCTTAAAGATGTTATGGTCAAGGTGAGAACTGTCCAAAGAAGGACAATCTAATAAACAATATTTTGAAATCATCTTAGTCTGCATAGGGCAATTTTTTTACATATATTGTGGTGGTGTTGGTAGTTTTCACTCCGGATCACGGCAGTAAGCCACATTGATTTTACCAAAGCAGTTCAGCCACTGCATCGTTTTTGGGCAGGCCGTCAAGCAGTTTACCAGTACTAGTTGCCTTCACTTTCGCAAGGAACTGATTACTTCTGTACATGCAGGAGCAGAGGTACAGCGCGAATGACCACAGAAAGGTTAATATGATCAATCACAACGAAAATGAACTGCGCCATTCTGGAATCAAACCCTGGTCACTCGATTCACAGTCCAATGCTCTACCTATTGAGCTAACAAGACGGCTTACATATATTTTGTATTTTGCCCTCCGGTTATCTATTCATGCAAGGACCTTACAAAAAGCCTCATCACTAATACTTACATTTAGTTTAACATGAAATATGTCATAAAAATGTCCCTCTAATCCAGACATAAACATCTGAGCTTCTTCTGATGTAAAACTGTCACTTTCTGACATGTGTATTCTACAACAAAAAAAGAATTGATTGAAAGTTATTTAATCAACATGTTACAAAGAAAAAAACAGCTTTTTTTCTCTTTCCATTGCAAGAGTCATTCATAGGCATTTTTCCCTTAGAAAAAATCTTTAAAATCATGCATTTTTTTCCTGAAGTTTTTCTTCTTCCTCTTTTGAAAAAAAAAAATGTTAAATTAAAAGGAAAGTCCTTTCCACTACCTGTTCAAAAAAAACTCTAGAATTTTAACAAAATGGGCTTAACTCAACCTCTTGATCCAATATTGTACACAATAAAAACTTTTAATTACATACAGTTATGCATTATTGAAGAATCATGAAAGTTAAAACTGAGAAAGAAAAGAAGTCATCAGTTTCAGTGACTTGAGTAATACAGTCTAGGTCTTTAAACTACTTAATGCTGCTTGATTTAAGACAATATTACCACTGAGAACCAGTACATTTTATCACATATAACAATACTGAATAAATAGATTTTTCTTTAGAAAACAACGAAAACACAAATTAACAAGCATCACATTCAGCACAGTGACCATAATGTGAAATGATCATCAATTTTAAAGCATATAGCACGCATGTTCATACTATGCGCATAAAAATTCTAGAATTCCGTTAGGCATGTAGAATTTGGTTTATACAGAATTTATTTTAGATTGATTGTGTAGGAAGCTATAAGCTTATACACACACTCTAACAGAAACATTGCAACACTCTAGAATGACAAAATAAGTTCAGAGCTGTCTTACTAAATTCATATACTAGTATATGAAATTTTAAAACAAGTCACTGTTGGAATGTAAGATTTGACATACTTGTTCCATAACCTAAGACAGTCCTCGGCCTTGGTAGAGTAATCTATGTTAGAAAGTCCTTCTACTTCTGTAGGTATACCATACACCAACTCACAAGGCTTGTGTACTGAAAATTCAATATAAATTTGCATCGATCTAATGAAAATTCTCCAAAAACCTTGCCATTTTGGTTAATATTTTCTTTCTAAATTCAATATTTATTTACCAAGTCACATGAAAATAAGGCCATCCTTAAAAAAATGTTTGTTTGCAGTAACGCGACCGACTCACAAAATTTGCTCCTACTCAAATTTTTTTTCATGGTCTGGATAAACAAATTTTTTTTTTTTGAATCAGAAAATTATGCCTTGTGCTTTGTTTTTGTTCTTTTAAAGGTTAATAGAAGAAATAAAATGTAGTTCTTATTAAATTAGAATTCAGTTATCAATTTATTAATTGTTACCAGATTATCAAAGCATATATTGTCCAGCATTTTGAAATTCCATGTTTATTTGGGTTCAATAAAAAAAAAAATAAAAAAAATAAAAAAAAATCGACCTACCTACCCACCTTGAAAATTCTGGGTCGGGTTACTGCAAACAAACATTTTTTTAAGGATGGCCTAAAGTTATGAAAAATTGGGTGTACCATTCATGAATGGGATCACCGTAGGGAACGTGTTACAGTATCGCGTTTTTGGGTTACAGTATAGAATTTTAAAGATGGAGGATTATTTGTTGGGAGGACAGGTAGGTGATTTTTATTCCGGTCCATACTACAAGTAGTTTAGTTTCTAAAAGACGTTTGTGTGCTTTGCTTGTAAGGAACAGAATGCGGTATCTAGTCATATATTTCTTCAGACTCTGCACCGCAGATTTATCGCTATATTGTCTCATAAATATGCAGATTTGACAGTTTGAAAATTTGAATCGAGAGACCAACGCATTTTTCTCCAATTTCGACATTATTTATGCATGCCTAGAAAAAGTAAATCTGCAAAACGTTAGTCCTTTATGTTAGGAAACGTTTATAAAAGTAAATGACCAGTTGAACCTATTTTCCTGTTCATTAAATGCGTTTGAAAAAATAAACAATGTTACAGTATAGAGCGAGGTGATTTGTGCAGGGTTACAGCATAGACCTAGCGATTTTTATCCGATTTTGTTACAGTTTATACCCATATTTCAGTTACAGTTTAGACTTCGATATTTTCTATATATACTAGGTAAAATGTATGAATGTTACATAGACTTTTAAATCTCTTGTGAGCTTATTGGCCCGATGGCTATTAGTCCGTCTGTCGTACACATGTATGTGCAATTTCATCCGCTCAGTATAGCAACTTGACTAAATATGATGAAATTTACATGACTTTCTACCTAAGTTGTTCAAATGGTTTTGGTTGTAATCGGGGATACGAAAACTCAAAACATAGATTTTGAAAAAAGGCAATGTTTGAAGACCCTTCTCATCTCGAACCAAAAGCATTCAAATCAAATCATGATCATGGCGTCATTTCGAATGCTTCTTTGTTGAAGTTACGATTATTTTGTCATTATTAAATTAAAAGTCGTTTTTTTTTTATTTCAGACATCCTGTATAGCAGTTTTCATGTTTCTGAAAAAGAAAATAATATTGAAAGTTATAGAGTATAAATTAAGGTCAGACAATTACAATATCTTCTCTAGTGAGCCTGATGGAGGTACATAATAGTATAGTGGCAGAGTCGGGATAAGGCCGTCGACTTCAAATCATCTTTCATTTACTGCTGTAGTTGAAATCCAATCATGACTTTGGATTCTTTGTATGTGAGGAATCTATCAAGCTAATTTACGGAAGGTCGGTGGTTCTAGTCAGGTGCCCGCTTGTGTCTGAAATGTTTCACAAAGGGTATCTGGGGTATTTCTTTACACTAAAGCAGGAATGTTTTCACATGACCTCAGTGTCGTTGAAACTTAAAATCCAAGAAAGCCAAACGTAACAAACCCTTTTAAATACTTACAAAATACATTATGGTAGATGGAAATTCCAACTTAAAATAAAATTTAAGATTGCAGTATTGCTCACTCAAATACTGTTTAATCATTCTTAGGGTATTGCCTACTTGTTAATTGTGTCTTTTGACAGCTTATCTATGGTATGCAGGCTTCATAACCTCCGATCCCCTCTCAAAATTTCATTTTATTTAGTTTCACTCATTGTATTCTCGTTTAGGGCACACGCAATTTTTAACCTGGTGGTAATATGCCGCTTTTCATAGAATGGCAATAACGTGTCACATTGAAGGTTCCATGATAACCGACATATGAACACATCCACAGATGTTAAAAAATCTAAAGTGTACTAGTTCATGTTTAATGTGAATTCTGCTGAAGCCCATGCTAGGAGGCGTGGACGGTAGCTTGCAGTTACCACTACCGTCCATAAACAGGTTTAATCAAACTGAGTCTGCAACATTTTCATGTTTTCCGTGTTGGACTTCTGTTAAGGATTCTTTTTTCTCTATTTAATTACTAATAGGCATTATTATAATGTGTAATGAAATCAAGCAATAATCTTTCCTCTCTCAATACAATTCGATAAAAGTTACTGTTGTTGTCGTGAAAACAGTCCTTACTTAGGACATTACTTATTCTGCAAAAAGTCTCAATCTGAAACTTAAAGTAAGAAAAATAGCAAACTATAACTTTTCTGCTGAAAAAAAGTAATACAACCTTTCAAGAATGTATTAAATAGAAAGGTATGAGTTATTTCATTAAAATAATGGATACACAAACTTTGTTTGAAATTTGGCAAGTATCTAAACTGTAACCGAACTCTGGGTATAAACTGTAACATAATTGGATCAAAGTCGCTAGGTCTATGCTGTAACCCTTCAAAATTAACCTCGCTCTATACTGTAACATTGTTTATTTTTTCAAACGCATTTTACCAACAGGAAAATAGGTTCTACTGGTCATTTACTTTTATAAACTTTTCTAAACACAAAGGACTAACGTTTTGTAGATTTACTTTTTCTAGGCATGCTTTAATAATGTCGGAATGGGAGAAAAATGCGCTGGTCTCTCGATTCAAATTTTTAGACTGTCAAATCTGCACGTTTATGAGACAATATAGAGATAAATCTGCGGTGCAGGGTCTGAAGAAATATATGACTAGATACCGGATTCTGTTCCTTACAAGCAAAGCACAAAAACATATTTTAGAAACTAAACTACTAGTAGTATGGACCTGAGTAAAAATCACCTACCTCTCTTCCCATAAATAATCCTCCATCTTGAAAATTCTATACTGTAACACAAAAACGCGATACTGTAACACGTTCCCTACGGTGGGGATGTTGACAAGCAAATTTTTTTCTAAATAATTTTTTGTTACTGCAAAAATTATGACCATATTTCCTTGTAAGCATAAAGCTATCAGCACTAGTACACCAGAGAAGCTGATTTGAGATTGATAAAAAGTTCAGAGCTTACTAAATTTTATATGTATGAAATTCTAAAACAATTCACTGTTGGAAATTTGAAACTATTTCTTAACTTATGCAACTCCTAATACCAGACACAATACATGTATGTAGACCAAACTCTTACATAGACAAGACAATATGAATAACATATTTTCTATTTCAGTAAAACAACATGGAATAATCAACTAATATTATACCTTCATTAAATCCTGTAAACATGGCTGCCATGAAAGACAACTCATGTGAGGTGAACGTCTGTAGGACAACTTTACAGTCGAACTGAACCTAAAAGCAATAAGAAAGTTCTATTATTTAACCATTTCTTTCAAATTTTCTACTACCATTCATAGAAGTATACTGTTCAAAATCTACTGAACAAAATAGTGCAATATGATATATTCTAACACGACCCGCATTTTTCCCTATTGAACATAGAAGAACCGAAAGTGTGTATTATTATGCTATAAAATCACTGTTTGACGTTCTATATTTAGATATGTGACGTAATCGTTATACACGTGACGTAACCACTAAAAATGTGACGCGCTGAAAATAAGTACGGAAACAAATCAGGCGCAGTTTATCTAATTATCATGTACGGCAGCATTTATTTGTTGATGTCGTGTTAGAATCGAAATAATATATCCAAATCGGTGATTTTATTGCTTGATAACATCACTGTTTGTCGTTCGGATGCGCATCATTATATCACTCGGGCTACGCCCTCGTGATATAATTCCCCGCATCCGAACTCCAAACAGTGATGTTATTGAGCAATAAAATCACAGTTTGGGATATATTATTTCTTAAGTAAAACAAGAGACTGGATAATGTATGATTTTCTGATTTCAAATGGGGCAATCATTATGTCAAAATTCATGAAAGAGTTATGGGTCTTTATAGTTACCACCTATTATGCTCTTAAATAAGTGTGTGAAGTTTAAACTCATTTCTTTTAGTAGTTTGGAGATACCAATATGCACACAAAAAACCTTAACCAAAGAGTGATGCTGACACCGACACAAGGTTAAGCACAATAGCTCTCACTATTCTTTGAAAATAGTCAAGCTAAGAACTGAAATCTTGGCTACTTAAAAACAATAATTTAACAACAAAGAAAGCGTAGTTTCTACTTCAAATTTCATATAGGTATATAATAATATATAATATATCCTTCTACAACAATTTCCAAACATCCAATAATATGTTAAACATGTACTGCAAATGTTTATACGCATTATAAGTAATCATTAAAATATATGCTTTCATTTCTCATTGAAACATTTGGCTTAGATTTTATCGAAAATAAATTTCTAATTACCTCTCTTTATTTATATGAAATGTAAATTTGTTAATATCTTTACAAATAATGCTTTTTGGAACTTATAATATTGACAAGTCATCATTTGTACATCATATACTGTATTCCTAGAATAGATTTCGCACATTTTAAGTTAGCGGTTTTCGCGGTAGGCATGATTCCGCGAATTTTTATAGCCGCGAATATGTCACTTATAACAAATCCGCGAACATTTCTAGCTTCAACCAAATATAACATAAAAAGTGCAGAATATTTATTATTATCTACTTACACAAAACAACATATAAACACAGGTTTTAGAGAAATGTGTAAAGAATTATTTATGTATGTTTTTGATACTAGTGTTCACGTTGAAAAAGAAAATATCAATTATTAGTAATTAACATGCTTATTGACATTATTTGCTAGTCACGGCGTTGACAAACACATTTACAGTTTGCGAACATTGAATGACTTGGATTTCATTTGCTTGAAGTAGGTGTAATCCTTTGTTAAAAGTACAATAGCGATCAAGTGCTACATTGATAAACAGCTGTTATGTTGTTAAATGAAAGCGATGTACAGTCCGATAATGTGTAAACTAGAACTCCGCGAGTCAGATGTGTCGCCTTGTGAACAATGTAGTTTAGGAGAAATGGCCAGGAAAAAAATGAAATATGAAAAATAACAAAGGGCAATAACTAAAAGAAATAATAAGTGCAGAGCAGCAGTTTCTGTGCATTGCACTTCTTATCAATAAGATCTATCATTGTATGATGTTTAAAGTCCATAGCTTTCATACTTGAGGAGAAATGACCAGGACAAAAATAAAGTAAGAAAATCAACAAAGGGCAATAACTCAAAAAATAAGAAATGCAGAGTATCAGTTCTTATGCACTGCACTTTTTCTTAATGAGATCTATCATTCTATGAAGTCCATAGCTTTCATACTTGAGGAGAAATGACCAGGACAAAAATAAAGTGAGAAAATCAACAAAGGGCAATAACTCAAAAAATAAGAAATGCAGAGTATCAGTTCTTATGCACTGCACTTTTTCTTAATGAGATCTATCATCCTATGAAGTTTCAAGTCCATAACTTTTATACTTTCCGAGAAGTGGCTTGGACAAAAATTAAGTATGAAAATTAACAAAGGGCCATAACTCAAAAATTAAGAAATGCAGAGTACCTATTCTTGTGCACTGCACTTCTTCTTAATGAGATCTATCATCCTATGAAGTTTCAAGTCCATAGCTTTTATACTTAAGGAGAAATGGACCGGACAAAATTAAAGTATGAAAATAAACAAAGGGCAATAACTCAAAAAATAAGAAATGCATAGTACCTGTTCTTGTGCACTGCACTTCTTCTTAATGAGACCTATCATCCTATGAAGATTCAAGTCCATGGCTTTTATACATTAGGAGAAATGGCTCGGACAAAAATGAAGTATGAAAATTAACAAAGGGCAATAACTCAAAAGATAAGAAGTGCAGAGTACCAGTTCTTGTGCACTGCACTTCTTCTTAATGAGATCTATCATCCTATGAAGTTTCAAGTCCATAGCTTTTTTAGTTGAAGAGAAATGGCCCGGACAAAATTAAAGTATGAAAATTAACAAAGGGCAATAACTCAAAAAATAAGAACTGCAGAGTACTGGTCCTTGTGCACTGCACTTCGGGTTATTGAAAGAAACATGCATACCAAGTTTGAAGTCAATCAGACTTATAGTGACTGAGTTATGCTCCGGACAAGCTTTAGGGGACGCCGACACCACCGACACAGACGACACCGCCGACAAAAGTAATCCCTATATGTCACCTTTTCAAGGCGACACAAAAAATACGTATCTACATTTTGGAGATAGAGTCAGTGATTATTCAAATGACAATAAAAGCTAACTGGTCTGATTAAATCTTACTTAATAACATAATGAAAAAGGTAAGGAAATATGAAAGTGTTGACGGAACAACCGTCCTTGTTTGAGTAGTCAATAGATGAAAATGTATCGAGTAACGTTGCGCTTTAGGGGTGACTTGAAATAAAATAATTAAAGCACCCACCAGGCAAGGTCATGCATCAAAAACGTAACCTTCAAAAACTGTAATTTAGGCCGTAGTGACTTAACATTCGCGGAATTCGCGGTTAGTACATATCCGCGAAAGTTTGTCTCCGCGAAAATGCCGACGTTGTGAAAAACGCGAAATATTGTATCCGCGAACATTTCTAGGAATACAGTATATGATATGCAACCATAAAAAATTGATCTTTAAGACTGATTAATACTAATACAATGTGCAGTTATCAATATATGATAGATAGGTTATTGGTAATTTATTTGATGCTTTTGATGCAAACAAACAAGATATTACCATTTGTGACATCTAACTGAAAGAAATGCTTTTTAAACTGAAAAAGTACAACAAAAAATGGCGTTTAATACCATACCTCCATCCAGTTCTGTACGGTCTGTGACAATGTTTCTGGTCCACGAACCAACATGTTAGAGAAGTATGTGAAATGAGACTGTAGTGAAGGTTTCAGTGGATTATACTCGAGGTCGGTGCAAAACAATACTGCCTGACTTATCACTTTCTCTACTTCTTCTGTAAAATAAATTCAACATATTCTTAAAATCTTAATATCTCAGTATTTGTAATTCATCAAAGGCTATGACACATGGCTAAGTGTTGTAAAAAGATATATGTATATATAAAAGGGTAACGCTTGACTATAATTGTTCACTTGAATACAACCACCCCAAAAAACAAGGCTACATAAATATTCTTACAATATAAGTACAGACACATTAGTATCTAAATTTATCAAAATTTGCCTTGCAGATGAGATGTCATTTACATAATTTCCTCTTCATTGTACTCATAAGACATTGGGGCCCACAAAAACAAAACAAAAACTGATTTAAAATAAAAAACAAATTGAATTTGAAATATGGTAATGGAAAACTAATTAATGGAAAAAAACAAGAACTAAAAAAACTAATTGCATGAAAATTATCTGAAACTCTGTTGTGAGTAAGCAAAATACAGCTAAAATAAAACAACAATAAAATCGAAGCTCTAGCTCATTGGGTTTTTTAAAAGAAGATTTTTTAAGTTTTTCCTGTACACATATAGTTAGGGTTTCTTAATCGGAAAAAAATCATAATCGATCATCGAAAATAATTGAACAACCTTTTTCGATCAATCATCGATTATATAATCGAAACATTTACGATAACAAAGTAAATATGTACAATGCACATACAATGTATCATGCTTTAATATTTATAAGAATTCCATTAAAAATCTATATTTTGTGTAACTACCACTTAAGATTAAAATAAACTAGTTACTCATGCTTATGTTCATCCTTGAGTAAAATATTTTAATCAAATAAATTCATTATATCTATGAAATTATTATGTCTCAATTCCAATAAACGAATGAATAAGCTATGTATGAGAACAAGAGAAGTTGGTCATTAACAAAAATTCCAGGTTTTTTTAGTGACACTATATATTGATATTGTTACCATCTTCAGTGTGTAGAATAATTTTATACATATCTTCTTTGTTTGAAGTCAAAACATGTTTATTTCATATTTACAAATAGACTGTGTAGACATTTTCTAATTTTAAATTTGAGCATAGTATGTTTTTAAACTAGAATGCCTCACTGTCAACTATTAATCTCATGGTCACCAGTATGCTTTCTCATTCATTTTAATGAAAGTTATTGGGTACACCAAAGCTGGCTTTAATTTAAAGTGTTGTTATAATACAGCGAGTCACTTAAGTAAGAGCAAGAAGATAAATAACCGATGATCGATTATTGAACTTTGTATTTGATCATCGCTAATCGGTCCTATAAACGATCAATTATCGATTATACTCGATCATCGTTTAATCCCTACATATAGTTAAAAACAATGACACCCCTGGGGCGGGACCAGTTTTGACCCCAGGGCTTTAATTTAAACAAACTTTGTAGACACTTACAAGAAGATATTTCATGCTTAATATCTAAACTCTAGCTATTTGGGTTTTTTCAAAGAAGATTTTTAAGTTTTTGCTATACACATATAAGGAAAATCAATGACCCCCTGGGGCGGGGCCAATTTGACCCCAGGGCTTTTATTTGAACAAACTTAGTAGACACCCATAAGAACATGTTTCATGCTAAATATCTTAGCTCTAGCTCTTTTGAGTTCTTTAAAAGAAGATTTTTTAAGTTTTTACTATATGCATATAGGGAAAATCAATGACCTCCTGGGGCGGGGCCAATTTTGACCCCAGGGCTGTTATTTGAACAACCTTGGAAGACACTCATTAGAAGATGTTTCATGCTAAATATCTTAGCTCTAGCTCTTTGGGTTCTTTAAAAGAAGATTTTTTAAGTTTTTACTATATGCATATAGGGAAAATCAATGACCCCCTTGGGCGGGGCCAATTTTGACCCCAGGGCTTTTATATCAACAAACTTGGTAGACACTCACTAGAAGATGTTTCATGCCAAATATCTAGCTCTTTGGGTTTTTTAAAAGAAGATATTTAAAAAAAATTCTTTCAGTTGCCATGGCAACCAGAGTTCTGCATGGAATTAAATTCTTTGTACAATTTTTAAAGGTGACCACCAAAGGAACATTCCTGTGAAGTTTGGATGAAATTGGCCTAGTTGTTTATGAGGAGATGTCATTAAAAGTAAAAGTTTACGGACAGACGGCGGCCAGACGCCGGACGAAAAGCGATCACAAAAGCTCACCCTGTCACTTTGTGACAGGTGAGCTAAAAACTTACTATTCCTAGCTTTTCCTTTAATTTCTATAAGAACAGCCTTGTGATCCTCTGAAACAATAATTCTGGTAATGTATACAGAAATAAAACATATTTAAGAGTTCTCCCTATAAGAAGAGTAAAACTAGCATCTGGTTAGAGTATTAACTCTATACCATACATTATATCTTAAATGGACTTGTCCATTTTTCAATCTGGACAAGACCAATCATTATTTTTTTGGGGAAAAAATTCAAAATATGAACCAATTGAACAGCTAGGCACAATTGAGGTGTTTGACTGTGATTTAAAAATCAAATAGTCCACACCGGACTAAGATTCACCTCCGGGAAAAAAGCCTCAAAGTGCAAGTCCTAAATAAACTATGTGTAAATAATTTACGTAACTAGTGCACATATTGAATTCTGAGTAATTCACCCAAATGATTTCCAGGATCCATCTTCCTTAACAAATTTTACAGTAAATAATATGCATAATTGTACTAACTGACTACAACATTGAAAATTACACCTTCATTACCAGTTACAAAAACTGGTAATGAAGATTTCTAACTTATTACATATTACAATGTAATTTGTTTTAATGACCACTCTGCAATACCAACAAACAGCATCTGCAAAGTTTTTTTGGAAGAAAACCTACATACAGTATATTTAATGTCACAAACCATCACCTGTGTAAACAACTGATACTTCCATAGTGTTTATGAGAAGTAAATGATGGATAATTATTTTTGTTTGTTTTGGGTTTTACGTTACATCGACACAGTATAGGTCATATGGCGACGTTCCAGCTTTATTGGTGGAGGAAGACCTCAGGTACCCTTCCGTGCATTATTTCAGGCATGAACGGGCACCTGAGTAGAACCACCGACTTTCCGTAAGCTAGCTGGATAGCTTCCTCACATGAAAGAATCCAAAGTCCCTGTCGGGATTCGAACCCACAGCGGTGACGGGCAAGTGGTTTGAAGTCAACGACCTTAACCACTCGGCCACGGACGCCCCAAATGATGGATAAGATATGACAACCAGGAGTAGATAATGCAAAGCAGTTTTAATTTGAACAAAACTAAGTCTAGTCATGCTAAGCCTAGTATTGCACAAGTTTTTAAGTTTTTAGAAAACAAAACTGCTAAAATTGACAAACCTATCCCAACATCGAGTCCTGAAAACATGCCCACAGTAGCATCTCCAGGTTCACTTGTGTCTATAAATGTTCCACGTTTACTCTCCTGTAATGTATAAATGACACAATGTTCAAAGAATTATTAATGAATACACAATTTTGAAACAGAATTTCTGAAAACTTCAAACATGTTACTTGTTCATGATATAGGAAAACCATCTGTTCAATGGCAAAGGCTTAAAGTATACATTATTAAAATCTGGATGAAGGAATTATGAGATCCACATGTTACGTTACTTTTATGGTTATAAAAGAATTATCTCAGCTCAAACTTTAATATGATTGGTCAGAAACTGGCATACACTGACCAATAAAAATTCTGAGAAAGAGCTCAGAGACAAGTTTCATAACACTGAGATTACAGCACAAATTCCCAGAGCTTTAAGAAAATAGATAATTAAGCCGTGCCATGACAAAACCAACATAGTGCGTTTGTGACCAGCATGGATCCAGACCAGCCTGTGCATCCGTGCAGTCTGGTCAGATCCATGCTGTTCACTATTTGTTTCTTTACTTGTTATAGGGTTTGTAAGCAAACAGCATGGATCCTGATCAGACTGTGCACAGACTGGTCTGGATCCATGCTGGTCACGTACGCATTACGTTGGTTTTGTCATGGCGTGGCTCATATTATTATTTCATTCATTATCTAAATGACTTGTGCTGTACAACTTGTGAAAACAGATAAATATTCAATCATGATTTTAAGTGCATTAGTTAAACTAAATGTAACTGCTTGACAATTTATGTTTGAAACATTGCTGATAGCAGTCAAAAGCATCTACTATGTTAACCTTCCCTATCCAAAACATATTCTGCATACAGTAAATAACTAATTTTAATTTCATATATACATACTTTGCTATCTGTTGTCTAAGGACAGGGAGCATTTTACAGGTATAAAAGCAAAACTTATCACTGTTTGTTTTATTATTTTATTATCTTTTTATTTCTGAGCCACACTAACATTTTATAAATTTCGCATAGAGACTTCCCAGCTTTACTAGTGGAATGAACCACAGACCATGGTACAGTTTTTAACATTTTTTCAGGCACAAATATATGTATAATCTTGCATTTTGTTAGTTTGTTTTGTTGGGCTTTATATCACACAAATACTGGAAAGGGCATATATATATGCCAGACATACAGTTTCTTTTCAACTTGAATGCTTAAGGATGACCTCAGGTGGCCCATAAAGTATTTGAGAAACATGCGGGCATCCAAGTACAACCGCTGACCTTCTGCTAGCTGGTAATTGTATTTTGCTGTAGTGAAAGTTTCTTATGAATCACAAGCCAGTGATTTTTTTCCAGTATTTTAAAGCCGAATAAAGGCTGTTTCCCCTAGCTCAAAATATGTATATTTTCCCCTAAAAAAAGCTAATATTTTCCCCTGAAATGTCCTGTGCATTTCTTTTTTCCAGAACAATTACTTTACAGCATCTGACTTATTATATCAGCTAGAAGACAGAAAGCTGTCTCTATAGCCTTTGCTATGTACCATGCATGTTAAATTGAATTGAAATTGAAAATTTTATAAAATGTGTGGGTAAATTCCATTCTAAGTTGTTGGAATTTGATTTTCCCATTTTCTGACTTATCGCCCTATATTGACCCCTTCAGAAAGCCACAGGTTGTTTTGAAAATTGAAAAAAAAATCTCTGTTCAAGCAGAAGTTTGATATAAATAAAAGTAGAAAGAGGATATGCTTACTGCTGCTACATGTGAAGATAAACTTTTAGAATAATGCTGCAGATCTGACTTCTTCTCACAGAAATTGTGAAGTGGTGTCAAGCGGAACACCCTCCATACCTTCTTTGTCAGTTCTGAAACAAACAATTTTGTCTCAATAGCTTGTCAAGAAAGTGGAAATGTACAAATACAGATATTCTTTAATGTTATTATTTTCTTACAAATTTTACAATTTCATTAAGCAAAGATGGAAATGCATCAGGAAATATTCCAACAATTCAAACTCGCCACTGGCCTACAAGCAAATAAAGACAATGCCAGGGACATTTTCCAGGATTTTGGAAACATGACTCATACCCATAGAATTGGGAATTTCAGCGGTGTTTTGTTAAAAATTTGGAAAAAATGCATGATTGAAACTTTACAGTGATTAAATGGATTCTAGGATGGCATCTTCAAACATTTAAGCACTATTACAGTGAAGAAGCCCTTATTTTCAAAGATTTTAGAATTTTTATTCATTATTTTTATTTTGTAACTTTCAATTGGGAATTTTTTCCTGTGGATTGGGAAAATAATATACTATTTTCAATAGGGAATATGACGCAATAACAGCTATAAAATAAGCCAAAAAAATCCCTACATGCTAACACAATCAGAGGTTGTTTTCATAGTAATCACCTCCAGTGTGCATTCAAAAGTAGGATTAAGAAAGTCTTCATTAATGATGATGAAAAATGAGGTAATTGATCAGGTAGTGTACCTATTAAAGGAGATTTAGCATCTATTTCCATCTAAGCATTGATAATTATAGCAAAATTACTGTTAAATTATTAAATACATTTTGTACAGAATGGCAAGTACACTCATCCTAACATTCTGGATTCCAGCAGCTTGCTATTCATTCTCATTGATGGCCATAAAATTCACGTACATTTTGTGCCATCATATATAAAATTTAACAATGAGCATCGTGGTAATTCATTTCTTCTACAATGATCGCATACTTAAAGTATATATTGATGTATCAGTTAACGAGTTTGGAGCAATTGCATCAATTATTTAGACATTAGTACTGTTGATATTATGACTCTCTTCAAATTACCCATGATATTGTTCTCTTCCAATTCAGTTCTTTGGGTTACTTCCTGAATTTCTGGCACTCTTGCTGTACGGCTCACTGGTGTACTTGTACTTGATTGCCCATCTAACCTGGTTCTAGGTGTGCGCCATGATGTGCCTGATGAGAATAAAACATGTTTTTGTAACATTTTTTTATAAATCATTTAAAATCTTTTTCATCATATTATTCATATGTTTAGCTTTCTACATTTAGGTTATAATTATACAAGAATTTATCTTCTTTTTTTTCCTGGTAAAGTCTGAGAAAGATTACATTATGTATATTGTATAACTGATAAATACTGAGAAGACTACATGTATATATAGTATTATAAAAATTATGGGAAATTATTAAACTAACATGTCAGGATATGCATGTAGGTATTGAAGTCTATAATATTCTATATAAAAAAAAATTAATTGGTATAAATGTAAAGACTTAATAAATTTCATAATAAATTTTATGTCATACCTAGGGGTCCAAATCTTCGTCTGTCCGGAGTCCTGAAAGGTGTACCAGTTTGAGCTGTTCTAAGAATACTGTTGCGACGTTTAGTTGACCATGCCCCTATTACAGGAGTATGTGATGCTGTCTCCGTCATTATGATCACCTGAAACATTCATTATCATACGGAAATAAATAAATTTATAATAAGTCTATTTAACAAGAGGGTCATAATGTCCCTGAAATCACTCACCTGTATATAGGACCCCAGGGCGGGGCCAATTTTAACCCAAGGACTTTTATTTGAACAGACTTAGAAGACACCCATTAGAAGATGTTTCATGATAAATATCTAAGCTCTAGCTCTTTGGGGGTTTTTAAAAGAAGATTTTTTAACTGTACACATATAGGGAAAAACGATGACCCCACCCCCCCTCCCCCGGGCGGGCCAATTTTGATCCCAGGGCTTCTATTTGAACAAACTTGGTAGACACTCACTAGAAGATGTTTCATGCTTAGTATCTAAACTCTAGCTCTTTGGGGTTCAGCGTTTTTTTTCTCTACTTTGGGAATGGTGCCGGTACCAGACTGATTGGGAAAAAATGCGTTATTTTGACTTATATTGGGAATATTTTTTAATGCATTTTTTCAGCTATAAATAAGATTAATCATCATGAATAAAGATAGCTAACAGCTTCCACTGTCAAGGTAGAACTATGAAGTGGTGATTTATATGAATATGTTGGATTTAAATGATATCAGATAAATTTCTTAGCCTTGTGGGAATTTTGAACAGCCATTTTGGGAATTTAAACATTGGAAATTGGGAATTTTAATGTCTATTTTCTATTGGGAACAGTACCGTTTTAGGGTAGTAGTTATATAAAGAAAAAAAAACACTGGGTTTTTTTAAGAAGAATTCTTAAGTTTTTACTATACACATAAAAGAACAAGAGCTGTCCGTAAGACAGCGCGCTCGACTTTTTTAGTGCTTGCCTATAATACAAAACATTGACAGTTAAGGGCCATAATTCAAATAAAATCTTTGACAGAATTACCTTCTCCTGGACATGTTTGGGAATCATGATTGTAAACAAGTATTCCAACTTTCAAATTAATATCTCAAACAGTTCAGTCAAAAAGTGGACTGGTACTAAAAACTTAACCAAGATTCTAAGTCGATAAAAGGCCTTAATTTTTAAAACAAATCCTTGACAGAGTTACCTTCTCTTGCGTACAGATGGGGGTAATGATGTGAAATAGCATTAAAAGTTTCAAAGCAATATCTCAAAGGGTTAAGGCAATAAGTGGATTTTACCCATATTCAATGTATTTTTCTAAGTCAAAAAGGGCATAATTCTGTCAAAAACCTTGACAGAGTTATGTCCTCTTGTCTGTTGATGAAGGTCGTGATGGTAAACAAGTATGGTCAGTTTCAAAGCAATACCTCCAATGGTTTTGAAATAAAGTGAGGTGGTACAAAAAACTTAACCAAGATTCTAAGTCGATAAAAGGCCTTATTTTTTTAAAACAAATCCTTGACAGAGTTACCTTCTCTTGCGTACAGATGGGGGTAATGATGTGAAATAGCATTAAAAGTTTCAAAGCAATATCTCAAAGGGTTAAGGCAATAAGTGGATTTTTACCCATATTCAATGTATTTTCTAAGTCAAAAAAGGGGCATAATTCTGTCAAAACCTTGACAGAGTTATGTCCTCTTGTCTGTTGATGAAGGTCGTGATGGTAAACAAGTATGGTCAGTTTCAAAGCAATACCTCCAATGGTTTTTGAAATAAAGTGAGGTGGTACAAAAAACTTAACCAAGCTCAATACACTTTCTAAGTCAAAAAAAGGGCCATAATTCTGTCAAAAACCTTGACAGAGTTATGTACTCTTGTCTGTAGATGGAGGTTATGATGGTAACAAGTATGGTAAGTTTCAAAGCCATACTTGTAATACTTCTGAAATAAAGTGGGGTGGTACAAAAAAACTTAACCAAGGTGTGACGCCAACGCTAACGCTAACGCTAACGCCGACGCCGACGCCGGGCGAGTAGGATAGCTCCCCTTTTCATAGAAAAAGTCGAGCTAATTTTAACCCTAGGGCTCTTATTTGAACAAACTTGGTAAATATCTTAGCTCTAGCTCTTTGGGTTTTTTAAAAGAAGAATTTTTAAGTTTTTACTATATACATTAAGGGAAAAACAATGACCCCAAGGTCAGGGCCAATTTTGACCCCAAGGCTTTTACTTTAACAAAGTTGGTAGACACCCACTAGAAGATGTTACATGCTATATATCTAAGCTCTAGCTTTTTGGGTTTTTTAAAAGAAGATTTTTTAAGTTTTTACTATATACAAATAAGAAATATGAATGACTCCCGGGGCGGGGCCAATTTTGACCTCAGGGCTTTTATTTGAACAAACTTGGTAGTCACTGACTAGATGATGTTTCATGCCAAATATTTAAGCTCTTGCTCTTTTGTTGTTTTTAATTTAAAGGAAGATTTTTTAAGTTTTTTCTTTCGGTTGCCATGGCAACCAGAGTTCTGCATGGCACTATTGTTATTTTGTGTCTTTAAATGGGTATTTTAACCAAGAACCCACATTTGTCCATGTATGTTTACTTTAATAATGATGCTTCGCCATTTTGTAAAAAAAAATACAATGGAAATACACGCCTTGTCATCTTGATAAGTGTCAAAGTGACATGACGCATTCTTCAAAGTACATAAATTTGTTGTACATGTGTATTCAAAGTTATATTTATGATTAAATGATAAATATTTTTAAGTTATAACATCGTTATTTTTATGCTTATCATTTGTTGTTTTATTTGTACGAGATGAATTATTAAATTATTTATTTGTTAAGCACATGGAATAAATAATCATATAACGGCCAAAAAAGCTGGGGTTTTTCAAATTAATGTCAGTAAAATAATTGAGGCAATTATCAGTGTCCGACAACAAATATTTTCTGTGCTGTTTTTCATTTTAATGGTGTTGAAAATTAAACTTGTTGAAACAAAAAAGGATAATTTTTATAATTAGTTTATGTAAACGATTTCATTTGATGTTAATTAATCAACTTCAACTAGACGCTCTTTTCTTCTTGTTGTCTGCCCAGACTGGATATGACAAATGTCGAGATTAATACTTTCTTTACTGTGGCCAACATGGCGATTCACCTCTAAAACGTAAACAAACAAAGACAATACAGTCGTTTAGGGTGTTCTGGATCGCTAACAACAATTATATTTGTCACTTATCTGAAAGTAGCATTATTGGAATTTTATTTGTTTCAAGAGAAAGATAAATTCTTCCTCTCTTTAACCAACATAAGTTTTTGCAAAAAGCTGTTAGCTTTCATTCTTGATTGTACCTTCGAGCAGCATGACCTTTTCGGTTATTTCCGGTTCAGTTTAGGCAGTTTCGGACCATATTGAAGATCTTCTCAAAACATTTTCAAAAACCTTCCCAATGGGTTACTAATCAGTAATTGTGATGTGTTTCAGAAATATTCTTTGTTTGTAAGAGCCATTGGCATTAATTATCAGAAGAACAGACAAAAATGCCATTTAACACATGGGTCAATTTAAGACAATAATGATTAAACTATTATTATTCAGAATTATTTATTAAACAAGATGGTAACAATTGACACAGTAGCTAACAAGATTATAAAGCATGTAAACACTGATTGAGATCATAATCTTAAATAATTGGTTTAACATGGTTATCACAGTTAATCAAAGAATAATCAAATAGACAACATACAAAATGACTAGATTTTAAAGCATGTAAACACTGATTGAGATCATGATCTTAAATAATTGGTTGAACAGGGCAATCACAGTTAATCAAAGAATAATCAAATAGACAACATACAAAATGACTAGAAAAGTACACATTATATAATTATAATGTTCAGATCAATGTCACAGAGTGTGCTCAAAACTGATATATCTACATGTACCTTCTGCCATTTTTTCCAAAGTAGAGTTCAACAAGGAAAGGTTATATTCGAATTTGCTTGGTGTACTTGTAATATAATAGGAGCAAGGGATAACTGCTCCACCACCTTTGTCCCCAGGTGCTGGCCAGGGAGGAAAGCTCTGACAGGGTTCACCAGTAGCAACAGCATACACACTGCCATCTTCGTCTAAATTGAAATTGTTTTTAATTTCACCATAAAACAGGAAATAAAAAATGAAACACATAAATATATTTTGCATGAATAACTCTGTCAGTCTGTTAAATAAAGTTGTAATTTAAATACATTCAGATAACATTCTAACAAAAAATCACATTTCAAACAAATAAATCCTCAATAAATCAGCTATAATTCAGGAAAAATATCCCAATTAACAAAACAGTAACACATTTTAATTTACAACATTATTAAACATCAATTGTGACTTGAAATCAGCTGTTTTGACAGTCCAAAGTGCTTTTGAGAACACCCCCAGTATGGAGGTCACGTGATCCGAAACTAGCCGAACGACTGCTTTCATTTCATGGCATGTGACTATTGTCAAGAACAGGTGATGGTATTTTCGCTTATTTTGATTGACAGAGGACATGTTTGTGAACATTTTGGTATATAAACATGATGTATTGGTTCAATATTTACCAATTCACGAGGCCCTGTTCACAGAATCGCCATTTTTTTCCCGTACGTTTTCTGGAGTAAATGTGAAGGTCACTTGTCATCAGGTAAAAAATCATATCATGAAAATCGCTTTTGGTAAATAAATAACCGACAATTTCTCCAGAAAAGACCATTCTTTCAAAATCAAACAACCATTTCAAGAAATATTTACCACATGTTTCACAATTTTATTAGTTTACTGACAGTTGTCCGGAACTAACTAAGATCCGGAACACCCTAAACGACTGTACTGTACTTGTTTCTTGGTTAAAATCCTTGTTTAAGACATAAGATATGCATTTTCAAAATACATATTATTTTGAAAAGTGCTGTATGGCTAGACAATTCAGTGAGTCTTGGTTAGCCATACGTGACTCACGTACGGCTAAAACTTTTGGCTAGCCACTTCCACCTACAATTATTATGGTCTTGTGATCAAATTATCAATCAACTACATTCACTTGTTTATATAGCTATATTGTAAACAATTCATGTGTTTATATAGCTAGCAAACAGGTATACTAAAGTGTGTTCTGGTATGTCATAAAATTGGGAGGAACCATCTGCAAATAGTGCTAAAATGTCAAAATAGTCTAACCACCCCATCTCCTCGCAAAAAAAGAATTACCGTGAAACACGAAGAATTTCTTCAAATTTGGTTTAATTTGTTTACATGTCAATCATTTCAAACAAAGAAAGACATGAGTTACACATGAAAAGCATAAATCGTGAAAGAATTATATATTTAACATATTTTCAGTTTTCATTTGTTTACATTTCGCGCCGGAAATGATTTGACTGAAGAACGATTGTGATTGGACAATATCGTGGATATCTATTTACACGTACTACGGAGCACACGTACAATGGTGAGAAAACAGGTTGAATAACACTATTCAAAACACTCCCAATACTTTGAAAGAACTTTTAGAAATAATGCTATGCAAGTATGGAATAATTTACATATGAGAGTCTTCGTCTCTATATTCTTTTAAAAGAAATAAAAAAATATTTACTTGACATACAATTTAAATGAATCTGATGTATACACGTGTCTGTCGATTTGAATGGTTGCTGTCTATGTTTTTGATATGTGTGTACATATTTGTGATTTTCTTTATCTTGTTTAATTGAAGGCCATATTGTAAATAAGATATGTATTTCTTAATATGTTACCTTCATGAAATAAAGTGTTTATTATTATTATCATCATCATTATTATTATTATTATTATTATTATTATTATTATTATTATTATCATTATTATTATTATTATCATTATTATTATTATAGTGCAGTATAGCTATACTGTATTTTATGAATTTTTTTTATGAAATTAGATCTACTGTAAAAAAAAGTTAATTATTAGAAATGCGTTCTCTGCTTAAGCCGGTGTTAAAAGATATGGAAAGAAGCTTTTGATTTCCACTATCGTCGATGAACAGGCTCAATCAAACCGAGCCTGCAACATTTATCTTTTTTCTTTTCAGTGTTTTATATACACTTAATACCCTAACCCTAACCCTAACCCTAAGTGCTTAATGTTAAATGTTTATTGACAATATTTTAGTTTATATACCATTAACTTGTTAAAATCGTTTTTAAGATTCTGATGTTGTTTGCTAACTTTGCTGCTTGATGCTCTAGGCTTTACTCTGTGAGTAAATATACTTTTCTAGTTTCTAGTTTTTCTAGAGTTCTTTCTTTCCATTTATTTGAAAATTTGTGTCTGTGTCCCGTTGTACTGGTGGCCTATCTGATTTGCAATATTTCATTTTCTATGATATTCAAGATTTGGCCTGGTCACATACATGATTAAATTTGTAAAGCTGTACTAACATTTCTTTGTTCCTAAAAGTAAAAAGTTTAACCATGAGTCCTTGGTTCCTATTAGCCTTATTGATTTTTTAAAAATACTACTTGTTTACTACATGTCATTTTGCAGCAATGATCACGACAAGGTCTTTTTCCCTTGAGTCTTTCATAAAAAAAGTCACAGGTACATTTTGCCCAAAGTGCATAGTTTTGCATTTATTTTTGTTGTTGTTTATTTTATTTATTTTTTGTTTATTTTTTTAAGACAACATGCCATTTCCTTGACCAGTGGCATGCTACAAAAATGTTGTCACGAAGTCTGATTTCGGGTCAATTTCATTGTGATTAATCATGAAATCCTTTCCACGGCCATTTGCACTGTACCTTTGCTTTTGTACATGTATATACAGAAGTAATCAGTTCCTTGCGAAAGTGAAGGCAACTAGTAATGGTAATCTGCTTGACAGCCTGCCCAGGTGAACTTTGCAATGGTAAATTCAAGTTGGCTTTCTGTCGTGAGCCGGAGTGAAAAATACCACCACCACCGCCACCACCACCATTCTGATTATATATCATTGTGCCCATTTATGACAAATATTGAATTAGTGTCGTCTACAAATTGTTTAGCTTTACAGAGAGGTCGTCATGTTACTGACTCAAGCTAAAAATACGACTGTCTTTAGACAAATAACTAGGCAAGATACAAGAAACTTAATTTTAAGTCGGTTTACATATTACAAGAAACATTAGCTAATAAGCTATTTACCGACAATAACAAAGGCATAAAACATATTTACTTAGTTTACTAAGGCAATATTTATACAAATTGTTAAATGGTTAATGAAATTACAGTAAACAACAATGCATAATTACTACACAATATGTATTTTGTTAACACTTGTTTGTTACATTTTAAATATGTTTCACTCGAACGAAAATATTTAATGGTGGTGTTCAACCTCATTGCGGATGTTAAAAGGCCCGGTGTATGTTACGATAGTGGAGCGCCAATTTAAGCTCAAAATGGCAGCGCCCACAAATACATTTTCAGTTTTTGCGCAAAATGATATGAAAATAACAAAAATGAAGCTTAAGAAAGGACAGAAAGTGTCAAAAGGAACTTTAGTTTGCTTGTATACTTCTGGAACAGATGTCATTCAAAAATTGAAATCGAGTGATAGTGGAATCGTAGCCGAAGTAGTGGCCAAGGAAGGTGGGGAGATTAAAAAAGGGTATGAGTAACCACAGGAACTTGAAATTTTATCAATAATCGCCCTAAAGTCCAATGAAAAAAAAATCCATACCTATAATATGAAAATAGGCAAAGCCTATGAGCGGGGAAGTCATTAAAAATTCCTTTCATTCTTTCCGTTTAAGCGTTTTAAAGGTGTCATTCGGTATTATATGCATCGCTTCACTCGGAACACTCGACCATTATCATTTATCCGAAAAGATGAGATTTGTTCCGTTATCGGAATACCCCGCCTATTATCATTGCATTACATTGTAAGTGGCGGCGCCTGACTAGAACTGACACTGAAAATTTCATTGATAGGTATAGAATTCTATATATTTTTTAATTGTTTTTTATTTCATTTTTTTTTAAATATACACATGTAGTCTATAGCCGGGCAAGCCAAAGTCCGGACCCGCTTCGCGAGCGCGTTCTTTGACTTCCCCGTATAATATGAAAAAGGCAAAGCCTCAAAGCGAGCTTGATTTACTTTTACCTTGAAATAGTATTAAATAATCGCTTTTTAGTGAGACTGAATAATCGTTCATTTTTATTTTACATTTTCCGTTTTAAAATTGTCATTTGGTATTTTATACACTGCTTCCGTTTATTGTGGTTGCCTGTTTTATTATGGTTCCCATATAATTGCGCAGGACACCAGTCTACGCTTGCGTTTTCAATTAGAACACAGATTTTATTGTTATCTTGTAATTCGAAAAGTTGCAATGTGTCAGTTTGGTACATCGGATGAAAGTTTTCAAAACCATCATAGCTAGCAGGTATTCGCGTTACCGTAAAGCTCCCTTTGCAAGCAGGCCCTTACGGTCAGCTCTTCAAGCTCTCTGTAAAAAAAAAAAACACGTTTTTTTATATATAGGTATGGATTTTGTTTTTAATGAGACTTTAGGGCGATTATTGATAGAATTTCAAGTTCCTATGGAGTAACTATGACAATAGGAAAAGCTAAACGTATCTGCGTTGTTGTCCCGTCTGTCCGCAGCACTTGTCTGGATAATAACTGTAGAAGTAAATTGATTAATACTCGCTTAGTAGACTAACAGGGGTAGGGTTTCACGAGTTGTATTATTCAGTGTCTATTCTAGGAGGGGGGATGGGGGGATTCACCCATATTTTTGAGAATTCCCCCCTATTTTTTCAGAGGCAGGGGGAAAATTTTACATAGAGAAAGAAGCAAAAAAAATCAACAAATGTAATGAATTATCAGTTTTTGATAAAAATCCCCTGTTTTTCATATCCTAGAATAGACACTGTTATTATACATTTTTATTGGGTTATTTGAAATGTAGGATTTAATAGGTGAGTAAGAGTGCATTGAAGGTAATAATTAATGCATAGTTGTCTTGAAACTCCCATATGTCAAATCGACTTGTGCAGATTTTATCATGTATCATACATTGTATGTGTGCATTTCTTGAATTTTGCGAGACAACTCAGATAACAGTGTCAATGGAGTTTGAGGAAGCGCTGTGTCCAAGAACCTTAATTTATCCTTACATAATATTTTAATTGTCTCCCAGCTATTTGTTTATAGTAAGCATCTGTCAACACAGCAGCCATATTTATAGGACACCATTTTAATTAATATAAAGCAGACCAATACAATGTGCGACATATTAGGTGAAATTAGTTCATATGTTTAGAATTTCAGTCAGTTTGGTACAGGAATATAATTTTTGTTTTCTAGGGCAGTGTTGTTTACAGTACAGGAATGCAACCATCCCACCGTGATGAAAGATATGTGTGCAGATTGTGGAGCTGACCTTAGAATGTATGTTTTTGTTGAATTTTATAAGTGTAAATATAAAAAAGTCTAGAAAACACTTCTATGAGAAAATTGAAAAAATATTACCGGTAATTGCAGTGTAAATCTTAATTTGAATTTATTAGGACTGTCATTATCATAAGCCCCAAAACTGCTATTATTTTCACTGCTCAAAAAACTGTCTTGTTAATAATTTCTGAAAAGTGCTGATTGACCATACAGTGGACTATCTTTTCGAGTATATTTCTTGAATATCTTTTGAATATCTATTTGATTTAAGTGCCCCAGTTGATCTATGTGAGACACTCAAATTTATGTTTATAGGCTTTTGAACCTCAGTGGAGTTCCTTTAAGGTTTTCTGATAGCTACAAATAAATATATGACGCTGATTGTACTTGTCAGATTATGGAACTGGTTCATATAAGACAAGAGAAGACAATTTGTTTATTTAAGTCTCACTTTTGTACATACATTAACAAAATATAACAAAGTTAACTTATAAAAGAAAAATGTGTACAAAACCATTCTAAAAGAGTTATGAGAGACTAAGAACATGATCGTAAATAAAAAAACAAAAAACAAAAAAAAACATTTAAAACAATATTAAAATATTGTTAAATGCTGAAATATATAATGCCATGCATTCATTCATGTAGGGTATTAAATATTAAAGTGGGTAAATATGACATTTATGACAACATCCCAAACATTGCATATCTCTCGGATGTGCTGTTACTTTTTCACAACAGGAAGTTTTGTATTATAATATTTCAATTTACATGAATGATTGACTTTGATAAAGTGATTGTTGGTTATTACTTTGAATAGTATCATGCTGTGTTGAACTGCTGTAAGAGGATATCTGTGTCTTACATATAGACAGTTAGTATAGAACTGAAGCCAGAGAAATAATTCTAACACAGAATCTTGTCCAGCATCCAGCCCCCTATTTTTGCCTTTCAAAGACTGTCAAGAATATGTATGAAGAATAACACCTAAATTTTAATAGGGCATGTTTTGATGAATATTGGTCTTTTTTTTTGAGGTTATTTTTTTTTCTATTTCATAGCTCACAATTGTCAAAAGGTTATTTATATGGGTATATTAAAAGTTATTAATATATAGGTCAGCACACACTGTGAGAGGAAATTTATTTCATTATAATACAAGTGTGTTCTACTAGTGTTATGACCAATAAGTTATTGAACATGCTAGCTTAATGGTGTGAAAATTGATAACAAATTCTTGCTTTTATTTCCCCCTCAATTTTTTATTTTCCTTTTATGATTTTTTTTCCATATTGACCTGTTATGACATTATCATTATTTTGATAAGCAGTGTAGTTTTAAATAGAGAGTAATTTATTTTTCATTTTTATATAGTGAGAACTCAACTGCTGGAAACAGGAAGGAGGAAGTGAGTGCCTCTGTTGCCATGGTTCATAGTATTCCAGAACTTATAGTTAGTGAACAGGTATGTAAGTTTACTTTGATTTGAGTGTAGGACAAAAGCCCCCCCCCCCCCCCCGGACGAAAGTCCCCCCCCCCCCCCCGTCTAAAAAATGACAAGGTGGACAAAAGCCCCCCCCCCCCCCCCCCCCATGAAATTTACACATAGGACAATAGCCCCCCCATCAAAAATACAGGTAGGACTAAAGCCCCCCCATCTTTTTTCCCATGCACAGGTGCTCAAATTCATCAAATTTCACACAAAGTTCTAAATAAAAATGAAAATAATTTGTTTTAATGTTTATTTATGATGTATTTATTTGTTTATTTATAATGTATATATTGAAGTGATAAAAAAGTATATGATAACAGATGAAATAATGCATGCATGCGATACTGAATTCATAGCTTTTCATATACACAACAAGGGTCAGAAGAGTAGTAATGTTTAATCACTTTTGTAAATTTGTAAGGGGATCAAATTAATATCCTTAGCTTTATGTCACCTACATGTGATGTCCATACATATCTTTTAAACACATAAAAAACACAACTTTAATACACTATATGTAAATTTGATTGACCATGGGGGGGGGGGGGGCTTTTGTCCTACCTTTACTTTTTTATGGGGGGGCTTTTGTCCTGTGTAAATTTCATGGGGGGGGCTTTTGTCCACCTTGTCATTTTTAGACGCGGTGGGTGGGGGGCTCTTTAACCCCATAAACTGCTGAATTTCATAAATGGACTTGCTTCCAATTTTGGAACTGTCTGTTATCATTTTAGGGATTATGTAGGATGTATGCTCTGTCTGCTTAGCTATGATTTTTTTGTTGAAATCTTAAAGATTTGCATGCTATTTATTCACTGTTGATTCAAAGAGATTTTTGAACGAGGTTTTCTCTTCTTAATTTGTTTATACAGACAAAGTGTGATTTTCTTAAAATTGTTAAGCTTTGATGTAGAAGTTTGCTTTAGTTTGCAGAGCAATGGATATTACTGGTACTAAATGGAGGATTTCTAGAATAATAGAGAAAAACGCTGCAAACTTTATAAGAATTATCTACTGTATAACTGATACATGATGCGTAATTGATATAAACTGGTGTTTTCACAATAAAACTTCTGATATCATGTCACTATATTTTGATAATTCAGCTAGCACAAGAGTTGGGGAAAGCAGATGAGGAAAGACTGATAAAGACCAGGAAACTCGTGCTGTTAGTGGACCTTGATCAAACGCTTATACACACAACAAATGATAACATACCTGCTAATTTAAAGGTAAGTACAAGAGAATTGGGAGATAAAAAGTTACTAGTAATGGTTATTTCACACCTTATAAAATATAACTGCATTTTCAGTGTTTTGTGCCAAGTGATGTACTAATAGAAATTATCGGATCCAATCTTATCAATTTAGCCTTGTGTTCATTTCGAGTGTAACAAATCTACGTCACACTCCTTACAGCCTAATTTTCATTTCCATAGTTTGTATAGTGTTGTATTTATTTCCAGAGTCAAAAGTTTTGATTCAAATCCATATTGGACCTCATCAACCCTTGTTTTTATTTTTTTGAGAGTCCAAATTCCATATCAAATTCTTATTGTAATCAAGGTAACAAAGTTCTGTGAAAGAAATGGTGGTGTGAAATTAAGAAGTCATGAAACATGGTTTAGAACAATACTGGTTCTATTGGACTCGTACCAGCAGAAAAACTAGCGCCTGGTCAAATACAGTTATGACAGCTGTGTACTCATCCAATAGAATTCAGTATTGTACTCCACAATTTATGATAACCTCATATTATGTCATTTCTTTTGATGTCAGCTCTATTGATATCACTTTCAGAATTGATATTTTTAGAGAAGAATAAAAAAAGGTTTTTGACCTCTGATTGCTCTCAAGTAGTTAAATGTATGACTCTAAAAATGTGAATTTTGATAATTTTGTGTTCATGTTTAACATGAATGGCTGTTATCTATAAAGGAAGAAATCTATCAATGTGTACTTAGACATTTTGGTTCCTTAAAGTTGTTTCATATATCTTAAATTTTTAAATTCTGTAAACTGTATAACTATAGTAGTATCTGTAACTTGAAACGAACAAAAACCAGGGAAAAGGGAAAAAAAGTAATGTCTTTGATAATCAAATTGTTTAATTTTGATGAATTTATTGAGAGCTTGAAAATATTTTCTGTTCATTTTTGAATCTTTTTAAGGATGTTCATCATTATCAGTTATGGCATGGAAATCAGTTACTGTGGTACCATACAAGACTCCGCCCACAAACAGAGACTTTTCTGAAGAATATCTCACAACTCTTCGAGCTTCATATTTGTACCTTTGGTTCTAGAATATATGCTCATACAATAGCGAAGATCTTGGATCCAGAGGGAAAATATTTTTCACATAGGATTCTATCTAGAGATGAGTGTTTCAATGCTCAGTCAAAAACAGCCAATTTAAAGTAAGTTTATTACTCAAAACATCTAAATTGAAAATTCTGTGATTTTTTCACTATACCAAACATTTGTTTGAGCATGCTTAAAGCTGCATGCCTCAAGATGAGCCAAAATATTTCAAAAGCTTTAGAAAATGTACTAAGAATTTAATAAAAGTAAAAAGATTCAAGATTAAAGTAATAATTTTCATGGTATGTGCAAGTAATGAATGATTTTGCAGTATTTATCAGCATATGTGTAAGGATTTTTTTGTGTGCATTATGCAGCATATTTTGACCTTGTTTTGCTAATTTACATAGATCTATTGTAAATGACATTTACAATGTATAAGTTATTCATTTGTTCACTTCAAAATATTTTACTTTTAAATACATTTTGAAAATAAGCATGAATCTGGAGGCATGCTGCTATAAGGCCAATGACTTAAGCTAGGTGCCTCTCTCTGTCTTAAATGATAATGTTCAAAGAGACAGGTGGGGTTTTCCTTCACTAATAATGGTAGAATGTTTCAACACAACCATGTCAATGTGGCTAAATGCCAAGCAAACAAACAAAACTAGTATAGATGATGCAGAGATGCCTTTTTAAATTCTTCAATAATTTTTAAGGCCACAGTTTTGGCAGGGCATATAGATTTGCTCTTTTCCTACGTCTGCCCCGTTGTCAGTAGATTGACAAAACTGTGGACCATACAGGCATTTGTATCCTACATCCTCATACATTTCTAGTTTGTTTTTGTCATTCAATTTATGTATAATAGATTTAAAATATAGGGGCATATATTTTTATTTTTCTGTCCCGGTGATGAAGAATAAATATATGAATTAAGATACCAAATACTAGATATACAAAGTTTACACTCAAGATCTCACAATAACAAGACTGATTGAAATGACATGTATGTTAATGGCTAGTTGTTAAAATACCATATTTCGAATATTTTAGGGCTTTATTTCCATGTGGAGATGCTATGGTGTGTATTATAGATGACAGAGAAGACGTCTGGCATTTCTCACCAAATCTTGTTCATGTTAAGCCATACAGATTCTTTCAAGGTACAGCTGATATAAACGCACCACCTGGTCTTACCAAAACAGAGCATGATAGTGAGGCTTTAGTTCACAGAGTGAGAAAAATATCACAGTCTAGCACAGGTAGTAATGATGAAAAATCAGATGAAGCTCAGTCTAAAACAGGAAGTTGTAGTGAAAAAACAGTTGCACAGTCTAATAAAAAAAGTAATAATGAAAAGACAGCAGAAGATTCTCAAAGTGCGATGAACCCAAATGATGGGAATGAACCTGAAGAAGTAAAAAATGAAAAAGAGACAAAATGTGATATTGATGAGGCAAAGATAGAAACAGGTGATGAAACTAAAACAGAAAATGTGAGTGAAAAGAACACTGATAACACTACAGCTAAAGTAGATGAAGACTCTAGTGAAACTAAAACAGAAAATGTGAGTGAAAAGAATACTGATAATGCTACAGCTAAAGTAGATCAGGACTCTGGTGAAACTAAAACAGAAAATGTGAGTGAAAAGAACACTGATGATGCTACAGCTAAAGTAGATCAAGACTCTGGTAATGAATCTGACAGTGAAAAAATCAATAAAAGCATTGAGACAGAGAAGAAAGTAAGCAACATGGAGACAAATGATTCTGTGGATGCTGAAACTGATAAAAGTGATAAAAAATCAAAACCTGATGAAACAAAAATGAAAGAAGGTGGTACTGGGAACAAGGAAAGTGGGGATTTAGAAACTGATAATAAAGATGAAATAGAATTGATAGAATGGGATGATGAAGATGATTATTTATTTTACTTGGAGGAAATCTTAAAAACAATTCATTCAGCTTTCTATAAATTCTATGATCAGATAAAAGATAAAGGATCTGAAGAGAAGGAAACTCAGGAAAAAGAAGAAAAGCCAAGCTTAAAAAGTCTCATTCCATATATTAAGAAAAAAGTACTCAAAGGCTGCAATATTGTTTTCAGTGGTGTCATTCCAACAAACATGCCACCTGAAAAAAGCAGAGCGTACATTGTAGCTAAAGCTTTAGGTGCCAATATTCACACAGATTTTAAGTCAAAACATAATGAAGACAATCCTGAAGAGTTTACAACGCATCTTGTTGCTGCCAGACCAGGTACAAGTAAAGTACGAACTGCAATGAAGTATAAACATGTGAAAAAAGTAAACCCTGATTGGTTGTGGTCTTGTTCAGAGCGCTGGGAGAAGGTAGAGGAAAGTTTGTTTCCAATACCAGCAGCTTCAGACACAGATGAACAAGGTAGAGACAGTCCTGATATTTCCAAGCTTCAGAAAGATTCAAAACGAAAGAGGCAGCAGGAAACAGAAGAAACTAGTGAAAAAGACTCGAAACGAATGAAGAAAGTCGATTCATCGGATAGTCTTAAAAAGGATTTCGATGAAACTGAAGTTTTTGACAATGATGATGAAAATGAACAACCAAATGGCTCAGGTGATAATGAGAAGAAACGTAATTTTTCTATGTCATACAATCCAATGTTAGCATTCTCAGATGATGATCTTGCATACATGGATAAAGAAGTTGAAGATGAAATGGATGATGATAATGATGAAAGTTCTGAAGATGAAGAATTACGAGAGTCTCGTTTCAGAAAACAAGTGCTTAAAAAGAAAGATAATTTAGATGACTCGAGCAGTGAAGATAGCTTGACTGGCAATACACCAAGAGGTTGGGGTCTGAAAAAGAAAATGTCGCCCAAATCTTCTTCAGATGATGAACTGAAGGTCTCAAGCTCACCTGATCATGACGTAGGACCAGAGTATGAAAGTGAAACTGACCAAGATAAATTTGATAAAATAATGGATGCGTTTGGACCTGAAACAGAAAATTCAGAGGATGAATATCAAGAATCCATTGGCTCGGTTGATGAAGAAATTGCAGATGCTGTGATGAAAGAATTTTTGTCATAGGAATAAATGTTTATGTTGACATGGTTAAAACTAAGACAAATTTTAATATGGCAGTCAATTTATTAACCTGTGTAGAGATAAATAAGAGTAATGTAAGAAAATTATTCGCGAGTTTTTTATAAATAACCAACTAAAAGGTTTTTAACTAAGAAAGACGTTATCTGAAGATTTCATGGGTGAAAGTTTTTCTGATTGTTGACCTGAACCAGGGTTTCCAAAACCGAAAAACACTTGTATTTCTCTACAGTTCTTGAAAAATAATTGTTAAGTTTCAGAATTTTTATCCTTGAAACTTTTACCCATAAAATTCATGTGCCTGGTACCAATTAACTCCCTTTTCTCAAGTAATTCTGAAAAAATAAGTATTGAATTAGATAATCCTTTTAGATAGAAAATGCTACTGAATTTTCTCTCTTACACTTTACATGAAAAAGGAAATTCATGATTAAGTTTGAACCAATGTTTATATATGTAATCTGCTGAGTCATTGTGTCACACCAAATTAATAATTGTGATAGTTATTCCATTTCATAATGGATAATAAAAACATTTCTATGTTAAGTAACATTTCATTGTTTAGTAACATTTATGTTTCAAGTGCTATTTGATTTGTGGAATTACAATAAGTATTGCCATTTTGTTTGTGAGTGAGTAAGCAAATAAATACATGTATTTGACATGAATATATGTTGTGGTATTTATGTTCCCTTTTGCAGCATGCTCTCAGTCTGTTCCACATAATTTCTATTCAATATGATAAACTTCATAGGTGTATTAGATGACCTCTATTTTTTACTGTCAAGGGCTCTTAAGATAAGGGTCAAATTGACGTATGTCAAAACAGTGTCTGACACTTAAGACTTCAACCAAGGGCCCTCAAACATTAAAGGAGCATTGGTCTTGGGCAGTAGCTGACCCCCTTTGATTGTAGGTTGCAGACTCAAAGGTCAAGGTCACAATGAGGGCTTTTAAGCCAATAACTCCACAGCCCATTGGCCCTTCATATGTGTGTTTGTTTTGAGCTGTAGATGACCCCTATTTTGGGTCAAAGGTCAAGGTCACATCAAACTTGTATGCTAAATCAGTTTCTGACCAAAAACTTGATAATTTATGGGCCATCCGTGCATTGGTCTTCGCTAAAACATGACCTCTGTTGGTTATTGAGTATTTGACCTAGAGTAGGAATATTTGTCAGCATATGTAGTAGTGCACCTAGGTGTTTGCATGTGGATTTAATCAGTATTTGTAGAGTTATTGCCCTTGACTTAGTAAAACTTTGCAATTTTAACTTGTGTAAAAGTATCTGACTTAGGGTCATGAAACTTTACAGGAATGTTGCTCAGCATGTGAAGTTGTGCACCTGGGGTTTTGCTTGTGGCAGAATATTGCCCTTGACTTAGTAAAAATTTCAATTTGTGTCGCATGTAATTTAAAAAATATTTGACAGAGTCATGTAACTTTATAGGAATGTTGCTCAGCATGTGAAGTTGTGCACCTAGGATTTTTCGTGTGGATTTAACACATTCCTATAAAGTGCTGGTGTTTTGCTTGTGGATAAATTTTGTTTGGTCAGAGTATTGCCCATGACTTTAAAAATATTTGTGTCACATGTGACTCAAAAAGTATTTGACAGTCATAAAACTTGATAGGAATGTTGGTCAACATGTGTAAATGTGCCCCAGGCCCTGTGTTTACAAAGATTTCAGGATCAGGATCAAATTTAAAAAACTTTAATATTCTTCATTGTTTAGCCTCAATAGATTAAATATCTAATCTTAGTTTGATAAAATTGGACTTGCAATAGCAAGTTTATGAAATTATGTCTCCCAAAATATTTTGGAGACATATTGTTTTTGCCTTCTGTCTGTCTGTCCGGTTGTTCTTCCATCTGCATTAAGCTTGTCCGGCCTTCACAGGTCAAATTTCTAGTGGAATTTCAACCATACTTTACAGGAGTGATCAATGCCATCCTAAGTTGTGCACATCACTGGCATGTTCTGCTTTGCTGCACAAAATGGCCACCAGAGCTAAAAATTGAAAAATCTATTCTGGCCTTCACAGGTCAAACTACTGGTGGGATTTCAGCCAAACTTTGCAGGAGTGATCGGTACCATCCCTTGTTGTGCACATCATCAGAACGTTCTGCGTCGCTGCACAAAATAGCCGCCAGAGTTAAAAATAGTAAAAATCTTGGCTGCCCTTCACAGGTCAAACTAATGATGGGATTTCAACCAAACTGAAGAGGAGTGATCAGTACCATCCCTAGTTGTGCACATCACTGGCATGTTCCGCTTCGCTTCAAAAAATGGCAGCCAGCGCAAAAAAAAAAAAAAGTCTTGTCCTGTCTTCACAGGTCAAACAACTGTTGGGATTCCAACCAAACTGAAGAGGAGTGATCAGTACCATCCCTAGTTGTGCACAATACTGGCACATTCCTCTTCGCTGCACAAAATGGCCGCCAGAGCTAAAAATTTAAAAATCTTGTCTGGCCTTCACAGGTCAAACTACTGGTGGGACTTCAACCAAACATTACAGGAATGATCAGTACCATCACTAGTTGTGGTAATACCGACATGTTCCGCTTTGCTGCACAAAATGGCTGCCAGAGCTAAAAATAGAAAAATCTTGTCCAGTCTTCACAGGTTAAACAAGTGTAGGGATTCCAACCAAACTGAAAAGGAGTGATCAGTACCATCCCTAGTTGTGCACATCACTGGCGCGCTCCGCTTGCTGCACAAAATGGCCGCCAGAGCTAAAAATGGAAAAATCTTGTCCGGCCTTCACAGGTCAAACTACTGGTGGGATTTCAACCAAACTTTACAGGAGTGATCAGTACCATCCCTAGTTGTGCACGATACCGGCATGTTCCACTTTGCTGCACATAATGGCCACCAGAGCTAAAATTAGAAAAATCCTGTCCAGCCTTCACAGGTCAAACTACTGGTGGGATTTCAGCCAAACTTTATTTGACCTGTAGTCCTGAAAGTCTACAAGAATTTTGGTCAGCATGTGTAGTTATGCACCTTTGGGTTTGCATGTGGATTTACTTGGTATTTGTAGAGTTTTTGCCCTTGACTTAAAAGATTCTCAGTTTTCAACTTGTGTCATGTGTAGCCCAAAAAATATTTGACCTAGTTTTTTTTTAACAGTAAGCTTCAACATAACTTTGAAACAACAATATTTAAAATAAAATACAAAAGATGATTAATTTTGCTAATGCAGAGTTTATTCATATGATTTGACATTGACTTTAACAAACATTTTTTCTGATCATACAATAAAATTGCCAAGAAGAATCTAAATCTATCATTATATTCCCCTCAAAAACAATATAGTAAAGTTCAAGGAACTATTTAAAAGGGGATTTTCAGTCAGTTGCCAGCTGGCCTTTTCATTTTTTTATAAGTTTGAGATGTAATAATTAATTTAGTTCTGTCATTTTGTAAAAAAAACATGTAATCAGGATACATGTATACACCTCAATTTACTAACAACTTGTCCTGATTCTTACAAACAGTTTATTTTGACATTATTCAAAAACAAAGAGATTTCTTCACAAATTAAATTGAGTCACTAAATTTTATAAAACATTTGATGTAGTGAAAACAACATTTGAGATGAGAAAAATAACTCGGATATTTCTCTTAAGTAATCCTAAAGAATGGCATTTTTCTATTTCACCTTTTTTATATTCACCGTCTCAGGACACTTAATGTCATTAATTTCTCTCCCAAATTACAATTTACTGAATAATTCAGAGATGATCACATGTTATGTTTCTTTAATTAAAATTCAAGTTTCACATCACATTATAATGTACAAAATGATGTATTGATTTCTGATCACCAAGTTCTAGAGGTGTCTTCACAGTATCTCTGAACATGTTATGATATTTCGGGATGATATTTAGCCCCGGTCATATTTTATCAAGTATATAATCGTATAGTGGCATCGGCCCCTGCGGAGAAGATCCAGGGTTGTAAAGGATGGAACACGCAGTCTAATATTCCCACATCTTTCTCCGACGTGTGACCTCTCAATACTTTAACTGGTACTATGAGAGGATTCTGCAGTAAGTCACTGAAAAATAGGAAATTGTTAATATTAGACAACATGGGTCATCAATAGTTCAACCAATGAGCTAACATTGTGAAAGAGATTTGATATATGGCATAAAAACATGCTAAAATACGCCACATATTATTATAATAATGCAAATAAAATTCTCAAATTTAGATTGGCTAACACGCTTTGCATACTGTACCGTATATACTGTGAAGAACCGAAGTGTACAAATGCACATTTATCCATCTTTCTTAATTGGTAAGTAATAAGCACCCAGTTTTTAATGTTGTTTTTTTTCTCGGTTGGTTGTACTGCACAACAACACTGTATATGTCATATGGTGGCTTTACTGGTGATGGGAGATCTATGCCCTGGTATCCATTATTTCAGGCACAATTATGGGCACCTGAGAGTGAGTAAAACCACAAACGTCCCGTAAGCTAGCTGGATAACTTTCACACATGAGAATCTGAAGATGCTGGCCCAGCCCGTACCTACAGTTCTTTATGTAAATAAGTATACTTACTTGTAAACCATTCCATGACAGACAATAACCGAGCAATCATCACTTGCCGAGGCAAACAACGGATATCTTTTATGATAACAAACTTGTCTTATAGCTTTCTTGTGATGTCTGAAACAAAACACATAATTTGTTATTAAAAATAATCTTGCAAAATTTTGTGCACAAAATTAATCATATTTTTCCAACATTAACCCTAAGACTGCTCGAATCTGCATTTGTACAAGGTCTAGCTCATTGATGCAGCAGTCTGAACGGGTTCTATAAAGCTGGCTGGATCAATTTCCAAATTATACTGATAACCCTTAAGTCAATAATAGACTGCTCCACACAGGAAGTACCTCAATTTAACTCATTCAACCCTGTACACTGTCTACCACTTAAACCCTACTGATAACTGATAAGCCAACTCCTAGGTACCTTATTGATTTTATCTAAACTGTCTCCCTGAGGGATATTGCACTGTTTTATTGACAGGTCATAAATAATAGGGGGTGCATTATGTAATTTGCCTCTGGCAATCTCATTTTTAATCCAATCAAGCTGAAATGACACATAAATGTTGGCAATAAAATTACCTAATCAGTGGTGTTACTTCCATCACTATGGCAACATGTTGGACTGATTTATTATCAATAAAATAAAGAAGATTTTCAACATAAAATCAGTTTATTTGTAATAAAAGAACTTTATTTATTGTATAAATTTCTATTAAAACATTCTTCTCCATAATATAATAATTTAAAAAATATATTGAGAAATTAACTGCTAATTAACAAATTAGAAATGAATACTTTGGAAGCATTATGCAAATAAATAAGTATAGTAATGACTAATGAGCAAATGTAAGTATTATGTTATGGAGCTCATAAAAACAGACAAGAAATGTAACATTTATGGTGCAGAGGTGTATATACATCAGAAATTCCTATTCATTAAAAAAAACTTTTATTTTCCTGTTGTTTTTTTTTTAAAGAAAATTTCAAAGAAAACAATAAATAATTTATCTTTACTACTGTGTCTAAAAAGTAAGAAAATATTAGCCGGAAAAAATAATCCAAATATGAATGAAAATTGTTATGTGTGGATTAATTTTAGATAATTTCGAAATTATATATAATAATAATATAAAAATAGTTACAAAATAAATACAAAAACTGTAAGGTATTTACATTTTTGTATTTCTTACATTAGAACAGTTACTCTTATTTTCTAGCGCTTTCAATTATGTTACTTTTCTTGATAAAAAGGAATGAAAAAAAGGTATAAAGGTAGACTAAATATTTTTGTAAACAAAATCAAAATTACTGTCTACAAAGTAGCTCAATCAGAAACACAGAAAAGAACAGTTCAAAGAAATCAAATTCATTTGAATCCGAATCAAGATCTGGATTTGGGCCTGTGAATGGTCTCTTAGGCAATTCTGACCGATCGTTTGTCTTCCACTTAGTCTGAGAATATTTCACATTTTCGTCCGCACTTTCATTTTCACTTTGATTGTCACTCGATCTATCAGATTGATTCTATCTCACTTTCACTATCGAGACTAATGTCACAATCCGAATTTGCGCCATTTTCCGTGTCCGTATCAAACATAATGTCAAATAAATTCTTCCGATTTTCCATTTTTTTAACGCATTATAACTTTTTTTCAGATAGAGATATTTCGATAAAATTTTCACTTTCGTATAGTTAAACCTTTATACTATACATATAACGCGTTTCCTGATTGGTCAAAATACCTCAAATCTAAATATAACCCGTCGAAACAACCAATGAAATGCGCCGACATTACTCGTCACGCGGTATACAGTAGTAGTTCAATACGCGACGACTACTCTCGTCATGCGGGATAGCCGATAAATTTTATACGACGACTATACTCGGCGCGCGGTACACGATAACAGATAAAGACGACGACTATACTCGGCGTACGGGTCGAATGAGTTAAGGGTCCTTACAAAACTTACAAAACATAACTGGATGAGGAAAATTACCCTGTGCCGCTCTTGTGTCATTCAATGTACAAACACATTTCTGAACTTGAGCATACCTTCTGTCACATAAAAAAACATGGAGCGGAGCAACTGTGTTCAAAATAATGCTGCAATATTAATAAACTCTAAATAATTTCTTTTTCTGAATGCTAGACATTATACTCCATAGAAATTTCACTATTGAGACTGTGAGAGTAAAAACTGTCTTGGGAGTCAAACGTCTGTCCACCTCTTTTTCTTTACCTTTGACTTCTGGTTGTAATGTAACTTACAGGAAGTTAAATATTTTATCTATTAAGCTGGGACAATTGGTTAAATAAAGCATCATTTGACTTACTTGAGAGTTTGATAAGGTTTTGTTGAGAGGTCAAGGTCAAACCAACTCATCCGGCTGTCGTAACCACCTATAATCACATTGTCTCCTGAAATGTATTGATGAAATATTTGTAATATTATATTCTCATTTTCACATGATTCTGTATCACTTAAAGGCCCATTATGACCCAGAAATGCTTTCATTTTTATTCCTCAAAATCTTTTTTATTTTTGGTATTCTTTTATTGTTTCCAACAAGTTACTCATTGGCCAATTACCTGAACTTCTGTTGTTTTTGGTAATTAATAGATTTATAGCAATTAAATATAGTGTTGTCCCGATTGTCTCTGAAAATCGATAACTAATCGGACCACCCCAAAATCGGCAACAATCGATAGTCCTTTTTAAAAATGGATTATCTTAATGTTCTACCACCGCGCTGAATTGCCTAGGGCTTAACTTTTTACATGCAGTCAAAAAGAAGTTTCCCGACCGAGTAGTGTGTAATAACATAGCATTATAAAGTTATATATCTACAGAAGTTAAATTAGTGATCTAGAATACTACTCATTAATATTTTGACATGTTGACTTAGTACTAATATTGACTGCCAAAAAGTTGTATTTTACAAAAATTGACTGTCACAAAAAAGTATTAGTATTTTGTGTTGTTTGTTTTGAATTCAAAGAGCAAATCATACTTTAACCTTGGAGACAAGAGTTTATTTATTCTCAAAATGTGGTCACTGCTGTATAAAAATACATACAAGGATTAGTACCTTAAAAGAAAAAGGGCCATAATAAATGCGAAACTCGATTATACTATCGGAAGACAATCGATTGTGGTGGTCCGATTATCGATAGTGATTTTTGAGTCCGATACCCAACACTAATTAAATAATTTGTATGGTAGTCAAAGTACTACCTAGTTTACATTTTGCTACTTCTATGACATATTATTTTACATTTACTACTATTTTCTTCAGTTAACAAGCATATACCATTCTCTTAAACCATTATTTAAACATTTTAAAGCTCATGTTTGACCTTTCTAAAGAATTAAATATTTATTCATTTCTGTAGCATAATGTGCCTTTAAAGAATCATAATCTAACTAAAGAAACAACTAGAAATGCGTACAAAAGACACAAATACCCTTGCATTCAACTGTTCTGTCAGACTATACAGCATAACAGACAATAGGAGCAAGAGCAAATTAATATACACAATCCCCAAGTAGTAGAGGCATAAAAATTACTCGTATCACAAACTTCTCAAATGCAGAAAAGGTTATACTAAACAGTAAAATTACAATTACTACACATATGACCAGAAAAATGTTCTCTGGAGCCACTTGAGTTAAGTAGCTGCAGAAAAATGATGATGCAAGACAAGATGCCAAATCAAATCATAGTCAGAGCTGAAGTAATTCACTTCAGTGAATAACTCCAAACAAACTCATATCCAACTCAATTTCATATATAGAAATATTACTTCAATTAAACTGCCTTGATGAGTTAACAAAATCCTAAAATATCATATTTTGCAAAATGTGACATAAATGACTGTTCTTATCCCCAGATTACTACTTTATTACTTAATTAGGGCCAAGTTTGACAATTACAGCCGTGTACAGAGTAAATAACTTTCTGAACACTACACTACAATAATTAACAAATTAAAATAAATCGTGAAGATTCATATAAATCATGAGATATGCTACTCTAAGGTAAATCTAACCTTCTGGATGCACCGCCATGCTGGAGACCCATTTACAATTTGTCACAAGTTTCTTACTCATCTCTTGTTTTAATAAGTTATATACACGAATATATCTTTGTGTCTGAAAATAAATCAACAATTGTTAGAAATATAGTTCAAAATCATACAAGTTAATCCATTGAAAATCATTAACAAAATCATTATATTAACTATATCACAAATATAGAACAAGGCCAGCTGCCAAATCAATTTTAGATAGAGAAATGCTGTCAATTAGCGCAGTAACGTGTTAACTCATACAATTGAACAGGAGTTAACCAGTTACTGCACTAAGGTGACAATTCATATTTCTACATTCCTTGTAAATTTAAAATCAACTATTTTTATATTTGTATTTGAAATACAACATATAGAAAATCTATTCCTACACAAATTTATTGATGAAAGGGTTTAATTTGCTTAAACCATACTTGATATTATAGTGTTAATATTATCAAGAATTTCTGTTAAAACAAGATATGTGTCTATTGGATATGAACGCCCCTTTATTCAACTGTTTGTCAGTCTATGGACGGACAGACAAGTGCAAATCTATATGTCTATAGGGCATGAACGCCCCTTCATTCAACTGTTTGTCAGTCTATGGACCGATGGACAAGTGCAAATCTATATGTCTATAGGGCATGAACGCCCCTTCATTCAACTGTTTGTCAGTCTATGGACCGATGGACAAGTGCAAATCTACATGTCTATAGGGCATGAACGCCCCTTCATTCAACTGTTTGTCAGTCTATGGACCGATGGACAAGTGCAAATCTACATGTCTATAGGGCATGAACGCCCCTTCATTCAACTGTTTGTCAGTCTATGGACCGATGGACAAGTGCAAATCTACATGTCTATAGGACATTACGCCCCTTCATTCAACTGTTTGTCAGTCTATGGACCGATGGACAAGTGCAAACCTACATGTCTATAAGACATGAATGCCCCTTCATTCAACTATTTGTCAATCTATGGACGGACAGACAAGTGCAAATCTTTATGTCTATAGGACATAAACGCCCCTTCATTCAACTATTTGTCAGTCTATGGACCGATGGACAAGTGCAAATCTATATGTCTATAGGACATGAATGCCCCTTTATTCAACTGTTTGTCGCTATATGCCATCCCTTAAGATAAATTCTTCATTTGAAATGAATTTGCTGCTTGAGAGATATCAGTTATATGTAAGAACAAATTATGCAATTTATGTATGATTCAGTAAATTAATATAAATAATGAGGAGATTTCTAATTTTCTCATGAGAGGTTTTTTTCAACAAGCATTGTACTAAATATGAAAATGACATCACAGAAAAGAATGCATATAAGCATCCTTATTAATCAATACTATATATGATTTGATAATAATTCTTACAGCAACAAAGAGAAATGGTCTGACTGGGTGAAATCTAACACACTGTACTATGCCTTTAGACTTTGAGAATGGATTCTGTGAGCGTCGACGTGACAACTGATGTATCAACACGGACTTCGACTGTCCATTAGGCATCACTGTAGCGAAGTAATCTCCCTTTCCATGCCAGGTCACCTGTGACACTTCCTGTGATGAGATGATTGCGGAAATAAGATTTCAAAAGTGATATTTAAAATATATTGTTTACTTTGACAAACTGTGTCAAAATTTCTATACATGCATATACTAGGTGAATATTAACAATGTTGTTATCTAAGATTTATATTATTTTGCACACTAATTTCTTTTGCTTTGAAAAATAAAAAATAAATATTTATCCTTACATAGCTAAATATCTTAAATGGATTTGCCTACCTTTCAATCTAGACAAAACCATTATCATTATTCATTATTATCATTATTAGGGAAAAATTCAAAATATCTTCTGACTGAATAGCTAACACTCTGGACTGGTCACATGATTAATCTAGATTTTGTTTGAATGTCAGAGAACCTATTCTAAAGCTGACCTACATTGGGACCAAAACACAGTAACAACAAATTATCTATAGTGATGACAGACTACTCACAAAACCATGTGGAAGTTTTAGTCTATACCCATCATCATATTCCTTTCCTTCATAAACACTCCAGCTAACAGGTACCCTAGAATCTGAAACAAAACAAAAACTTATGATCTTTACTTAAATCTAAACTTTACTTTAATCTAATAAGGTATTTGTGGCTAAGCCTGGCTAAGCGTTTAAGGTAACCATATTCAAATCACTTGACCTTCGCTGATATGGGACTTTGGATTCTTTCTTTTGAAGAACCTATCCAGCTAAACTATGGAAGGTCAGTGACTACTCAGGTGATCGGTAGTGCCTGAAATAATGCACAAAAGGTGCACCTGAGGTCTTCGTCCACCAGTAAAGATGGAAAGTCACCATATGACCTTTACAGAACCAGTATGGCTAAATATTCAAATGAAAAAACAAACATGTGAACTTTAATATACCAATAACACTTAAAAATATTTTCTGATGTTGCTTTGACAAAATAAAAAAAAAAGTATTTATGCAACCATTTTGTGATATGTGCAGGCAAAATGAAACAAATGAAGAAGACACATGTTTGTACACTGTTTCGCTTTACAAAATAATTACTGATTTTTTTTCCCCAAGATATCCCAATTCTTTGTTTCATTATTTCTTTAAAACGAGCAAGCTTTACACCTGATCTCATAAAAAAAATCTTGAAATGTTACAAAAATTAACATGTATGAAAGTAAATATTGCCTTCATCGTCTTTTGTATTGGTTTTCAGCCCCATGTAGATCACAAATAGTCACAGATGGTTTAACCAAATTGATGTTTTACATCAGCAACAGCATTTCTGATTACACTTGTATATAATCAGGATTATCTTTTTCATAGGGTCATATACATGCATCAAATATATAACAAAGCATTTACAAGAATATAAAAGTAATTACCCTGTGTCTCCTCTTGTTTTATATAAGAGTTCAACATGTTATCTGTATTGCTTAGTTGTAACTTGTCTCCCATTCCAGGATTGAATATCATCACAGTTTTATCTCTGAAGAGAAAAACCAAATTCAACAAATAATTGATTAATTCCATAACAAAAGATGAAAAAATAAATAAGAAAACGTGCCTTCTTTCTCACAGAACTAACATGTTTACTATGATTTTAGTTTTGTTTTTTTTCAATTCATTCATTATCATTTGCTATGTTAATAAATCTCCGTGTAGTCCCTTTAAATTTAAAAATATAGATTCTTAACATTTTAAGATTATACTTTCTAAATAATTTTATTTTTTAAAGTAAACTTTGAGCCAGTTTCTTAGTTGTGTTTTTTCTCTTTCACAAATACTTACATTGCACAAGCAACAAGACAAACAGCTGGATTAGGGTTCCATGTGAGTGATGATATCCTGCCTTCAACATGTAACGTTTTCATACATCTACCTGACGCTACCTCCCAAATCTTGATAGTACCATCATCAGAGCCTGATACCAACCACTGACCACTAGGGTCCACAGATATACTCCGTACCAGACCAGTATGACCTTTGTAAATCTAAAAATAGTAATTTAATCATAGTGCTAAGAACATATCAATGATATATCAAATATAAAATTCAAAGTTGAGTCTGACATGTTTGCACATTCCTGTGTTACCATTAAAATCATTCAATTTCCCATGTACTAAGATTATCATTATATGTGTCACAGGGTATTAAAAATTCGCATTCTGTCGGGAACTAGAACCTGGGACCATCAGAATACTGTTACACAGTTCAACAACTGTACTTTCCTGCTACTTTTACTAATTTAACCAGTTCTTTATTGTGACATACTCCCCTTCTCTACTGAAATTTGTCCTCATATTTCTATTTGGAACAGAGCAATGGGAAATGATACAGAACTTTATACAGTCACAGACCCCAGTGGCACCACAATTGTCACAGCATGGGAACTTTGTCGCAATACTCACCTGATAACCTATAACAAATTTAAATTGAGGTAGCCAAGGAGTCAAACCTGTAACCTAAGAGACAGTTTAACTATGGACCAGATATCACATGTCCACTCTAGATTTAACGTCAAAATCCATTCTCCTTTCATATGTAAACAAGCTTCTGTCTAACTAAGGTCATATATTGTATAAATGTAAACTTACAATGGACTGTGTAGTTGGGAACGGCTGAAGGTCTTTTGGTTTGGGCAATTTTGGTATCAGATCCTCTGGATCAACATTCATCTGAAAAATAAAATAAATTTAAAATTATTCAATAAAACATTTTATCATTTTTAAAATTCCCTTCATTTATATACATGAATTAGTAAGTAAACTCGTAGATCATTCATTAACATATTGAGAATTATTTTTTTTGTTGAATTCCATATCTTACACTATTAATTGACTGGCTGATTTTTGATTTTCTATCATAGATTTTCAAAAAAATCCCATTTGTACCTCTGTGCATTGTACATCCTTCCAGACACAAGCCCTTCTTAAAGATCAATTCATTTAGAAGTCTGGAAAAAATATTTTAAGAGTGCCACCCACATGTATAGTCAAAAATAGGATATATCTGAGTCTCGTGAAGATCTCATCCAAAATAACTGTTACTTACTCGTACTTTCCTTTGTCTGGGGCACAGGTACAAATCAAGGCATCTTTCAAACCTCTCATTGATGAATCTTCTATAAGATGGGACACTTCGTAAAGAAGAAAACTTCTTAGGCATAAAATTAATACGCCTCTCTTCAGGCTCTTGTTCTTTCCACTTCTCTGCCTAGTAACATAAAACATGATATAATGTTAAATTATCAATCAAGCAATTATTCTACTATTCACTTCCCTTTGTGTATAAAATATTTGGAAAAAATTCTTATGTATAATGTTTAGGTTTTAAGTGAAATCCATCTTGCTTAGGTAATGACCACATTTGAAAATGTTAAGTTATCTGGAGAAAATCATTTAGCATGCTCTAAATACATTATTAAAACAGTATAAAACACATGTTTGTCCTTTCTAGGGAATAAAATAATGAACCCATTTCTGAGGCATTATGTGCATATAACAAATAAGTAAATACTAATAAAAGAATGCATCTTAAACTGGATCCTGGTTCGATTCTCAAATGGTGCAGGTCACTTTCGTGATCATGAAATCCTTCCTACTGTTATTCACACTGTACCTCTTCTCTGGCATGTGCAAAAGTTATCATTTCCTTGTGAAAATGAAGGCAACTAGTACGGGTAAACTGCCTGACAGCCTGCCCAGGAACGATGCTATGTCTGAACTGTGCTCTGGTAAATGCAATGTGGCTAACTGCCGGGATCCGGAGTGAAAACTACCGAACCACACCAAAGATAACATCTTTAACTGACAGAGCTCTCTCTAAAAATCATACATCCTTAAGTCTAGCAAGATTATTATTATTCTCTTACCTCTTCCTTTGTAAATATATACTCTGGCGGAGGATTATAACTCTCAGCATGACCAGGCAGCGAGAGTTTCGGTGCTGGTATATGCTGCCTGTACCTCTTACTTATTTCTGTCTGAAAAAAAAAAACCAAACACAAAATATCATCACTTTCACAATAAAATATATCTTGACATACGATAATACCAAGTTTTTTTACATATGTAAACATGTGCCAAGATAAAGGACCCATACATGCAAGTTCAAAGAATCTTGTAAGCTTTATATTTGTTTAAAGGTTCCTGACCTAAATAACCTTACATACAGAATCTTTGGTGACCATAAACATACATAACTCAAGTTCTTTTACCTTTACTCTCTATATGTAAAAGGGAAGTTTAACGTATATCTGTAAATCATTTTAGAGCCATGACAGAGTTATCTCTATTTCTTACAGAACTTTATCCAGAGGGCTTCTTAATTTCATTACATGTACATTTGTATTTCTAATGAGGACAAAAAATAAAATGCTAAGCTAATGGGCTGTCTTGCAGGAGTCAGTGACTGACAAACCATACACAGAAACTTTCTTATTACTATATACAGAAACCCTGGGTTTTCTGTAAGTACCAAACTGTCCATTCAAAATAATTCGGCTGCATCAAGTAACCACTCATTTTTTCAACTGACAAGTATTGATAGCTATTCACCACTATTGGAGTATTGACGGGCCTGTTTTCATTGGTTTAACCCAGGGATAGGTTTATATGCCTATGAATTTGCTTACCTCATCTTCATCTTTCCAGATCATATAAAAGTTGGGTTCATCTTCTTCTTCTTCCTCCTTGTCTTTCTCCTCGTCCGTCTTTGATGGTTTCATCCAACCCATCTTTAATGCATGAACCATCTGACCTACCTACAGTAGAAAAAAAAGTTAACATAAGCTTAAACTTCATAGATGGTAAAACAATTCATGCACTAGGTGACCTAGTGCAATTGCCAAAAAATCATTAAAGACTCAGTCATCAGACTTGTTTTTCCTAGATAGCAAAAAACTGTAAAAAAGTATATGACCTACTTTTGTAGTAAAATTTACAATACCTGTCTGACCTACTTTGAATCCAAAAACAATCTACTGTAAATTTGTGAGTTTTTAATAATATATATAACATGAGTTTTTAATAATATATATAACTAAAAATAAGCCAGTTAAAGCCAACTTTAAGATCAATGTTTTGTTTTATTGTGAATATCTGTATCATAATTTATTCTTCAATACTGCTTGTGCACTCTGAGATATGTACGCAAAAACACAAAATCCACAGTTTACATCTGTTAAATAACAAAGATATGATATGAATCTTGCTTTAAAATCTTCCCTAAAATGATGAACAGTTTTGTTTAAACTGACAGTTGGGCAAAGTCCATTTATTATATTAAGCATAAAAAAGGCTAACTTGTTAATATGCTACAAAATGAACCAATATGAAAACACCTACTTTCAATCTCTCCCATTTTGAAGGTATAAAACTCCTCTTATGTTCTGGCTGGTTAGACAATGGATGAATCATCACTTCGCTAGAAAACCAGTCAACCCAGGCCTGTAAAAATGAAGAACAATATTGTACTTGCAAGTACAGAATGAAATCAGAAAAATGACAATCTATTCATGTAAATCAATACAGGTACTAGTTATTCATGTAAATCAGTATATGGTAATTGACTAATTATTTATGGAAATTAGTAGCACTAATTATTAATGTAAACCAATACAAAGACTAATAATTCAAGTAAAACATGATAAGACTAATCATTCTGCAATATCTGTATCAATCACCCCTAGCAGAGATCGAAAATTTCACTTGTCGTCTTGTAATTACAAGTAGAATTTAAGAGAATTTGATGCAGGACAAGTAGAAAAATGTTGCCTGCACATTGGATTTAGAAACAACTCGTCCTGCAGTACAAGTGACTCTGAAAATATTTTTTGATGCCTGCCTAGTGACCTTGACCTTGCCAGGGGTGTTCCAAATTATGACATGTCCCGTTTTTTCAAACAGGCATATAAAAACGATGCAACTTCATACATGAATCTACAGTTTATATCATTACTTCTCCCAGGCTAATATTCTTAAAACACTGAACTGTCACTGCAAGAATTTATGAGATACCTGCTTTAATTTTTCTGATAAAAGGTCATACAAAGAAGCCCAATCTGGCACATACCTGATATTGTTCATCTGTAGATTCTGTTGGATGTTGTTTCTTCTGTATGTTCTGTATCAACTGTATATCCTCCTTACTCAGCACTATTTTCTGTCCAGTTAACTTGTTATGTACAGTACGCCTAACAATAAATAACAGTTATTGTGTACAGTTTGAATAGGGAAATGAAAAAAATTGCTGCACTCTGATATTAGTTTACATGCTCTTAATCTGTAATCAGTTAAAATGTTTATTTCTTTGTGAAAAAGTTCTGTAAATTATGCATTCAGGATTTTCTTGTAAAAGTGTCTTATATGGAAACAATACATGTATTGTGACCTCAGAACGGCTAAGACGCATAGTCACTCGAATGAGAGACAAAAACTTTCAAAATTAGGCCAACTCCTCCATATTCTTACATATATAAAATTCTACATTTAATAAGAAAATACTTAAGAGTTCTTTATTACTCCCAAGAAATGATTTGTTATGCTATTTTATTCCATACTTTGAACTACAAAGGAGTATAAAATTGTTTAACTGTGAAAATGACTCAAAACAACTGACACAATTTTCATTTTTTTTCACAATAAACATTTTGTATAAAATGAAAGCAAATTACAATGATTTCAAATGTAATGGTTAAAACAAGAGTTAATGGCAATAAAGAGTGTGGACAAACTGATGAATAACCTTAGCATAGAGCTACAAATCGAGGATTAATAGCAAAACTGCAGTAACTTACATGAAATAAAGGACTTGCAACAGTTTTGCAGTGAACCCTTGAAATATACTCATAATTTTATCATATTTGTGTGTCAAAAATTTACTTTATACCACATACCAGTAATTAAAACTGCAGTTACTTATATAAAATAATCAAGAGGGACATGATGGCCCTGAAATCGCTCACCTGTATACAGGCCCTTGCGCCAATGCCAATTTTAAACCAGGGGCTTTTAGTTGAACAAACTTGGTAGACAGCAATTAGATGTTTCATGATAAATATCTAAGCCCTAACTCTTTGGGGGTTTATAAGAAGATTTTTTAAGTTTTTACTATATACATATAGGGAAAAACAATGACCCCCTGGGGCAGAGCCAATTTTTACCCCAGGGCTTTTATTTGAACAAATTTCGTAGACACCCACTAGAAGACGTTTGATGCTTTATATCTAAGCTCTAGCTATTTTGGTATTTTTAAGTTTTTACTATATACAAAATAATGAAAATCAATGACCCCTCTGGGCGGGCGGGCCAATTTTGACCCAAGGGCATTTATTTGAACAAACTTGGTAGACACTGACTAGGTGATGTTTCATGCCAAATATTTAAGCTCTAGCTCTTGTGGTTTTCTAAAAGAAGATATTTAAAGTTTTTTCTTTTACTTGCCATGGCAACTAGAGTTCTGCTTGGAATTAAATTCTTTGAACAATTTTTAAAGTTGACAACCAAAGGAACATTCTTGTGAAGTTTGGATGAAATTGGCTAAGTAGTTTATGAGGAGATGTCGTTTAAAGTAAAAGTTTACGGACGGACAACCAACTGACGCCTGACGAAAAGCGATCACGAAAGCTCACCATGTCACTTTGTGACAGGTGAGCTAAGAAGGACTTACAACAGTTTTGCAGTCAACCCTTGAAATAAAACTCATAATCTTATCATATTTGTGTGTCAAAAATAACTTTATATCACATACCAGTAATTAAAACTTCAGTAGCTTATATAAAATTATGAAGGACTTGCCACAGTTTTGCAGTCAACCCTTGAAATAAACTCATAATCTTATCATATTTGTGTGTCAAAAATATCTTTATACCACATACCAGTAATTGGGGTCATCTGCTTTGTCGAGGAACTCGTCCAGCTGGTCACCCTGCTGCGGCTTCACAAGTTTACGACCTTCTACGTCATAGCCAATATGCTTATAATTCTTGTACCATTCCATTGGTATATTACCCACAGTGTTACGTATATCCTGATCAACAGAAAGAGCAAAGTAATATTACCTTGGAAAATCAAAATTATATCTTTTCATTTTACAGTGAATTGCTTTGTTGGGCTTATTCTAAGATAGAACAGTTACTAACAGTAACAGTAACACATATTTCTCCAATAAATTCACTAGTTCTATGTTATTTTTCTTCCAGGTTCTCAAACTTTTGTCGTTACTCTTTTGTTCTTTTATTGCTCTCCTAGCCACATGAAGGAAAAAGGAGTCACATAAGAACTTCCGTAGTCAAATAAGAGCACTCAATGAATAGCATCAAAGGAAATTGGCTGTTACCATAGCCACCTTAAAAGTATTTCATATGATTGTAGGGACAAAAAGGCAGCGACTTTCCAGGGTAGACAGAAAAGTCAGCTAAATTTACCACAAGACATAACAATATTGCAACTTTAAAACAAGTACAAGGGAAAGTTTATATAACATGAACATGACCGAGATGGTTTAACCCTTAGCCTGATGGTGGCAACTAGGGCTGGGGCGAGTATCCGAGTACTCGGATAATCACGAATCAAAGTGAAAAATCGAGTTTGAATATTCGTAAGCCCAGAGATCGTGGATCGCGATCTATTTTTGTTTATATACATTCACTGTTTCTCACACTCTTAAAATCGAGAAAAATACGATTTGAGTATAAATTATATGAAGTTTACCTAAAAACAATTTGCCGGTTAAAGACCATGTACCATGATGCTGAGCTAGGAAGTAATTGGTTTCAAAAAACAAAACAAAAATACTCATCCAAAGAATAAAAACATAAACAAAGTTTATATTTTATATATTAAATGTTTAGTATTGTTGCTGTTTTTTTTAAAATAAACATGTTTTTATAACTATTGTACATGTTTTTATGGGTGTCTTGATAATAAAAGATTTGTGGTTCGATTTGTGAATCGTAAGTGCTGAATCGTGGTTCGGATCGGATCGTCACTTATCCGACGATCCACACCCCTAGTGGCAACACATAGGTTCCATGCAATCAGTGCAGACCAAAATCAATTAATTGACACATTGATTCAATGCTGCCAGATCATGGTCTGCCTACTTTGCTATTTTGTCAAATCAGTATTTATTTTAAATTTTTTACCAAAAATTATGAAAGGTTTTGTCCAGTATAAAAGATGAACAAGGCCATTTAAGATATCAAACAAGGTAAGACATTTAATAGTTACAAACCTCTTCATCTGATGAATCTTCTTTATATTCATCAGTTTCTTTAACATTGTCTTCCTCTTCTTTATCTTTCACCTTTATTTCTTGATCAACCTCAATTTTCGTCTCTTTTACAGGCTTTTGCAATTTCTGTGATTTGTTTTTTGTCTTTGTGTTATTTTTCTTATTCACTAAGTCATTAGATAAATCTTTATGTGTTTTTTCTTTGCCTGTCTTTCTACCTTCTTCATCAGATTCATTTTCAAGGTCACTGCCTTCAAGGTCACTGCTTTCAAGGTTGCTGCCTTCAAGGTCACTGCCTTCATCTATTTCTTCATCTGAATCCTAAATGAATTGCCAACAAGAGAAATAAAGTAACCATTTTATCTCATATTGTTTTACATGCTACGAAAAGGAAAATGCACTACACAGTCAACATTCATGATGTATAACAAGATAAACAAGAGGGCCATGATGGCCCTGAGGTCGCTCACCTGTATATAGGCCCCCCACCCCCGGGCCAATTTTTACCCAAGGGCTTTTATTTGTTTATTTGAACAGACTTGGTACACACCCATAAGAAGATGTTTCATGCTAAACATCTAAGTTCTAGCTCATTGGCTTTTTTAAAAGAAGATTTTTAAAGTTTTTACTATACACATATAGTTTAAAACAATGTCACCCCTGGGGCAGGGCCAGTTTTGACCCCCGGGCGTTTATTTTAACAAACTTTGTAGATATTTACTTAAAGATGTTTCATGCTTAATATCTAAACTCTAGCTATTTGGGTTTTTCCAAAGAAGATTTTTAAGTTTTTGCTATACACATATAAGGAAAATCAATGACACCCCCCCCCCCCCGGGCGGGGCCAGTTTTGACCCCAGGGCTTTTATTTGAACATACTTGGTAGACACCCATTAGAACATGTTTCATGCTTAATATCTTAGCTCTAGCTCTTTGAGTTCTTTAAAAGAAATTTTTTTAAGTTTTTACTATATGCATATAGGGAAAATCAATGACCCCCTGGGGCGGGGCCAATTTTGACCCCAGAGGTTTTATTTGAACAAACTTGGTAGACACTCATTAGAAGATGTTTCATGCTAAATATCTTAGCTCTAGCTCTTTGGGTTCTTTAAAAGAAGATTTTTTAAGTTTTTACTATATGCATATAGGGAAAATCTATGACCCCCTGGGGCAGGGTCAATTTTGACCCCAGGGCTTTTATTTGAACAAACTTGGTAGACATTCACTAGAAGATGTTTCATGCCAAATATCTAAGCTCTAGCTCTTATGGTTCTTTAAAAGAAGATTTTTTAAGTTTTTACCATATGCATATAGGGAAAATCAATGATCCCCGGGGCGGGGCCAATTTTGACCTTTGACCCCAGGGCTTTAATTTGAACAAACTTGGTAGACACTCACTAGAAGATGTTTCATGTCAAATATCTTAGCTCTAGCTCTTTGGGTTCTTTAAAAGAAAATTTTTTTAAGTTTTTACTATATGCATATAGGGAAAATCAATGACCCCCGGGGCGGGGCCAATTTTGACCCCAGGGCTTTAATTTGAACAAACTTGGTAGACACTCACTAGAAGATGTTTCATGCTTAATATCTTAGCTCTAGCTCTTTGGGTTCTTTAAAAGAAGATTTTTTAAGTTTTTACTATATGCATATAGGGAAAATCAATGACCCCCTGGGTCGGGGCCAATTTTGACCCCAGGGCTTTTATTTGAACAAACTTGGTAGACATTCACTAGAAGATGTTTCATGCCAAATATCTAAGCTCTAGCTCTTACGGTTCTTTAAAAGAAGATTTTTTAAGTTTTTACTATATGTATATAGGGAAAATCAATGACCCCCAGGGGCGGGGCCAATTTTGACCCCAGGGCTTTTATTTGAACAAACTTGATAGACATTCACTAGAAGATGTTTCATGCCAAATATCTAAGCTCTAGCTCTTATGGTTTTTTAAAAGAAGATATTTTAAAAAAATTCTTTGGTTGCCATGGCAACCAGAGTTCTGCATGGAATTAAATTCTTTGAACAATTTTTAAAGGTGACCACCAAAGGAACATTCCTCTGAAGTTTGGATGAAATTGGCTCAGTGGTTTATGAGGAGATGTCATTTAAAGCAAAAGTTTACGGACGGACGGACGACGGACGGACGCCGGACGAAAAGCGATCACAAAAAGCTCACCCTGTCACTTTGTGACAGGTGAGCTAAAAATCTATGTAAATATAAAAGATTAAGAATATGGAAAATTAAATTCATGGAAATATCTAAACCACTGAGCTTTAAGCTGCATAAAGTTCAAGTAAATTTAGTTTAGAGAAATGCTACTTTAAAGACAAATGTCATAACCCAGGATTTTCATTTTTATCTGAGGAAACAGACGTGTCAATGAAAACAATCAATTTGGCCAAGGGTCAAGAGGATATTTAAAGTACAGGCTGAAAGTACAACTCATTTTAATAGCATTTGTATTGATGATATGAATCGTTAATCTGTTCATAATGAAAACCCTGCATGACCCTTACACCTTCTTTGGAAACTCATCACAATTTTGTTAGTAATACAAAACACAATTAATCATATCTTAATGTACTAAAAATGCAATAAAATTTACAAAACTCTTAAAAGTGTCAAATATAATTTCTGAAATCACATACAGAAGAATCTTCTTCGTCCTCTCCGAGACCAGAGTACACGCTAGAGTCTGAATCACTGGAGTCTGTTGTGTCATCATTGTCTAGATCAGACTCACTATCATCTGCAGGTTCATCCACAAACAAATCAGTCTGTAAATATATCAAATCCTTCAATCATAATGATTATGATCACAGAGTTTCATAGCTAATATAAGCAGGTTTGACTTATTTATCGTTGTTACCTAATGCATAACAAGGGTGGGCATAATATAGCTATTGTGTGTGCTTTCAATAGGTTTTTTTTAGTATCCTTGCTGCTCAGTTCCCACAACAGGCTTGAACATAATCATTGTTTTCAGTTCAGCTATGCGCCTGCTTTTTTTTTTTACCTATGTCATTGAAACCTCAGTATTGCTTGCAGTCTTTGAGATACACAATATTATATAATGCCCTTATCATCATTTAAAGTTAGTAACTACATGTATGTTTTAACCAAAAAGGATGTTTGAATTGGCTGAGGATACTGTGCTTATCAGATCATCAGGTTTGAGACTCTGATATGCCCCATTAATAAATTAGTAAATGCAAGTAAGGGATATTTGTCAGGCAGGACTTTTTTTTCACAGGTAGAAGAGAGCCTTGCATTAATTTGGGGAAAATAGCATGCTAGTTTTGTAATTTAACTTTTAAGTGGAAGAAAATACTTGACATAAATTGAATTTAAAGGGAATTTAAATGCTTGGTGTTAAAGAAAAATTCCTGTTAGGAATCACCCCCTAAATGGCCCCTGTTATACATGTAGAAAGGAAAAAAGCCATGCCTTTGCAATGTCCATTTTCTTTACTGGTGCTTAGTCCAACATATTAGTGTTTGAGTATCTTGTTTCTAAAATTTACATAGTGGCATACAACCTGAATTGTAATTTTATTTCAGGTGTACTTGTTCCTAACTTATGATGGATTTAGATATGCAATGATGAACCCCAACCTTTGCCCTCTAGTCTGTCATCCCTATATACCCGGTAGTAATAGAATGCAAAATGGACTCCATTTCGCAAAATGAACTTTTCAACTACGAAATGGACATTTGTTTCTTAAATTTTGGTTTACGTGTACCATTTAATATCATTTTTAATAATGAACAAGTGATATATGACATAAAATTATTATTTAAACAATTTTGGTAGATCTAATATTGTTTTCATTATTTATGCTTGTACATTTGAAAATAACATAGTTCAGTGTTTAAACAGTTTAATACATAAGGTCTTTCAAATAGAAAGATTCTAGCTGTTTAATATCATATGTTTAACCTGGGACAAAAATATTTTTGTCGTCCCAGATAAAACGTAAGTGAATAGAAAAGATACTCTTTGTGACATGTCAGTTACACCATAATTTGTAAAGCAAATGTCCATTCCGCAAGCGAAAACTCCATTTCGTGGCTGAAAACTCCATTTCCAGGGGCGTAGCTTGAAAGAGACCAATGTGTAGGCACTTGTGTTAGGGGGGTCCGGGGGCATGCTCCCCCGAAAATTTTTGAAAATCTACATTGCCGTAGCTGCATTCTAGGGTATGTTAAGGCATGTTCTGAAGGAAGAGTATTCATAATTTTGCTGCATTTTCGATACATCAATATAAAGATGACAATTATATCACTAACTCAACGCAAAGCCACTGTGACATTTTGGCAAAAAGAGCTTTTTTCCGTAAATACCTTTGGGTAATACGAATCCAGAACTATACATTTAAAAAGAACAAATTTATGCAAATTTTGAAGCAAATATCAAAATTTAAAAATTCAAAATAAGGTTGTCTAAATATATAATTAGAAAATAATAAAACAATGATCAAGAAGATCGAATGCCAAAGCACCCCTAATAACACATTGCTACACCGGACAATCGGTATTTAAATACCAATTGATGATGAAATATCTAATGTCACACAAACAGCATCGAATACATTTTCTCAATAAGATTTTATGCTCCCATAATTCATAAATGAAAGTCTCTTTTTATTGTTTATGGTGAAACATATATAGAACATAGAATATGACTGTTTACGTGAGTAAAACATATAAAGAAAGTAAGGCAAAGCAAACTTACACCTCCAGTAATTCAATAAGTACGTTACCAACAGTAATGAAAGAAAATTTAAAGAATTCCGAAGAACTTTTATTATCAAAGATTTTTGTAATTTGAATGAAGTATTTCGAGCGAAGTAGTTTCAGCATGTTCAAACATCTATTTCACAACTGTAAGAATTACTATCAGTGTAAATGAAGTTGGCATGTCAGAACGCTCATATTCATTTACATGTTTATTTTAAGAACTAAAAAATCATGTTTTTCCTTACATGCTTCATTTCTTCTAATATTTCTCCATAAGTTACCTAAGTCCCTCTATAGTGATAATTCAACAACCAATTTTTCTCTTATTTTTAATTGTACTTTCATCAAACCGAGCCTGCAACATTTTCAATTTTGCCGTGTTGGGCTTTCTTTAGGGAGTCTTATTTTCTCTATTTCAAAGAGCTTACATCTATCCGCAACATTTTTGTATCTACTTTAGCTGGAGAGGTATTGTTTTACTTGTCTGGATTACATTGTTGAGAAATATTTGTAAATGTTACTTAATGTGCAATTTAATGAATAAATAAAGTTTCAACTAAGTATAAATTAAAAAAAAAAATCACATCTCTAGCTTTAAAAGCAAACTCTCCACCACTACGCTAATTAATGCAGAATTTGATGTGTATTCGAACACATAACTTGTATATATCATTAAAATACATTTTAAAAAACTTATCGTAACACAGATTATGTTTCACGTTTACTTCAAAGCGACTTTATGAACTTGCCAGGTTTCAATTCTACTTTGTGTTTTGTGCTCAAGATTTGACGGAGATGCAGTTTGAACAGAATAACGTACACATAATTAAATCATGAATATCTTAAGAATGGAAGAGAATATAAAAGACAAGATGTCAAGGCTTCATTCGAAAGATATCACTTAGTTTCCTCATCAGTTGTATAAAGCTAGCACTACCGATATCTAGATATGGAATATCCTGGTCGTGCATACTTGTAATATTTATATTTTGAATCGAAGCGCTCTAAAACTTTTATATTGTTAAAAACTTTATCCGTGGCGTCTCTGATAGGTTTTATCACATAACAACTTTATAGCACGGCAACACTTTCGTTATGAAATAAAACTCGATATATTTTCAAATAAGGTGACAGTTCTTTTTCTAAAATTAGGACCTACACATCTATCGCCCTTACCCTTAAATTATTATTGCATTTTTGTAATCATTTCATTTTTCATTTCTGCGGAAAAAGTGTAGGCACGTGCCTACAGTGCCTAAAGGAAGCTACGCCACTGATTTCGTAGAGGCCAGATTATTTTCAGAAATATGACTATAAAATAGGAAAATAGTTATATTCATTGATTCAATCTGTAGTTTTATGTCATATGTTAAACATAAATTAATAAAAATAATATTTCTCATCACGGTTAAACAAACAAATGTCCATTTCGTAGGCGGTAAGTTCATTTCGCGAAATGGAGTCCATTTCGCATTCTATTACAACCCCTATATACCTGAATGTTTAGGAAGTCAGGAAAAAATTCAGTAGTTGATATTTCAGGTTTTAGCCATGTTTCAGTACAGCAAATAATGTCAGGTTTGACTTGGGATATTACCTGTTGTAAATCTGTTATTATATTTTTAACAGAGCGGCAATTTATGTTAAAGACGCACAACTTTCACACTATTTAAGTTTTTTGCTGTTTTTTTGAAGATTTTTTTTTTATCTAATTTCCCTGTTCTGTGTTCATAATTGACATACGTATAGGATTTGCCTGAATCCTACTTTCATAATTTATTAGACTAATGCCGTATGTGTAGCATATTAATGTATAAAATAAATAAGTTTTTACTCTAAATAAATAATTTGTCATTCTAATATCTTGGATTGGGATATCAGTTACTAAAAACTCTGCTTAAACGTCGCGAAATCATATGTCATTTTGGAATACATAAGTTTTATAAATAATTTGCAGACAATTATTGAATAAACATATTACCCCGTTATCAACTGTAAGTTGACTGAAAGTCTCAGTGTTTGATTTCCGTTTTAATGACATTTTATTAACCCAAAATATTATTAAAAGTAAAAAACGTGACAGCTTCCATTCAACGAGTATGTAAGGGCGACAACTATGTCAACATTAAGGTAATATACCACTAATAATAAGCTGTTTACACTACTAAATCTTTTTAATGCATCATGCCATGTATTTAATAAAGTTTCCTTTTAAAAGGAAAGGCTTGCACAGTGTTGTGCCTTCATCCCAACCCTTTAAAATTGTTTTTTTTTTTTTTTTTTTTCAATTTATTATCACAATTTTTTTTGAATTACGGTATTTGTGTATCAAATAGGGTTTACATGTGTATTTATTTATTTATTTATTTTTTTTTTTGAAAAACGAATATTTTTTGTCAAAACGATTTGAAATCTATTCTCTATTGTATAAAACTAACAAGTGTGCACATTTCATTTCCCCTTTTTCGCAGAGAAATCATTCGTTTGCTTTATAGACAAGTAAATGCACTAAAATACTTCGTTACGTGGTACCAATTAATAAGCTTGTATCAACTACATATGAACTATATGTTACACGATCACAAATACGTATATCAGCACGAGGCAAGGTTAATGATATGCATGGGCTATTTTTAGATTACCTCACCAAAAAGTTGAATTGCGTTCAGTAGATCTAAATATAACTCGATCATGCGTGATTTGTAAACTAATACAGACAAAAAAAACAATAATAAAAGAAACTAACTTTTGCGTCTTGAAAAACAATTGAAACGGAACAATTTCGTTTATAATTTATTACGGTTTAAACCGATAAATCGAGTAAAAATAGAAATCCTATTTATATAAGCAAACTGGGATTACCGAAGTAACTAAAATAGCTTAGATTTCCGTAATATTACTTCGTCTGATTCCACAGTATGATGGAATCGCCCGAATTGTCACGATTGCAATCGGAACTACATCGGCTATTATCATTAATCCGAAGAGTGACGGAAAAGGCCGAAAAGTTGCGATTGGCACGATTGCATCTGGTTTCCCGTTCAATCATGCACCAACAGATGTAAGCAGGAAACCACCTAACCGGAACAAGTTTTCCATATGAAATGGCTTGCAGCCGTGGCTGCAAGCCAAAAAAGTGATTATTATTATTTATAAAAGCCGAGATGTTTCAAATGATTACATAATTCCATAACAATGAATAGTAATAATATGAAATTAGGCAAAGCCTATGAACGGGGAAGTCGGTAAAAATCCTTTCATTTTTCCGTTTTAAAGGTATCATTTGGTGTTATATGTACCCACTTCCGTTTTCACTCGGAACATTCGACGATTATTATTAATCCGAAAAGTTGAGATTTGTTCCGTTATCGGAATACACCGCCTTTTATCATTGAGTTACATTGTAAATGGCGGCGCCTAACCAGAACTGACACTGAAAATTTCATTGATAGGTATAGAATTCTATATATTTTTTAATTGTTTTTTATTTGAATTTTCTTTAAATATACACGTGTAGTCTATAGCCGGGCAAGCCAAAGCCCGGACCCGCTTCGCGGGCCCGGTCTTTGACTTCCCCGTATAAAGTCCGGGGAAAGTAATATTGTTTGATTAAATCAAAAATAACTTTATCCATTTTTCTGATTTCCTAAAAAACAAAACGGAAATTCAATACAGAAAATTTCACTTATAGACGAAATCAGTAGATTCCAAATAAAACTACTAATTGATAAACAAAATGTAGGAAAGCGTGTAATGTTACCGCGTGTACATTGCATATCGTGGCTGCAAGCCAAAAAAGTGATTATTATTATTTATAAAAGCCGAGATGTTTCAAATGATTACATAATTCCATAACAATGAATAGTAATAATATGAAATTAGGCAAAGCCTATGAACGGGGAAGTCGGTAAAAATCCTTTCATTTTTCCGTTTTAAAGGTATCATTCGGTATTATAATATTGTACCCACTTCCGTTTTCACTCGGAAGTCGGAACATTCGACGATTATTATTAATCCGAAAAGTTGAGATTTGTTCCGTTATCGGAATACACCGCCTTTTATCATTGAGTTACATTGTAAATGGCGGCGCCTAACTAGAACTGACACTGAAAATTTCATTGATAGGTATAGAATTCTATATATTTTTTAATTGTTTTTTATTTGAATTTTCTTTAAATATACACATGTAGTCTATAGCCGGGCAAGCCAAAGCCCGGACCCGCTTTGCGGGCCCGGTCTTTGACTTCCCCGTATAAAGTCCGGGGAAAGTAATATTGTTTGATTAAATCAAAAATAACTTTATCCATTTTTCTGATTTCCTAAAAAACAAAACGGAAATTCAATACAGAAAATTTCACTTATAGACGAAATCAGTAGATTCCAAATAAAACTACTAATTGATAAACAAAATGTAGGAAAGCGTGTAATGTTACCGCGTGTACATTGCATATCGTTTTAGATTATGAATGCCGGTTTAGATTGAAACAGAATTTATTTAGCAATTTATTAATATGTATATAATACATGTACCATCGTTGATGGTTACATATATACTATATAAATACGTACGCAAAAGATGCAAAAAATATAAACTTTATATCAATTGAACAAATCAATCACTTATTTGACATAAATAACTCAGTTACGGATAAAATTCGTTTTTGTGTGATTTCCAATATTTTCAACATTGCTAGTGGTGGTCTCGTTATTTTGGACAAAATTTATAACTCAATAATGAGATTTTAGAGCACTGTATAATAATTTGTGGTTAAACTTATATCTGAGAAACTTAACTAAAAAGTGAATGAACTTAAAAATACATGTATTAACAAACAATTAGACTTAATTTCAAATATGTTTGATAAATATTTGTAGAGTAAGATTGAAAGGGACATAATATATCTTTCAATTAAAACTTAATAAGCACTTTTCGCAAGGTTTTAAATTATGTACCAAATAATTGATAATGTTTGTGTCACTGTGTAATCATTCCAAATATCCGTGTGCATACAAATTTCATTCAAAGTAAAAAAATTCAAATAAGTAAAGTAAAATTAAATTTTATTGCATATGAAAAAGAAATCTTTTAAAAAATAGTATAAATGGAAATTAATTTATTTATACAGAAATCAACACGTTAAGCTTTCAATTTTGTTCCTTATTGTCATGCTTGTCAACTAACAATGCACTTTGTGAAGAATAGATTCTCAGTATTATATAGCATAGTTTTATTTTTAGATATGGAACACATATCCACACATGGATAACAATGTGAATTTTGGCCATAATTATCTTTTTTCGTTGCTGATTTCCAAAAAAAATGACTGAACAAGGGTTCGTGTGTATGTTTTTACATCTTTACTGGTCAACATTGTTGGTTTATTTAGTGTTTTGAGCTTATTTTTGGTCGTTTTCTTTATTGATATGTTAAATGTTTGATAATGCATATGACAATACATGAATTGGTAACTATCGAGGAACTATAAAAAATGCCGAAAAGCATTTTGATTTTTTTCAATGATAGTTCGTACTAACAAAAATATTTCAAAATTTTAACACTTTCGTTCCATTTCCTGAAAATGGCGTCCTCATATGGAAGTATACCATCATATGTTTTACCGGAAACCAACATACCAGTATCTTTCTAACCAATGCACATTTTGGTGAACCATATGAAGTTTGCCCCATATTGGTTGTCATTTAATACCATAAGGAAAATTGCGATAAAACTGTTTTTTTTTTTCAGAGAAGTTTTTTTATTGAAAAAATATTTTTGATTACGCAAACAAATTTACATTCGGGCGTATATATTACCCCGCCTTTGCGTTGCTCTTGTTTACGATGTCGTTATGTTGAATTCTGCTTAAAACTGAATAGACGGAATCATCTATATCAAAGCTGCCACCGATGCACCTCAAAACCATTTCTATCACATTATTCTTTTGTCGCGATGGGCAATTATTGATGATATAAGATATTAAAGGTATTGTTAAGGAACTAAGACAATAACCACATCTACTCTCTGAAATGGCGTTTATTTTTCTGATTTACCATCTATATAGCACATTTAAGTAAGAAACTTCCACGGCGAAACGTAACGCCAATTAACCTAATATATGTATGAATTGTTTTGTGATTAACAATAACAACCACAGAAATACAGTTTGTTAGCTTCCACGGCGAAACGTAACGCCAATTAACCTAATATATGTATGAATTGTTTTGTGATTAACAATAACAACCACAGAAATACAGTTTGTTAGTATATCTTCTTTGCAGCATTATATGTTATTATATGTGATATAAAAATAATTTCTGATATGAAGAACGTACTGTATTCAAAGATAAAAAGCAACAACAAACACATATTTTGTGTCATTACACGTGTGTTTATTGCGTACATCACCTGGAAATAGGTGAATGATTAAGACAGAATTTCATGCATTCAAAATACAGGTGCATGGATAAGTTTGTATTCTATTATATAACTTTTGTAAACAAATACAGTAGTGATGACATGGAAATTGATACATATAGAGAGAAATAAAGTGTCTTTGAACATATCAATCCTACAAATATATGTCAATTCTGTAGAAAAATCTGTCCAGGTTTTATACTTCACATTCTGTAATAAATAAAACAACAAAACGTGAGATCTTACAAGATATTTATGATAAATGCGGATTTTACACAATTTTGTTTACTAGTATTTTACGCTCTTCTTGTTTTAAGTGTTTTTCAATTTGGTTATGATGGTATAAAATGTAAGCTTTAGAATTCTGATTTGAAGACAATTTAATTAAAGAGAGAAAAAATTCTACATATGTAACATAAGCAACTTTTTACCCCTTCTTTCATTGAATATTTATGAACTGTACAGCGGTGCCCACAAGGCTTAAGCGTTTAACCCCTCAATCATCGATTCGTTAGTTAGAACCGTATACATTAGTTAAGATGGTACAACTTGTAAGTACCCGAGAGCTATTGTACAAGCTGCCAGATTTCGTTATACATTTGTAATCGAGTTTTAATAAGTCTATCTAATGCAAATTCAAACTTTATCCATTATATATTTACTAACTTTCATCGTAAACGGTACAGTTGTTTATCGAGAAAAAGAAAGGAAGAAAGATACTAAATATCGGTAAACTACATATGTACCCTCATTTTATGAAATTAGGCAGCTGTACAGTTCGTTATTTGTATACCATTTGACGATGGGTCCCAAAGTGTCAATCTGATGTATGTAAAATTTATGGTCTTATGTACATGTACGGTAAATCATGCGACTTTTTAAAATCATACAAGACTCGACTTCACAGCCGAACAATATATGATGCTGATACGAGTACAAAGCAAAGGAGGTGTTTATTAGGTGATCTGTCCCATACCGTGATATAGAAATGTAAAGGTCTTTAACAAAAAAGGTAGGAGCTCAAGTCCATCTATGAATTAAAGTAAAAAACAACAACAAAACCCAGATATTTTACAGCGCGATATATTAAATCGAGATAACATTTGAAAAGCATCCCTGTATTTATGTGATCTTTGGTACAAGCAAGTAGGTGTAATCCTTTTATTACAATTCAGCTATATACTTACCATTTCCTAGAAAAACATATCTCATTTCCGGGTCTGAAAAGTCACTGTCATAGATGTTCTTCAGATCGGCTGAGATCAGGTCCCAGGGTAGAGACGTCAGGTCAACAACATGACCCTCATCTTCACCTGTTATTAAACCATTCAATTCTATTATTAATACAAAAATAGGTCTTTACAATGTTCATGAATACATCTTATGAAAATATTTGAAATTGTCTCAATACATTTGAACATATAGAGAGAACGGGGTACCCGAAGTAAAAAATACTACGAATCTGTTATCATGAAGAAATGGCAGTGTTGATCCTACATACGTTAGAGTAAGGTAAAACATTTTGTTACAATTATAAATCGATTGACAATTAAATAAAAAAATCCAATTATTTCATTCTTATCATTCAATTCAACGTATCTCCCTGTATTTTGACCTACAAGAATACAACAAATCTATGGGCCACCCTTTGTTTGTTTCAGTAAGTTCTTAAAGATCGACGTTGTACATATTGTTTTGATTTCTTTTTTGAGGAAAACGCATTAAAATTCTTAAAACAGGACAGTACAGTCTGTTTATAGAACTTAATAATACTGTTTCTGTCAACAGCAGATGTTGTTCAGTAGAGCTGAAATAGCTGTGTAAGTAGTAAGAACTTCAAACATAAAAAAAAACAACAATTATTAAATAGATATAAACATATAAAAATGTATGTACCACAAACATACCGGACTCTGTTGATAGGTCAGACTCAGAACTGGAATCAGTGTGACGTCGTTCTGTAATTGAAGAATAATTACTAAATATGATATTTAATGCAATGTGCATCATTGACATTTTCTTTCGTTTAAAATACTGATATGTCAAAATTTTTATATTGACCCAATGTCATTTTAATGTTTCAAAATGTTATGCTCATTAAATCTTTACTTTTAATAAACGTAATTCAACATTGTCAATTTCATTTTATGGTTTTATTTGCAGTTACTATGGTAAAGCAGTTTCATAGTAACTAACCACGGTAGCGTGATTATGTATAAAACATAAATTCACTAATTTTAAGCATGATTTTTCTAAGACAATCTAACCATATTGAACTTACTAAAAAATAATGATAAATAAAATTACACTGTAACCTTGCCAACATATTTATATGCATCTCAAAGAAAATACATGGTAATCATTTTTTTCTTCTTTTTTAAATGTTTGTCTATGTATGTTTTATCAAGAAAAACGTCACCATCACCTCGGTTAAGTAACTGTTACTTGTTTTTGAAACACTACAATTCATGTTTTGGTATTTGGTAAGAAAGTCACGAAAAAGGATTTGAAACTATTGGACTATCAATCGATAGATGGATATTATCATGCACTCACCGATCAATCGGCTTCCCTTCACGTTAAGGCCAATGTAACGCCCTCCCTCGCATTGGTCTTCGTCTATTCTGTTGATGCAAAGTTCCCTCCAATAGTACTGATTTATATCTTGACTGTATATTGTCACGTCTGATGTAAAATTTACTTAGGAAAAGAAAATAAAGATTATTACAGAACTTCAAACTTTTATCAGATAATACTCAATTTTCTATGGTTTTGTTGCAACCTTAATTCAGGGTTGTTTTGTTATTGACTGGGTTTTGAGACTTGTAGAGAAGATTATATCTGCCTGTCCGTGCATTATTTCAGGCAAATTCTCAAACCTAAGTACATTCATTGCATGAACGTTCATCAGTGATAAGGGCAGGTGCTTTTCATGAAAAGATTCAAATCAGTGTAGCAATCTGACTAAAGTTCAGATCTACTTATTTTATTATATATACAGAGAAAGCCATTTTTAGCCATGCATTCTAACCGGTTTTAACATGGGCATTAGAAGAAGTATTAAAATACCGTTATCCGCGGAGGTTAAACAAATTCTTTATTTTTGTTAGAGAAAATATGTGAAAAGTAATTTTTGACAAATTAACTTGACATAATAGAGCCAAGCTTTAATGGGCAAGATTGTTTTGCCAGTTTATCTGTCTGCTATATGGACAACGCCATGTTTAATTGTTCTTGAAATCGTGAAAATTATCTACTCAGTGGGCCTATATATTGGTTTTCCCAGGGTTAAAATTAGAAACAACATCGCTTTCAAAATTATGAAATCTCGCCGATGATTGGCTGTGTGAAAGGTCACCAGAAATGATTTCGTATTTGGTCACGGTTAGATCTAAATGCGGAGCGTTATTTAGAGCTGATTTTAATTGGAGGGTTATTTGGAGCTGATTTTAAGTAGATTGATCAGTGCAGGTGAGAAGTAAATATTGGGAAGTCATTTACCAGACCGTATATAGCCACTCGGCTAGGGCAACGGCATTAATTATTGTAACATTATGTTGTACATTTGTATATACCAAAAAGATGACATCCAATATGTTTTTATAAATATATCTTTTGCTTGATTGCTATATATAAAAATAGTTAAATCCAGACCAAAATGTCATTGTAGCGCAAGTTGACTTAGCCCCCGCTATGTTTACGCCTACAGAAAACAGAAGTCCAACCAAGATGACAGCACTTCCCCGGGCTGCGGACAGGCGTTATAATTGACTGATGCATTACCTCCTTGTACTTTAACTCTTCCACATTCGTCTTCTTCTAATCTTATTAATAAAGTAAAATCTTCACACTTGTTGGTATCCAAGTTACTGAAAAGTCGAAGAAGGTTTTCAAAATAAGTAGTTCAAGCTGTCATCATATATTTGAAATATCGATAACACAAAAAGGACTACGAATCAACATAGTTTTGTTTTTGTATCCAAATTAATAAACATATCACAACAATTTATTCTTTTTCTAGAATGAATAAAATTACGAAATTGTCATATTGGGTCTTCAATTTTATCAATGTAGTTGAGTTTTCAAGTACACAACTTGTGGTACACTATTTAAATGTTGTAGTATATAGTTGCTGCACGCTGGGTTAAAAAGCTGAACAGATTAAGAATATTCTGATAAGATGAGGTTAAATCTAGCTCAAAACCACTATGAATGGGGTTGTCTTTTGATTTCTAAACGTTTTATGTTTTATGATGTACAAAGTGAATAAAAGAAATGTATTTTCTATAGAGTTCAGTGCAAGGTAAGTAATTGAGCTGACGTTTGTTCAGCCCCTTATAACGCTTCGTGTAATAATTTACTGTTACCTACAAAACTATATATGAGTAATTTATATAACGTTAACATTGGCCTCAAGTGACGCCTCGATAAAATTCACCTTTCTTGGGTTAACATTTATATGTACTACCTCCCTATTTATAGGCATAAAAAGTGATATATATTAGTATTATAAACTATGTACATGTGTAACTAGTATTCTTACAAACATTGCTCTCTTTGGACAAAGTCACCATTTGAAACAGGCGATTCAAATCTAAATTGACATGTGCCATATGGATTGGGTGTCCCAATCCCTCTGCTGTATATAATGAACCAAACAGATTCTGATGAAATCTACAAAATAATGAAAACTACATTCTGTATGAATCTTGCAAGATTAAAATAAATAAATTGTATTATCTAACGCGGATTAAAAGCGGGTGTTTTCAGCCCTTCACATGCTAAATTTATCGACGTTTAAAGGATTTCACAAACAATATGTATAAACCAACAGTAACGAGCCCTGTCAGACTATTGGCTGATTTGGCTTCATACTGGTTGCAAAGGCTGTATCACAGAAGGTTAATTAAGGGCTTCTTTTTTCAAATTTTTACTAACGTCTGTGACAGACAAGAGAATCGGTTACCATTGTTACCAGGCATAATATCCACTTTTAATACAAAATGAATGTAACAGATTTATCAAATTGAACATTCTAAGATTTTCCACCAAATCTGGTTGAAAAAAAATATATCGGGAAGTATCACACAAACGTGTGGTCTGCTTTCCGCGATGTACACTTGTCCATAGGCATAACAGAGAATATATTTTTCCAGTCTGACATCCATGTAGTCTGGTCAGATTATATTTGCCGACAGCTAGCTCTGTTGTATTATCACACGAATTATGCATATAACAAAACAGGACGAGTCATTTTCAGTAGTTTAGCCGTCAAGTTCTTTATATTCAAGATAGAAACACATTTTTTCTTTTAAAAGATGGAATGACTTACTGCGTTAAGGAAGTCATCTTTGCTGACTAAATTTGACCTGAAGTCAAACAAAGGGCAATCAAACTTCGTCAAAGTTCTTCCACAGACAGGATCTGGAGACAGATTATCAAGAAATCCACCATAATTGAAATATCCTCCTTGTTGGTAAGTGTCAAGGCCATTTCTTCGGTAATAAGTGTCAAGGTCAGCTCTTCGGTAATAAGTGTCAAGGCCATTTCTACGGTAATACTGATTCCGATTGTTGCCAAAGGTATGGATGACAGCGGATGTGAGTGTACAGCAAGTGATTACCATGAGCACGCCGATCATTCTGAAGAAGTTACAAAGAAATATTATTCCTATTTCTCTTAAATCACTGACTTAGTATTAATTACGCTGTGTTTTATTAAGATTTTAAAAATTATCATAAAATGATTTTAATTATATTCAATTTTTTTGGATAACAACTATCACATATATTGTTTTGGTAAGAACTTTTAAAAACAAAGAGTTTTCAAAAAGCTACTCAGTGGCAAATATCCTGAACTATCTTCATCTCTTGCTTTTTGGTTAAGGATCATGCAACTCATTTTTAATGGTTTTATATCATAAATATAATGCTAAAATTTATCAGTACATGTATTTTCAGTTTCAAAAAGCATTATTTGTAAAGATATTACCGAATTTACATTTCATGTTAATAAAGGTAGGTAATTAGAAATGTATTATCTATAAAGTCTTAAGTAAAATTTTTCAATAAGAAATGATTGTAATGATTACATACAATGTGGAGAAATATTTGCAGTACATATATTACATATTCTTCGATGTTTGAAAATTATTTTAAAAGCATATCTATATACATTTATAAAATTTCACTTAAGTGTGGTAACAACCTTATTTACAACATACAGGACTCTCAATGATTACAATTAAAGTGATTTTGTGTGAAAATACTAATTTACTTTCATGACAAATAGTTTCACATTTGGTGTTATTTTATGTGATAAGCATTTAACATGCCCTTAAACCATTTTTGAATGTTATAAAACTGAAACTTGCCCTCTCTGAAGAATGAAAATATTATTCGTTCCTGAGACATAATGTGCCTTCAAATTTTATGACAGTATAATGAAATTATTTCTAAGAATAAAAAAAATCTCACATTTGTACAGTAGCCATCTTTTCTCCTTGATGTTTTCAGTTAGATAAAAAAGGAAATCTGAAATTGTTTTTTTTTCTATAAAAATAATTTATGTGACTTTAATTTCTTAGGGCTATCTATAAATGTCATTCCTTTTTTATGTACCTGGAAAAAAACCTCAAACACGTTTAAGTATTAGTTAAAAACTCATAACCATAATGAACTCAAGAACTTTAAATATGAAAACAGATATTTCTAGCGCTGTTTTTAGTAATGTGGACAATAATTCAATTTCAATCGTTCAAAGTACATGTATCAAAAAAAAAAAAAAAAAAAAACAAAAAAAAACCAAAAAACAAACAAACATGAAAATGTACTGATTTTTTTTATAATGTAACAATATACAAATCAGTTACATTTCATAACTTGTACTTTTTATGACATAATCTCTCTGGAGATATAGAATGTTACAAAGAATATGAGACTTTCATAGATCTTATATCTTGTTAGAGCAGTCCTTCGGCTTCATTAAAATTGGTATACCAATACTCGAAGTGTTGAAGACGAAGTACCGCTGAATTCAGTCCTGCGGTGTTATCATTACCTCTAATAAATCGAATCAATCAAACCTAATTTTCAATTTCATTTTTTTTTGTATTTTTTTTTCATCACTGTTTGGGGATCTGACCATTTCGTTTATTTCTCATTTAAGTTACCACGTTTTCATATTGTGAATATACGTAAAGGTTTCAGTACCAGCGTTTAAACAATATACCCGTGTCACCAGTAAATTCTGATCTTTGGCGTTTTGGCTAAATGTTAGTACATATATTTTAATACAAGTTTTGAAATCATTAAGTTATGATTATTACTGGTAGTCAAGTCTATTTCTTAAAATGTATCAAGTTTTTGGTATTAATTGTTAGCAAAGGCAACCAAAAGCAAACAAAAGCAACTATTATTAATAGAGCTGCAAGGCAGATTTCTGGCTATCATTAAAATTACAGGGTTTGTGATTTTCTTTGGTTATTCTTTCTATAATTATTATCGTTTGCCTTTTTAAAATTAAACAAAAGTTGCGCTACGAAAAATAGGTTAACTTTTTAATTGACATATACAATGATAGATGAAAATTACTTACAATAAACTACAGACCCTGATGGAGTTATACGTATATATGAGTTTTAATTGCGTTTTCATGAAGGAAATAGAAACGTTCAATATCCCCCTTGGAAACCACCAAATAACGTTTTTAAATGTTGTCCTTTTGGTCTTTCAACTTTAGTACTTCTATATATAAGAATAAAGGTTAATTGAAATGTATTATATGCGTAAACTATAAAAACAGCAAAATATTGTATCATGTTCTAGTTTTACTTACATAATATTCACATACAGGTTATAAGTACATACTACGGAATACCGTTACGGCCATCGTGGTTAGACTTTCTTATCCAGAGGGCGACAATGAGACAGTGCGATAGTGCGAGGACGACAATACGACAGTGTGATGACGACAGTGCGACAATGCAATGACGACAGTACGATAATGCGACAATGCGATAGTGCGATGGTGACAATGCGATAGTGCGATGGCGACAGTGCGATAACGCGATGACGACAATTCGATAATGCGATGGCGACAATACGTTAGTGCGATAATACTATTGCGTTGTCACCATCGTACTATCGTACTGTCGCCATCTCACTAAATGTTGACATTTAAAAGATGCAAAAAATATTCAATTGGTCAGTAGTACAGAGGATATTAAAGTTTTTTTTTCTATAAATGCAGGATTTATTTTATTGAGTGGTATGAAAATAAATATTCATGAGTTGTGCTATTATTTTATACATGTACTCTTTTCTATTTTTGACATTACTTATACAATTTGATAGTCTTAGCCTTGAATTTTGTATATCGGCTGAATCTAGAAGAAAGTAGTCCGACAAGACACAAGTGAAAATACAGAAAATATGTTTCACTGTATTCAAGAACAAATTTTATAGTGTAAATGAAAATACGCATTTCATTTCTAATTCATAAGTTTTCTCTATAATTCTAAATATAGTTCATAATAAATCTTACTGGTCGGCTTTGTTTAATATAAAAAATACTGCTATTTCTATTATATTTTTGATTGGTCATCAGTGGCTTTATTGTTTTGTAGGATGTAGAATTTATTATATATACTAACAGTGTGAAACAATAAGAAATGTATGTTAAACTTAAGTTTCTCTGCAAAAACCACAAAGCAATTTCTTTTATATCTTAGTTTCTCAGCAGTGGTTTGACTGGTTTGCGAGATGTAGAATTTATTATATTTACTAACATTATGCTTGCAAATATCATATTTCTCTTGATATCTAATTGGTGAACTTTTTTCCCTGTAAGTGTAACTGGTCAACATATTTTACTATATGCTTTACCTTTTACCTCATACTGACGTGTTTTCATGCCTTTTCACCCTCTCTTTTGATGCCTCAAATAGTGAAAACCATACCACATTTATCAGATACATCGGGGTGCAAGAGAGGGGGTGCCCTCCTCTGCAGGGGGGTTTGAAGGGGGACTGCAGCCCCACTCAACTCCAAGAAAAATTTGGACTTGTGAGAGGCTCAAAATGGCATCAGGTCGATCTTAAGGTAACGTGTAACCAACGCTGAAAGCCTATCCCGACTCATCGGGAAGTTGCAGCTATGATGGAAAAAATAGCACAACATAGTGATTTTGAAATGTCCCCTCGTTGTTATGGTAACAGGAAATCAAGATACAAATGCTTTGGCTCAGTAAATATTTTGCCAAAATTGATCATTATATAAGCATTTTTTTATAGTTTCATAGTTGATTGATTGATTGATTGGGTTTTAAGTCACACCGACACAGTATAGGTCACATGGCGACGTTCCAGCTTTACTGGTGGAGGAAGACCTCAGGTGCCCTTCCGTGCATTATTTCAGACACGAACGGGTACCTGAGTAGAATCACCGACGTTATAGTTTCATAGTAATTTGAACTTGTGTAACGGGGGGTTTTTCAATGAAAACAGCCATTTTTCACAAAATGCTTATGCAGTAATGGGTTAAATGGTCAGCAGATTCTACTATACATGTGTACCTAAAGCACCGTACGTTAAGTCTGCTGACCATATAGTATAAGAAGTTTGTCTTTTTTATACAAGTAATAAACAATGATTTTTTTCATCTTTTTAATGTCAACATAAGATCATTTTCATCTGAAATATTTCTATTACATTGTATATTAAAGTTTCACACAATATATTACATTGTCCGTCTATGTATAACTCTTTCTGAATTTATATATAGAATGTTTCTTATTATTAATTTATAATTTTAATTAAATATTATTAGTATACAGAAAAGAAACAAACAAAAAAATAATAAAAGGAAAAGAAAAAACAAGAAGAAAAAAATTATTGACAAAAGTAAAATTATCCCATATTCTATTCCGTCAGTTTATACGCCAGCAGTTTAGAACCGTCCACCAGAAGGCGAGAGTCGACAGTGCGATAACGCCATGACGACAGTGCGACACTGCGCTGGCGACAGTGCGATAATGCGATGACGACAATGCGACAGTGCGATGACGACAATGCGACAGTGCGATGGCAACAGTGCGACAGTGCGATGACGACAATGCGACAGTGCAATGGCGACAGTGCGATAACACTATCGCTCTGTCGGCATCGTACTATCGTGTTATCGCATTGTCGCCATCGCACTGTCGCATTGTCGTCATCGCACCGTCGTATTGTCGTCATCGCACTGTCGCACGATCGCATTGTCGCCCTCTGTATTTTAACGTATAACCACGATGGCCCTAACGGTATTCTGTAACATACAGAGAGTCACGCATGCGCATAGCTAAGAGCAATTCAAAGATATAATAAACATGCATATGTCTACATTGTATTTGACAAGCAATAAATAGTTATGAACAAATGAAACAGTCAAGTCAACCGATGAAGTTATATTTTTAAGATAAAAGATAAGTCAATAAACCTACTCTGAACATAAAAGATCCATTGCCAAAGAAAAGCTATTTATTTAAAATTTATTTCTCAAAACTTTTTATTTTTAAAGTGTGAGTTTTGCGGCCTATAAGAAATACCTTTAAAACTAAAGAAGTTAAAATAAAAAATAACATTTTTCAAGTAAAAAATCTAAGTTTATGGGGAGATAA